AGGTGTGGGAGGGAGGGAGGCAGATGAACAGCCCGTTCCAGATGTAAGCAATTGGCGCGTAGTGGCCATCGCTAAGCGGGAAGCTGACAGGATGCCCTGGGAAGGCGCCTTGGGAAGTTAGAGCGCCGAGGAGAAGCACCCCTCTTTAAAAGGTGGCACTTCACCGGAAATCTAAGTGACAGGAAGAGCAGGTGGAAGAGTGTGTCACGCGCGAGCCCTAACCAGAAAGTAGGTTGACCAGTTGAAATCCACGGGAGCCAACAGGTGCTTGCAATAGTGGTTTTGAATTAAGGACCGCTCATGCTGACACGTGCTGGAAGTGTTGGCTTCTCGCCCTTGCAGAAGACCTGGGCTCGATTCCTAGGTCTCTCAAGGCCTGTTAGGAAGTTTGTCTCCTTCAAGCGCAGTTGGAGAACATTGGAGCGTTTTTTAAGCCACGACATCACATGACTTGATAGATGCTTTAAAAATAGTGGTTGCTTTGTGGATGATAAATTATAGGCAGTGGAAATTGGCTACTGATTTAGATCCTGCCCTCCAAGATCCCCTCATCTTACAGTTTATTAACCAAACTTCTCAATTTCTTTGGGATGATGGATGAGTAGATTTGGGATTGTTGGTCCTGAATTTAAAGGGAATTATTGATTTTTGCAGAATAAGCTTGATACAGTTGCATTGAGAGGCACTGGTCATGATAAAAACTGGAGACCCAGTCCTGCCTCCCACAGTGAAAGTGAACCTGATTTGCCCTCTGCATCTTTCTGTCGTTTTGCATTGGGCACTCTTCTTATGTCTGCAGCAATCTCCTCAGACGAGTGCCTTTATTTCTTTAGAGCGTGGGTAGTGAGTAGGTATTTGGGGGTTTTTGTTGTCTCAACACTGCTTGGAATAGAACCAGTGGCCTCTTGCATGCCAGACCAGTGCTTTGCCATTGTGCGTTCTCCACCCCCACCTAGTATTCAGTATTTGATTGCTTTGTCAATGAGTTAAATGTGAAGTTGACTAAATGGGTATTTAAATATATCTGACACTCTCCAACAAATTGTAACGTGCCGGTGAATCAAGTTGGCCCTGACTAGATGCCCCTGAAGTCTTGCTTGATGGTTTGGTAGAGGTGGAAGCCGAGCTGAGCAAAAACGATCAAATGGTGCTTTTGTTTTCTTGCAGAGTTTACCCCTCAATCCCAAGCCTTTTCTCAATGGACTGACAGGAAAACCAGTGATGGTGAAACTCAAGTGGGGGATGGAATATAAGGGCTACCTGGTCTCTGTCGATGGCTACATGAACATGCAGGTAAGCCCAGGAGTGCCGGCAACAGTAAGACTGTTTATTTCACCGTCTCCTCAGAGGTTTACTGTGACTGATAAGTACACAATTAAACTGACAAACAGAAAGCAGAATTGAGGATTAAAGTGCCCTGCAGGGAAGATGTTGAACTGATTTACTTAGTACTAAGACCCAGAATCAAACCAGAACCCCACCATGAACTTTACTATGACAGCCAAAGAAAGAAGAGCTTTGGCGTCTGGTTTCTGATACCATTTTATTACAGAAACCAAAACCTCCCAGCACTTCCTTTTTCAAAGAATCTATAAGAGAAAATTTTAAATTGTTTTAATGAGTTCTAAAAACACAGCATGAAAGCGATTCGCTGACAGCATTTTGTCATGGAACAGAAACATGAAACAGAAGAACTGGAAATGGACTGTGCCTTCGCTTATGTAGTGATTCATGGTGTATCCCTGGCTAGCCTGGGACGCGCCATGTAGACTGGGCTGGTCTCGAACTCATAGTCATCTGCCTGACTCTGCCTCCCTAGTATAGAGATTAAAGACATGTGCCTTTGTCTGTTTTTTTTATTTTTATTTTTTGTTTGTGGTGGTTTGGTTGTGGTTTTTGTCCAGGTCTTAAAGGTTAGCTACATGGATACCTTAACCAGAAATGTAGCTAACAAGCATATGAAAGTTTTTGTTCTGGAAAATTCTTGAAATGAGTCATTCACAAAGGCTATAGAAAAATCACAGTGAAAAATACTGTGGAATTAGTGAGGAAAGTTCAGTTTTATGAATATGCTGACAAACCACAGAGTGGTGTTTTAAAAGTAAGTTTTGTTCTACCCCAGCACCTCATAACTCAGAGTGGTGATGAAAGCCTGTAATTCCATCATTCGGTGATAAGAGGTAGGAGGACCAGAAGTTAAGCATCTTCTTCAACTACATGGAGAGTTAAAGACCAGCTCAGAATACATGAGACCACCTTATATTTGGCTACATTTCCTAAATGTAGCTTCCCCAAGTTACAAAATGTATCTGAGTAAGCCTAGTTTCTGAGTTGCCTCATTTAGCCAAAACTTACTGTCTGGTTGGTGCTGTGATGGTACTGATTGGTTCTTGATTCGGTGGTGGGAGATGATAATGTAAGAGATAATCAGGTATGATACACAGCACCATGATAAAGCAAACCAAGGGGCTAGAGGATGCAGTAAGAAACACGCCATGAGCATCCCGGAGAAATCGCCTCAGTTGAAAAGGGCAGCAGATGCAAAGCGTCCGTCCACAGGCATGCTCGGTGTGTTCAGGGTGCACGCAGCAGAGTCGGGGTCAGAGAGAGCTTCTTCAGCAGTGGTGAGGGGTTTGGATTTAATACACGATGGGAAGCTTTGGGGCATTATTGTAATTTAGAAGCCAGTTAAGTGTTGGGACATGTAAAATCAGTGGCTCTTCATGTATTACATCTGATAGCAATTATACAAAATGAGTAGTCTCACAAACGTGTTTTTGGTGATAAGTTCTCTAGGTGTTTTGTTTTCCTCCAGAGAAGAAACACCTAGCGGGTTTTAAATGCCTTACACCACATCTTCCTATTTTTCATGTCCACCACCTGCTTATGAAGGAAGAGTCCTTCTCTTATTTTGCCCTTGGTGGTCCCATATGGCATTGGTAGTGGGTTTTTTGTTTTTTTTTTTTTAAATATGAGAATGCCAGCTAAACATTTTAAATTTAAAATTGGAATAGAGTTTGGCTGAAATAATTTTACAGATGATTCTTGTCTTGATTTTTTTTTTCCTCCCAAATGAGTACATGAATTTTTCAAAATCTTCTTTGGTTTGGTTAATATATTTTAGTCATAGGTTTTGTACACCCATCTTAATATGATCCATAATGTTTTGCTGTGAGAAAAAGTTAATGTCTGATTCTTTGGATTTTTAGAAACTTGAAAAGTTATAACTCATATTGGAATGGAAGCTTTCTTTGATAATCAGAAATAACATCTAGAAGGCATAACAGCTTTGAAACAAGCTTTATTATATATTAGTTTTGTACCATGCATGTCTTAATACAGAAGATCCAGATACAAGAGTAACAGAAAGCTAATTTTCTACTTACTAATTACGATACAGTCTGAGTTGGTGAAGTCTCATCTCAGTCACTGCCCTCACCAGCAGGTGCCACACTGTTCTCTTCTTGTGCAGTTATACTAACATCTTTCTTTCTATCTAAAGCTTGCAAATACAGAAGAATACATAGACGGTGCGTTGTCTGGACATCTGGGTGAAGTTCTAATAAGGTAATGAGCGCGTTTGTGTGTGAGGAGTTACTGGTGAAACTCAATCTGCTTACATCAGTCTTTTAGTTTGGGAATTACTTTAAAGGAAAAAAGCCAAAAGATTTAACAGTTCTCTGCATCTAGACTTTAGAAGCCTTTGAAATTACTAAATTTGTTGGGAGATTTCAGTTCATCCTCAAGGTTTTCCTACTGTTGATTACATTTCCCCGTCCTGAGCTGTAACCTGTCTCAGTGTCCTGGGTTACACAACTTTGAAGTCTAGCTGCCGAGGATTTGTTGTATTCATTTTCTAGTATGATATCTCTATCCTGATAAGTTGCAGGTGAAATTGTGATGACAGTGCTAGAAGCATGTGCCGTGTGCTTTTAAACATGTCTGTATAGCACCACAGAGGAGGGTGACAAGCTGAGTTTAGTATCCAATTTGAAAATGGAGCAGTGATGATTGTGCGTGGTTTGAGTGAATCAAAACGGACCTTTGTTTTGTTTACAGGTGTAATAATGTTCTTTATATCCGAGGCGTTGAAGAGGAGGAGGAAGATGGGGAAATGAGAGAATAGCATCTTTGAGGTTTTTTTTTATATATATGTATTTCTATACAATAAAGATTTGGGTCTTTTCAACTTGACTTTTGAACTATTTCTATGCAGACACTTGTATGCAAAGCGCAAATATTGAAGCAATGGATAATCATAGAACTAATGCTTCAAGAGCCCCCAGTTTTATTCAGGGTGACTTTTTGGTAAGCCCACTGATTTTTTCTATAAAGGATAAATAAGTTTGTGCTTTAGAACTTTTCTGAAGGTGAGTTTCAGCCATGGTAATTGTATTAACTGAGACTTAGCTGTGTCGTTTAAGGTTTTCAAACCACTTTAACATGCTTAAAGTTAAACATTTCCTTAGTATTTATATTTATTGTATTAATAAATTATATATCAGTATAGACTAATGAAAACTGAAATAATTACGGAGATAGAGCATAACAGAAACCGACGTTCAAGCTAAAGGTGTGTGGTTTGTTCACTGAGTTGTCGGAGCTTACTGTGAGGTAACCAGTCTCATAATCTGAGGCCATAGTCTATAGTTTGTACATTTTAAGCCTGTCCAGTTGTTTTCAGAATAGCACATTGTTAAAATGTACATTCGTAGCAATGAACTTCCTTATTGCTTTAGAAAATATGACTAAAATTCTCATGCTTTGAGGGAGGGAGGTCATTCTGCTATAAATCATGCTTCCTATAATTCTATCAATAAAGTCCTTTGGATGTGTCTCCAAAGGGGACAACCTAAAGTACAGTATTTCTTAGCTCATGGGGTGATGGCACTGAGCAGTGGCTTTGCAGAAGACAACAGCTGCCATGCCTACTCCTGTAAACGTCAGCCTTGCATCACTGAATGCCAACGTCGTATAAAACATTTGCTGATTAAATGTCTTCATGCTCCTGTTGAACTAAAAAAATACTCTTCCTCCTGTGTTTTTGTTCTTGTATCACCAATTAAAAGTAACTCCTGTTTACTATCAGATCGAGGTCTCGAACGGTAGACCAGTCGTCTTCCCAGCTGAAACAGGAAAAACATAATTTTCTTTGGCATAACGTTTCTGTTGCAGTATGTAGAATGTCAATATTGAACTCTTTACATGAATAAAATGGCTTAAAATAGGAGTTATAGGAGATGGATAGATGTCCAGCATGCTTGGCAAATGGGGGCACCTTTAGAATACCGAAGACGGTGGAGTGATGAACAGAAAGTTAAGGAGCAGTAGCTCAAATACGACTGGCTAGGAGAGCACCGTGTTGGCCACTAACGTTGCCTTCCCTAGTGCTCTACCTGGGTTTCCCTTCAATGGCTGCGAGGTGCGTTGTTGAGCCTGTTTGAGAAAACCATTTTAATCCTTGTTGGGTCTTGGAAGTGTTTGCATTAGGAGCTTTTAAGGAAACCTGTGATTCATACCTCTCCCTTCTCTAGTGAATGTGTATAACTTAGGTGTTTGGGTGAGGGAACTGCCATGTTGTGCTGATCATGATCGGAATCCCCAGTGTGCCTCGGAAGGTTGGGCAGTTCTCATGTGGACTGGACTAGGGACCATGCTGGCAGAACACAAACCTTCTTCTTGGGCTGTGCTACTGCTCTTTCCAGAGCAGCTTTTAGCCGCTCCTCCTGGTGTCTTTGCTTTTCTCTCATCTTCTCTTCACGCAGCCTGTCATAGGTAAGGAGGTACATTCTTATTAGAAATTCTCTAATTCATAAAAAGCAAAACATCTACATTTGTTCCCCCCCCCATGGGCCACAAGAGGGCGCCAGAGCTCAGGACGGATGGCTGCGAGCCGTGCGTTCAGCAGGAATCGAACTTGGGGCCTTTGGCAGGAAGGGTGATCGGGCCTTGAACAGTGCTTAACCGCTGAGCCATCTCTCCGGACGGCTAAACATCTACATTTGTGTTGCTTGATAATGAACTATCCACGTGTAAGGTTCCCATAGCGATGGCTTTGAATATTTGGCAATGGTAAGGCATTTGATTTCATCATTTTGGAAAAGTCCCTCTTCCCAGTCTGGTCGGAAGCAAGGCCATGCCTTCCCCTCTCCATCCCACTGAAGTCCTTTATACCACCGCTACTTTAGCTCCCAGCTACCTCCCTCACCTGCCTTTAAAGTTTCTCAACCTGGGGCCAAACCACTCTTCACACGGGTCACATCAAATACCGCATATCATATTTACATTACTATAACAGTAGCAAAATTACAGTTTTGAAGTAGGAACTAAATAGTATAAACTGTACTAAAGGGTCGTAGTATTAGGAAGGTTGAGGAGAAAAAGTTCTTTTGAAAACTAGGACTGTGTGCATGTTACTGTAGGAAATAAGTTATAATTTACTCTCAAGACTGTTGCTACTATAAAAACCTGAGGCCATGTGTCAGGAGCCATCCTCCGCTAAGATAAGTTTGCTTCATATTCTGTGAGAGCCGTCACCTTCATTTTTACATGAGCAGATGGTATCCCTGTGCACCAGTAATATTAACAATATCGATGGCTAGCATGTCACACATGCTCAGTGCTTTTACATTGATTTGATACATCAGCCCTATGAAATAAATATCACAGCTGCCTACAAAGCAGCCTTAATGAGATAGACTAGACAGATGTTCCCTGCTTACGTCACAGTGGTTGTAGCTAAAAGGGCAAGCTCCATGCCCATATCTGCCACACCAGAGCCACAGTGCTCACCTGCCCCTCTGCGTGTGCCCCTTCGCTAGAACATGAACACTGACTACATCAGCATTCCCCACGTGCCGTGTGATAGCAACGATGTTATGCTATCACAGCTCCAAAAGAAATGACTACGAAAACCTTTAACTTGTAAGGGTGAGGTTTTGAGGATGATGACAGTCCTATAAGGCTGTCCGTGGGAGGAAATGAGCCAGAGTGTGTGTGCCAGCTACGTGTCCCAGGGGGAACCCCTCACCAAACAGCGCTGAGCTTCATGCCATTCCTGCCTTATACACCAACTCACCCTGTGGTCTGACGGTAGAACCTGCCCCACAGTGTTGATCCTGCACATGACAGCCCTTGAGCTGTGCTCATATGACTGGAGACCCTCCCCACAGCCATCCTGGTTGGGGTAGTTGTTCCTGCTAAACTATTTTCCCAGCTCCTTTGGTTCGGAGTGCTCATTGCCTGTAGTAACAATAACACTCGTTTCTCAAGAATATTCTCTGGGGAGGTGAGCATGCGTTGACCCTGCGCCCCCAGTTGCAATGCTTGCCACGTAGAGGTTGCTGATGGGGGTAGGGAGCTGGGGGAGTTACACAAAAGCAGCCACCTAAGCCATTGGCTATACTGAGAAGAGTATGACCATACTTTTGCCGTCGCTCCTTCTGTTTGATCCTTTCAATGGCTTCTACATTTTCTTTGGGAATAGATTCGATGAGGTCACTCAGCTCCACCAGGCGAGACTCGACTTTGACCAGCTTTTGAACTGCATTCAGGCTGCCGACCTCAGCATCTCCGATGCAGACTCTGTAGACTTGATTAATCTTTTTACTAAGCGAGTCTATCAGCCTTTCCTGAGCTCAGGAAGAAAGCAGAAAACATTCTTTCACTATTCACTCACTGTCAGTAAACGCAAAATTCCACTCTACCGTGTTAGCAATGAAAAGTCCTTTAAACCCAGGGCCTAAGGCATGGTAAACAAACGTTCTATCGCTGAGCTACACCCCCGACTCCCTAAATGCTTCTTTAAAAGACAGATTAGTGAGAACATGTAGCAGGGGATATTTGTGCTGTAGTTTATAGTCATTACAGTGATACCTGGGATTATATTAAAATATATACAATATTTACAAGCATGTGTATAAAACATTCCCTAAATGTTCTGAGAGCAGACAAAATATCTAAAATCGCTGTACTACAAGCAGTATAATGGTGTTCCTCCATTTTTATTACACTCACTAAAGTCTATACTGCTTTGTGATATTTATTTGCATATGTGCTCAGTCCCCTTCTTGAGGGGGAATTGTAGGGCAGGGGCTACTGCTTTGGCTACCGTGTACCCCTAAATCAGTGTCCTGCACATAGCTACACACTTAATAAATGTTTGCTGAATCAATGAATGCATTCTTTCAGAGAAGCGCGTGTTCAAGCAAACAGATTCCTAGGCTGACCAAACAGAGCCTTTTAGGAGTTGAAAATCAGAACTCTCCACGGGACGCCATTGCTGTATTCCACTCTAAAGAAATTAGGCCGAAGCCCGCCAATCCCTGTACCTCGCCACTGCGCTGCGGTCTCTTGAGCTGGTAGATAACGTAACTCGGGAGAGGAAAGATAGCATCCTTTATCTCCAGAGGGACTCAATAAACTTCTCAACAAAGTAAATCGTTTTCCATGTACGTTCCTGCCCCAGGATTGCACGCTTCTGCTCAAGAAGATGAAAGTCACAGCACAGTCAAGGAAACCCCACCCGAGGCCAGTGGACTTGCACCGCTGGGGAGACCCAGCCTAGACCACAGGTGCCTCACGGAGCCGCCATTGGCCTCAGGCTTCCAACAGCATGTTGCTCCGCCTCCTGCTTTAATAAATGTTCTGAAGATCCTAGCGTCTCACTTTCTAAATACTTACTGTATTTCCATTTATACTACAAGAACCGTCTTTTTTTTTTTTAAAGAAAACTTAGGGAAATACAAAACAATACAAAAGAAAATCCTGAATCCTATTTACCATGAGTCCTGTCTATCTGTCACCATCACAGCATAGCACTTATTGTGTTTCCTAGTTATAGACCCACACATTCTTTTTAGAAACCTTGGAGACAGCTAAAGGGCAGAAAAATATAAAAGGGGAAAAATGTGAAAGGACACCACCAAGTGTGTGTGGGGGTAGCACACTACATTAAAAAAATCTTTGCTAGAAAGTGGGGTTCATAACTATAATCCTAGCACCTAGCTGAGGCAGATAATTGCCATGAGTTTGGGTCAACCAATGGATCCTCTCTTGAAGAGAGAAAAAAAAACTTACTCTAATGTACATGGGAATTTAAAGTATTTAATTCTGGTTTTTAGAAAAACTGGTAGGAAAATGTTCCAGTGGAAGTTTCTGAAGGCTCCTTGAACAGAGCACTGGGGACAGACAGACGGTGACTTTTCATGGTGTTTTTCAAGTTCCCCCCTGCCAAACAGCAGAGGGAAATACAACATGAAATACTTTGTTAAAACAAGATAACAGATTAAGAACTAAGAGAAGGAAATGAAAGAAGGCAGCTGTGTAAATGAGATCGAGCTCCTGGTCCTCCACAGCTAACGAGCCAAGAAAACTTCCAGGCTGAGGCCAGCTAGCGACAAGATGTGCAAATGAGTCTTTTAAACTGCCACTAGAGGGCAGGCTCAGGCCAGAGCGTGTGGGAGGAGCAGCGGCTCGGATTGGCCATCCTGGCAGTAGGCGCTGGGTGCAGGAAGATGGATCGAAGACCGAGTACCGGGATAGCATAAGGTGCTTGGTGCTTGTCATCTGTGAACAGGATCCTATGGGACCAGCACAGTACTTAAAACTGGAGAGCTGTCCCTTTTTCTTTTTCTTTTTTTGTGAATTTTCGAGACAGGGTTTCTCTGTAGCTTTGGTGCCGGTCCTGGAACTAGCTCTTGTAGACCAGGCTGGCCTCGAAATCCCAATCTGTCTGCCTCTGCCTCCCGAGTACTGCCACCACCGTCTGGCTGGACTCCATTTTTCTAATCCGTATCTCCTTCCTTGCGGACACACATAAAACCAGAGATGATCAAATTCAGCCAGCATGCCGTCCCGAGACCACTAAAAACAAACCGCTGCTGCTGAAAAGTCATGTGGGCGGACCCCGTAAACATGGGGGCGGGGAGACACAGGCTACAGTTCTGTCTATAGCGTTCAAAACAGCAAAGCAAATCTATGGCGAGACGTTAAAACAGGGATCGCCTTGAAGGATGGAGAGATCCAGGGCGGAGTTCTGGTAGGAGTCAATTTAGTCCCTCCTCTGTGGACTGCTGGGGGCTGTGCTCGCTTGAGAAAATTCCTTTAAAGGCAGACTTACTTGTTTGTCAATGTCAATGTTATTCTTATTAAATTTTTATTTTAAAAATACTGAGGAAAAAATTTTAAGGGGTTGAATACATTTGTTGAGTGTGGCAGTTTTGAAAGAATTAAATGTTATTGTTATAGATTTGAAGTCCCTAATGATGACACCAAAATTATTTGTGCTATATTGTCCTCAATAAATCGGGGGGGGGGGACTTAAGATTAGGAAAGGATGTTTATTCATAAAAGATTATGTTTTGTATAATGCCTCATTCGTGTGTCTAGGGGTGTAGCTTTGGTCCTGTGCCTGTCTAGCATGCTTGAGAGGCACCTAAAGACTGCATGAAAGGGCTGGAGAGATGGCTCAGAGGTTAAGAGCACTGACTGCTTTTCCAGAGGTCCTGAGTTCAACTCCCAGCAACCACATGGTGGCTCACAACCATCTGTAATGAGATCTGGTGCCCTCTTCTGGCCTGCAGGCATACACACAGACAGAACACTAAACATGAAAAAAGACTGCATGAAACTAGGTTTGGTAGCAAATGTTTGTAATCCCAGCCTCAAGGAAGGGTGGGAGGAGAAACTCAGGCCATCTTTAGATTATGTGACCCTGTCTCAAAAACAAAATCAAAAACAACAACAACAAAAAACCCACTTCTAATTTTTCAGTTTACCCCCCTTCTTCCATATCCCACACTTCCTACTTTTGGAAGACTATGAGTTACTAATCCCATGCTCCAGAGTGTGCCTGCAAATTGTCCATGAATTGCCAATGCCCTACTTAAGACTCTTATTTTGTGGATAATCTTAAGCAGGACTTAAACAGGAATTTTCAAAGCAGTCCTCAGTGGTCTTACCATCTGGGCATTCCCTGGCCCTAGATTCTCCCTTCCCTTAATTGACTCAATATTTAAAGTATGAAGATGCCTTTTCCCCATCGTCCCCTGCTCTGAAATTAGAGGGGTTTGGTTGAGGTGTGGATGCCAATAATGTCACAAATAATTTGTCTTTTATCTTACAGGGTAGTCGGTTTCAGAATTGAGTTGAAGGATAGAACAACCCAAGTGTCCATCAGTAGAGGAATGAGTAAATAAAGTATGTGGTTCATAAGATGGAATATTGTTTAGCCTTAAAAAGGGCAAAATTCTGATACCTGCCACGATGTGGATGAATCTGGAGAACATTGTACTCAAGTCACACAAGGTCTAGACAGAGGACACGTATTGTACATATCCACTTGCACAGGATACAGAAAGAGTCACCTTCCAAGAGACCAAGAGACGACAAGCAGATGTGGGCGGTGAAGGGATGGGGGGCGCGTGTTTAATGGGCAAGCACCTTGTACAAGACCAAAAGCATTGTTAAGATGGGTTGTACAGACCAAAGGCGTTCTTAAGATGGGTTGTACAGACCAAAGGCGTTCTTAAGATGGGTTGTACAGACCAAAAGCATTCTTAAGATGGGTTGCAGAACAGTGTGAATATATTTGACACCAAACCGTACATCCAAAAATGGTTAAGATATTAAAAAGCGTATGCCTAAGTGATGGAGAAGTTTGGGAAATAGGCCGTGGTAACAATTACGTTGCGTGAACGTACTTAATGCCATTGAATTGCCCACTCAAAATGGTTAGATGGTAAATTTTCTGTATATGGTACCACAGTTTAAAAAAAAATGGTTGATTAAAAAGAAAAGCAACTGAACTGTTCCAGTCAACACAGTCCCTGCCACAGCTGCTAAGACATCATACTATCATACCTTAGGACATGCAGGAGCCTAGCAGCCAGAAACAGCCCTTGCCTTGAGTAACTCTAGGCAAGGGAGGATGGTTGCCTGTTTTCTAATGCAGCCCATTCCCCAAATCTACCTCCGTCTAAAAAGTCAAAGTTTGCGATCGTAAATGTAACGTTAGCCCCACATAGCAGCTTTGGATTCTTATTTCCCTAGAGGTCTTTCCATGAAACCAGAGGTAGTCAGAGTTTCTTGTGGAACCGAAAGCTACCCTGGTCATTCATTCAACAAACATTTATTGAGCATTGACGCTATGGGGACACTGAGCTCATCGACAGGATTGTCCCTGTATGGAGGGGTTTGCATCCAGCTGGGAGAGATGAGCTTGTCAAGAGGTAAGGGTATTAGCATATGTCACAGGTTCTGGGAAATGAGCCAATCCATCTAGGCCCAAAGAAGTTGACGCATGTCCTAGGCCCAGGGCTGGGCAGATTTTCCATTCAGTGTTACATGTGTGGGTTCATGGTGTGTTCACTGTGCTACTGTCTACTTGAATTGCCACCAAAATGGTCAAAGGCAGTGAACTACGTCACACAAACACACACACGCGGGCAGAGAAATGCAGTTTGAAATAACGAGAGCAACGCTTCACATGACCCCCAAAGTCAGTATCAATAGTTCCTAGCTAGTAAATTGATTCTTCCATATTAGCAAAAATAATTCCTGTCAACAGTTTGTGGATCGCCTTAACTGCCCCTGCCAAGTGCCCAGCACACAGGGAGGCCAGATTACTACCAGGAGACAAAGTTACCACAGGCCAAGAATGTACCTGAGTATCCGAATTGAATTCTCCGAAACTGAAGAGCCTGGACCTCAGCTCCAGTTCCGCTGCCTTTTCCTCTTCTCGCTCACAATTGGTCTTGAGCACCTTCTTGTGCTCCAGCAGAAACGCAATGTTGTTGTTTCTGATGCAAAAGAAGGAGGGGACCATTGTCTGTAACTCAAGGTTGAGGGAAGAAGGAGGGGACCATTGTCTGTAACTCAAGGTTGAGGAATGAAGGAGGGGACCATTGTAACTCAAGGTTGAGGGATGCAGCCCTCTTCAGCTCTCGTGTGTGTGTGTGTGTGTGTGTGTGTGTGAGAGAGAGAGAGAGAGAGAGAGAGAGAGAGAGAGAGAGAGAGAGAGACATGGAGGACAAGAGGTCAGCCTCAGATGCTAATCCTCACTTTTCACCTTCTTTCAGACAGGCCCTCTTCCTTTAGGAAAATGTTCGTTGTGGTCGGGTCAGGGATGAATGCCTTGGTGTATGTGGGGGTCAGAGACAACTTACGGGACACAGCTCTCTCCCGCTACCATGTGGATTCCAGGGAATGGACTCAGGCTTGGCCGCCAGCACCTTTACCCACTGAAGCCTCCCAATGGCCCAGGGTTTCTCTTTTGTTGTTCACAGAAGCAAATGCCAGGCTGTCTGGCCCCTGGGCTGCTGGGGTGTCTCTTGCTTGTCTCTGCCTACCATCTCGCCTTAGGGGCACCGAGATTACAGACGTGCACTACTACAGCTGGCCTTGTGTGGTTTCCGGGGCTCAAACTCAAATCCTCGTGCTTGTTCAATAGTTGTTTTATCCCCTAGTCCTATCTTTACATCTACACCTCCAGTTACAACTAGGCAAATGCACGCTTACATGCAGGCTTTAACTCCATCAGAAGACTCTCTCTTTCCTTCCTCTGCTATTGTGGTTCCCCACAAGACCCCAAACAAAGCAGCAGAATGGAGGTACCGTCAGGACCATAAGCTGTGCATCTATCTCCAGCTTGTGAGCGTCCCCAAATCTGGCTGACACATCAGAATAGCCTCAGCTTCAGGGAAAATGAATACCTAACTAGTTTGCCTCGAGATTCTGGTAAAAATCCTCTAGAGCATGGGTTGTGGAGATGGCTCAGCAATTGAGAACACTGGCTTTTCTTCCAGAGGTCCTTAGTTCAATCCCCGGAAACCCCTGGTGGCTCACAACTATCTACAATGGGATCTGATGCCTTCTGCTGGTATGAAGGTGTACATGCAGATAGAGCACTTGTGTAGATGTACCTTATAAATAAATCTTTTTAAAAAATCCTCCAGGGAAATATTTGGTCATAGATCCCTTTCCATCTCAAACATGCTCACCTTCTCTGGGCTACCACCACATACACCAAGGATGGAACTGGGCACAGAGGCACAATGAAGGGTGCTGAGAAGCCTTGATTATTTGGAGGGGGGGGTTGCCTTCTGGGCAAATTAATTGGTTCTGATATTAAATGTAGTTTTACCCATTTCTTAAAACATTTGCCATCTTTTGATGCTGAAAACTGTGTCGAACGATTCTACACATTTTGCACACAAATGGATATAAAGTTTTACACTCTATAATCTGAATGAAACTCTTTCTCAAACCTGTAATCTCAGGGGAGGGGACTCCATGATTCATATCTAGTCTCCTCTGTATTAGGCCTGTATTGCTGCTAGACACGTAACATGATGTAGTACTAAGTCACAGAAAGTCATTTTGCTGAGCTTCACACCCAAGGAAATTGTGTTTATTTCCACTCAATCTAGGTAGCCAGGTGGCCAGCTGACAGCTGTCCTGGACAGAATGACAGCAATGGGTGTCATTTCAGCTCTTCCAGCAATACTTCAAGTGAGAGAAACTGGAAGAAAATTAAACTAAAACCAGTCTATTCTGTACACTTGTAAATTTTACCTTCTTTGTGCCCAACATGTAAATCATTTTTTAAAAATATTTATTTATTATGTAATACAATGTTCTGTCTGTGTATATGCCTGAAGGTCAGAAGAGGGCACCAGATCTCATTACAGATGGTTGTGAGCCACCATGTGGTTGCTGGGAATTGAACTCAGGACCTTTGGAAGAACAGGCAATCCTCTTAACCACTAAGCCATCTCTCCAGCCCCACGTAAATCATTTTCAATGAAACCCCCAGCCTAAACCATGAGCAGAGACATCCCGAGTGAGTTGGGTGTGGCCTCTGGTGAGTAACCATCAAATGGGAGAAACGTACTCACATCTTATCTTGTATAAACCTCTCTCTTTTGTTGACATCTTCGAGATTCTCATCCACATCCTGGGAATACTGGACCAAGGTGAGATTCTGTTCCTCCAGCTCGGTGAGGACCTGGAGCAACTCTTCTGGCTCCTTGAAGTAGATCTCCGGCATCTAATCGGCCAAGGGTGAAGAGAAGTGTGTCAGACACACCCGTGTGACTTGTCCAGACAATGGAGGGAGGAAGGGAGGGAGCTGTCATACTCGTCAACTCTCCACGCACGTGGCAAACTCCTTGAGAAAATCACCTTCTAAGGAGGAACCACTTATTCCTGGCTGGGGTGATGTGGGAGGTCCTTCTATGTGTTGTTTTTATTGGCTAATGAATAAAGAAAACTGGCTTGGTCTATAACATGGGAGGAAGAGGGCGGAGTCAGAGGGACGCCATGGAGCCTCTGCCAGTCAGAGGTGAGATTTGGGGTGTGGGGAGAGATGGGGGCTAGACAGGAGGAGGGGGTAAAAGGAGAAAGGCTACAGCAGAAGGAGGGGAAGGCAGGAGAAGGAAGAAAGGAAAGATGGGAGGGAGATAGGAAACTGATGGAGATTCGTTTCTTCTCAGTACTATTTGATATGCCCTGACTTTGTAGAATAAGCATTGTGTTAAGTACGCATTTTCTTTTTTTTTCTTATTTATTTATTTATTTATTATGTATACAATATTCTGTCTGCATGCCTGAAGGCCAGAAGAGGGCGCCAGACCTCTTTACAGATGGTTGTGAGCCACCATGTGGTTGCTGGGAATTGAACTCAGGACCTTTGGAAGAGCAGGCAATGCTCTTAACCACTGAGCCATCTCTCCAGCCCTTAAGTACGCATTTTCAAAGATGATTTGTATATTAATATAATGTGTTATAACTTAAAGTAGCCAAGACACAAAAGCAATAAAAATAATCATAAATTGCTGAATAAGGAAATACAGTACATATATACACAATGAACAATGTTCAGTCTCAGAAAGGAGAAATTCTGTCTTCTACAGAACATTTGTGTGGTTATGAACATGTGTGTGCACATGTGTGTTGGGGGCTGTAGGAGAACCTCAGATGTGGTTTTTCAGGTACTGCCCACTCTCTCCATCCCTCTCTTCCTCTCTCTCTCCCTCCATCCATCTCTCCTATTACTTATCTATCCCTCCATCCATCTACCTGTCTGTCTATATATCCCTCCATCCATTTCTCCATTTATCTGTCTATATATCCCTCCATCCATCTCTCCACTTATCCATCTATCCATCCATCCATCCATCCATCACAAAATCTTTTTGCAGTCCTTAAACTCACCAATTAGGATAAGTTGGCTGGCCAGCAAGCCCCAGAGTTCTGTCTCTATTTCCCAAGTGTTAGAAAGGGCTCTAAGCTACTCAGGACTGTGCCTGGATTTTTTGTTTTCATAAAGGGTTCTGGGGCTGGAAATTGGGTCCTCATGCTTGCGAGGAAGCACTGTACTTCCTACTTCCCACTTCCTCAGTACCTACTGAGCGCACTCCACAGACCCATTCATTGTTTGCTATTGTTTTGTTGTTGTCTTGAGACAGGCTTTCTCCGAGTAACAGTCCTGGCTGCTCTGGAACTCACTGTGTGGACCACGATAGCCTTGAACTCAAGAGATCCACCTGCCACCTCCTGAGTGCTGGCATTAAAGGCAAGAGCCACCACCGCCCAATTTACATGAGCCTTGAGAATCATTAGGGTAAGGAAAAGAGCCCAGCCACCACACACTTACAGTGTTTGATCTCCTTATTTAAATAAGTATTTAGATAACCAGTCTTTAAGAAACAGGAAGTAGAAAGATAGTTGCTAGGGGCTGGAGGCTGGAGGGGGTGCTGGACAGACACAGTGTTTCAGATGAAGAAGGGATAGAATCTGCCTCACAACAGGGTGTGTATGGTCAGTACCGCTGTACCGCACACGACAGCCATGTGTTTGAGCACAGTTTTAAAAGCAAGATGACCTGGATAAGGTATGTCTTGTGTAATAATGGGTGGTATTTGGTGGTTTCGTTTTCTTTTCTTTTTTTTTTTTTTTTGAGTGAGACTTATTTTATGTATACGGTGCTCTATCTGCATGCATGCCTGCACGACAGAAAAGGGCATCAGCTCTCACTATAGATGGTTGTGAGCCACTATGTGGGTCCTAGGAATTGAACCTCAGGACCTCTGGAAGAGAAGCCAATCCACTTAACCTCTGAGCCAGTTTCTCCAGCCTCTTATCTCTTTTTAAAATTACTTTCGAGCCTTTGTGGTTGCATTTAGATTGAGGGAAGCTCACAGTCAGGTTTGCTGCAACAATGGGGTGTCTTGTAGGAGGATTATTTAGGGTTCTGCTTACCCAATAAAATGAAAAATTCTGGGTTGGTGAGGTAGCTCAGCGGACAAAGCACTGGGTGTGCAAGGGTGAGAAGCAGAGAGACACTGTAAAAGATGGGTAAGTGTGGCAGCCCCCCTCCCCCCCCCCCCCAGCCCCAGTCCTCTCCCCTTGTGATCCCAGCGGTTAAGAGGCAGAGCCGGAGGATTTCCCAGGACAAGTTGGCTAGGTAGCCAAAATCAGTGAGCACCAGATTCAGTCAGGAACCTTGTCTCAGTAAATAAAGTGAAATGCCATTAAGGAACGCATCCAGTGTCACCTCTGACCTCCACATGCACAGACACACACGTGTTTACTACTCACAGGCAAACAAATACACACGCACCACACACACAATGATAAACAGTCTAAGAGCTGGCATTTGATAACAGATCTGCTTCCAAATGATTTCTTTCGGGGTTGGTTTTTGAGACGGGCTCACTGTGTACCTCAGGCTGGCCTGGAACACATTATGTGGGTAAGCCCAAGCTGCCCTTCAATTCTGTTGCTGCTTTGGCTTTGTTTTATTGAGTCAGGCATCTCTTGTAGCCTGGCCTCTCACTTGCTATACATCTGAGGATGACCTAGGACCGCCCAGCCTCGCACCTCTGCCTCCCAAGTGCTGGGATTGCAAGCCTGCTCTGTCACATCGGGCGTCTGGGCCCGACACCTGTGGCTCTTCTGCCTCACCCTCCAAAGGACCAGCACAGTATCTCCTTCTTTGTCTATTTTTCATAGATGGCTTGATGACAGAGATAGGCAATAGCCAGGATGTGAGAGCAGAATCAAGCCACATTTCCTTCTGGAAAATGTGTGACATGTTTGGAATAGGACATTTCAGAAGAAACGAATCTGCATTGACAGCTGGAACCAAGAGACACAGCTGGTTACCAGATCGAACTCCAGCGTCTCGTTCTCTAGAAAGAACTCCAGACTGTCCTCCGAGCCCATGCTTTCATCCTGACTGTTAAAAAAAGAAAGAAAAATTATTTCTGAGTCACTTTACATTGTGACTAGGGTTTGCCTTTGTTTCTAAGTTGACTTTGAACCCTAACTACCATGGAGTTCTTTTTGAAATTTATTTGTATGAGCGTTTTGTCTGCATGTGTGTCCGTGTACCACATGCAAACCTGGTGTCCACGGAAGCCAGAAGAGGGGATCAGATGCCCTGAGACGGGAGTTACAGGGAGCTATGAGCCAACACATGGATGCTGGGAATCGAACCCAGGTCTTCTGCAAGGACAGCCAGTGCTAGAACCACTGAGACACCTTGCCAGCCCCTATTACAGATTCTTTTCATTAGACGGCTTCTCGTTTTAGGGGGCTGCTCACCCCACGATTCCACAACTGTGCCAAAGAAAAATCATACTCAGTCCCAGACAGAGTCACACATGCAGGAGACCACACAAAAACAGATTTAGTGGCACCATAAACGTAGCTTGCTTTCTCTAAAGACACATGTGACTCCCTATCTTGTCACGTCTATTTTGTCACTACCAAAGTGGACATGACGTCAAAATATGAGCTCCAGCGCTGGCTCGAGATTGACCGCCATCTTCAGAATGCTTTTCAGTGAGACAGCTACCTGCCTCTTACAGAGAAGGTTTGCTTTTGGTGATAGTTCCTACTCGTAGGAGGAAGTATCAGGTAGGCGGATGGTAAGATACAACGTTGCAGAATAATGACGTTGGACCTATGAAGTGACTGAGGGCCACCAAGCCTGATGATCTGATTTGATCCTCAGAACCCACATGGTGGAAGGAAAGATCCGACTCATGAAAGACGTCCTCTGACCAACCCATGTGTGTCGTGAAGAACACACACACTCTGGGGAGGGGGTAGGGAAAAACTAATGACAGGCCTTGGAAATTGACTCTGGAAAAAAAAATCCTTTATAAAAGATAAACCAAAAACAATTAGAATTTTAGTACACCAGGAAAAAGGAGAGAGGGAGGGAGGTGGTGACGGAGGCTGGCGTGGGGAGAAAAACGAATAAATGAGGGCAGGGAGGAGAGTGAGGTACATACCTGTCAGGATAGTGACAATGAGAAACAGCCGATGGGACTACAGAGATGGCTCGGCAGTTCAGAACACTTGCTGCTGCTCTTTCTGAGAACCTGAGCTCTGTCCCCAGCACCCACGTCAGGCAGCTCACAATAACCTATAACTCCAGCTCCAAGGGATCCAGCAGTGCCCTCTTCTGACCTCCACGGGCACTGAAGACAGACAGACACACACACACACACACACACGCCGGATCAAAGGCTGAAGCTGTTGAGAAACTAGACGTCACACGCACAGCTGGTGGGAGTGTAAAATGGTACAGACATTGGAAACAAACTGACTTGTACCGTCTAGTGCACTCTTGCCTTCTAGACAATCATCCGGAGACATAAGAACTATCTTGACACAGAACGCTGTGTGAGGAGCTAAAGAGACGGCTCAGCAGTTAGGAGACCCTGTGCTTTTGCACATGGTGGCTCACAACTGTCTCCAACTCTAGTTCCAAGGGGATCCAGCGCCACCTTCTGGCCTCGTGGAGCCTGCATGCACATGGGGAAAACGTGCCAAACACCCATATATGTAAAATATTTGTTAAATATTTCTTTATTAGGGCTGGAGAGATGGCACAGCAGTTAAGAGCACTGCCTGCTCTTCCAAAGGTCCTGAGTTCAATTCCTGACAACCACATGGTGGCTCACAACCATCTGTAATGACGTCTGGTGCCCTCTTCTGGCCTGCAGACATACAGACAATATTGTATACATAATAAATAAATAAATAAATATTTTTTTAAAAAAGATTTATTTATTATGTATACTAGTTTTCTGCCTGCATGTGTGCCTGCAGGCCAGAAGAGGGCGTCAGATCTCATTATAGGTGGTTGTGAGCCACCATGGGGTTGCTGGGATTTGAACTCAGGACCTCTGGAAGAGCACGCAGCGCTCTTAACCTCTGAGCCATCTCTCTAGTCTGGTAGAATACTTTTTTAGGTTGAACAAATAAAACGTATAGTGGCTTTATTCCTGAGAGCCCCACACTAGAAACAAGGTGGACATTCTACAGTAGGTGAACAGTCCAAGTACACAGCATTCAGACTACAGAGCACAGTTCAACAACAAGAGAACCACCTGCTCATGGTCTAACATGGCTGGATCTCCTGGGAGTTATTATTAAAACCCAAGGGTTACACGCAGCATGACCCTGCTTACATCAAATGACACCATCAGCAATGGACAGATTAGTGGCTGCGGGGGTGGGGGGAGAGTAGAAGTGGGCGTGACGATAAAAAGACATGAAAAATCCAGGGGTAACATTTTGCATTTGGTAGGGCCAAGGTTGATATCCTGGCTGTGGCTTTGCCCTTCGGTTTGGCACAGGATTCCTGTTACCAGAAACTGGGTCAAGAGTCAAAGGGGACCTGCCAGGGACTGCGTCTAAATCTACAATCATCTCAAAAATAAAATTTTAAACCAGGCAGTGGTGGCGCACGCCTTTATTCCCAGCACTCGGGAGTCAGAGGCAGGCGGATCTCTGGGAGTTGGAGGCCAGCCTGGTCTACAAGAGCTAGTTCCAGGACAGGCTCTACAGAGAAACCCTGTCTTGAAAAACCAAACAAAACAAAACAAAGTAATAATTAGAAAAAATAGCAAGGGCCAACTAAATGTCACAGAAGTGGGGGGCCCCAGGATCCCCAGAATTCAGAGTCAAATGTCCCTGTGGCCCTCAGGGAGTGTCATGGACAGGGCACTCGGCTCAGAGCCCTTCCTCAAGGCTAGCATGTCTGACTCAGACAGTCATTTATCTCCTCAAAACCTCTTGGGTAGTTAGGGATGAGAATGTATGAAATGAATTAACAATCACGTTAGGGAAGAAACAAAAGAGGAAATGAAAACGCTTTATGGTCCTACTGCAGCCTCTAGCAGAACAGCTCGAGGGGGAACATCCCAGGGGTCTGGGATCTGGTGGCTTCTGTGGCTGTGGTCCTACTCAAAGAGCAGAATTTTGGGGCACCACGGGAGTGCAGACTTAGCCACCACTGTCTCCACTGTATGTGCCCGCAGGCCTGGAGACGAGGTCTCTGTGTTGAGCATAGGTTAAGAAGAGTTATTTTCTAAAAAGCCTTTAGTGGTTTCCGTCAGAGTTTAGTAAGTTTGTACCGTACTTGAAGAACATGGAGGATTTCTTCGTGTCTGGGCCAAAAGCAGATTTCTTCTGTTCCCGTCCTGTTCAAAATGTCCAGGTGAGGTCCGTGCCATAGGTGATGGGAGAGGGAAAGAAGGAGAACGCTATTAGAGATGAGCCCTGGTCTCTTGGTGTGAGGTACTCTGTGCCCGTTCTTTTTTTTTTTTAAAAAAAAAAAAACAACATTATTATCACAATGGTGACCATAGAGAGAAAACGGAGCTCTTTCGTTGCACTGAAATGCGACTCCAAGCATAAGTGTCCAACTGAAAACACAGTGGCCAAGTGGGGCTTGACCACTGTAAGTCCCAAGTGAGGGACAACAATAAGGTGAGCGCCACGGTTCTGTTTTTCCTATATTAGCAATCTCTAGTTCTGATCACAGGGTTTAAAAGAACTAAGGAAAGAAACAAAAACGATGCTCAGCTCCCTTCTTAACCAGAAGAGACCAGCCTCCTGGTCGTGGGCCTCTTGTACTTACCTGCTCCACATCTGTTGGCCCGGAGAATCTTCATCCACCTGCCCGGGACCCACCAACATCTTTACGGCTCACCGTTATTCTTTTTATTTATGCTGCTTTGAGTCCACAGTGGGCCTCATTCTTGCCACTTACTCCCTGGCAGGCTCCTACTGTGACCTGGTGGGGGTTTCACGCTGGGCCTTTTCCACTGAGGCCTCACTCCCTATTCCTACTGTGCCACTGTCTTCCTTGTATCGTATGGTACCCTAAGTCTTTAGAAGTGCCTGAATGTAGATGGACGTTCCTATCCCGCCCAGCCCCACAGCCGTTCAGTCCCAAAGAAACACACAGAGGCTTACATTATAAACTGTTTGACCTATTAGCTCACGCTTATTACCAACTAGCTCTTACAACTTAAACTAACCCATAATTCACGTCTATATTTAGCCATGTGCCTTGGTACCTTCTCTCAGTAAGGCATTCTTATCTTGCTTCCTCTGTGTCTGGCTGCCCTTTCCTTTTCCCATAATTCTCCTAGTCTGGTTGCCCTGCTTGTACTTCTTGCCTAGCAACTGGCCAATCAGCATTTATTAAACCAATACGAACGACAAATCTTTACAGTACACAAGAGCATTATTTCATAGCACCTGAAATTCATTGTCTGCCTTTGATAAATATGAAGTGAATGAAGAAGAGAGGAGGGAAGCAGGGCAAAGATGAAGTATCTCATCATACAATGTTTTTGCTTTTAGAACAGTGTCTGAGCACATTTTACTGAAATCATTTTTAGGAGGTGCTATTCAAACTGAGTAACACCTACACTCAACATTTCAGAATGTACCATTGAGACTCAGCCCTCCTTTCCCCCACCCCTACACACTACCCCAGATCCCCAAATGGGCAAAGTAATATGGTGTGTGTAGGCTCCAGTTGGCTCATACCTTAAAAAAAAAAAATTCCCACTTTTAACTCTCTGGCAGAATGCATAGCCATCCAGGCTCATATAGCATGGTTATTTCTGGCAGACAAATCTTGCTGCTTTTGCCCTAACTCCAAAATACACCCACTGCTTAGTGACAAGATCAAGTGGGGAAAGGGGTCCCAAGAGTCGGCCTGGATTGGGGATCACAAACTCAGATGACCACAGGGGGCCAGATGCAGGAAGGAAGGCGGCCTGGTGGGAACTAGAATCACTCAATAGGGAGGACCGTCCCCCAGAGAAGGACCATCCCGCGGGGAAAACTGACCCACAGGAAACATCCTTAGAGCCAGGACGTCAGGTCTGGCGGTTTTCAAGGGAACACGGAGATTCAGATATTTTCATGGCATTTGATGGTTTTTAAGTGTTGATTTCCAAGTCAAACAATGTTAAAACGCCGGGTCCAGACCCCTGGTGTGTGGTGGTGATGGAGAGTGCTCAGGGTTGACCGTGGTAGAGCATCCTCAGTCAGTCACTGTGGCCCTCCTGTCTCAGGCTAGGGTAAGGGACTGTCATTACAGAAGGCAGACTTGAACCAAAGAATTGGGGAGGAGGGATGTAAAGGGAGACCATGCTTTCATTTCTCGCAGCCCATACCCAAATAATCACACAGAAACTATATTAATTATAGCACCATTTGCCCAAAGACTCATGTGTACTCCTAGCTGGCTCTTACATCTTGAAAGAACCCATTTCTATTACTCTATGTATCACCACGAGGCTGTGGCCCACTGGCAATGTTCTGGCATCTTTCTCCTTCAAGTGGCTACTTGGTGTCTTCCTCCACCCACTTTTTAAAATATTTTTAATTTTTTTTAATTTTAATTTAAATTACAGGGCCAGCCAGATATTCTGATAAGAAATTCACTTTTCCTCAGGAGAAAGGAAATACTTCCGTGCCATTCGCAATTGTATCTCCCTTTTTAAAACCCTTTTTAAAGGGTTTTCTTTAAAAAAAAAAATTAGGGGCTGGAGAGATGGCTCAGAGTTTAAGAGCATTGCCTGCTCTTCCAAAGGTCCTAAGTTCAATTCCCAGCAACCACATGGGGGCTCACAACCATCTGTAATGAAGTCTGGTGCCCTCTTCTGGCCTAAAGGCATACACACAGACAGAATATTGTATACATAATAAATAAATAAATATTTTTTTTTAAAAAAAATCATATTACGTAACTGCCTTAAGTAAGATTAACCCTTTATAACACCGAAGAAACCCAGGATAGTCGTTTTAGTAACAGGAACCTACTAAAAACGATCACAGGTCAAATGCATTTTTCAGTTTCGAATGTTCTCACACTGTTCTGGTTAGGAACAATCCAGAAGCCTTCTCTGCCTCCAGCTCCCAACACATTAGAAGCACACATTTCTCCGACACACCGCACTCCTCTCACACACCAGGACTCTGGCACTGCTTCATGTTTGCCCGCGGGGAACCTGTTTTCTGTCTGGAGTTTTAAGAGCGAGCTCGGCAAGGGGACACCCCTTCCACCTGGTGTAATGGCGGCTGCCACCCTTAAATCCTGACTCACGGCACAGGATGGCGAGGACCCGTCACTCGGCTGAGTCTGCTTCCTGCCGAGGATTTCTTAGTCCAAGAGACTAAAAATGCATTCCCTGTTTCTACTAGTGAACAGCAATTCTCCCTCCCCTCTCCTCTGTCCTGAGGGAAACTTCAGAGGGAAACCAGCTACTAGATGGTTCCATTCGTCTTTCACCCCGATACCCAGGTTGGACAACCAGTTTGCCTGTCAGGACCACTACGGACCTCCACCAGAGTTTCCTCCGGCTCCGCCTTGCCCTGGCGGCATAGCTTCTGGGTCTCAATGCCTATGCTGGCAACTCCAGGGGCGGGGGAGGTCTTATCTAAGAGAACATTTAGGATGAGATTCTTGTCAACTTGGACATGTCTTTGCGATAACATCACAAAGAACAGAACCGGCTGGCTTTCCGGGATCAGGGGTGATGTGGGCATCACTCCCCCACCCCCACTTTCCAGCAGAGCCCCCTTCTAAGTACAGCTTCACTTTGGAGGTTCTGGCCGGCGCCATCACCAGCCTTAGCTCTTACCTCGGCTTGTTTTTCCTGTACTGTGCTCATCGGAAAGAGACAGCCTGTCCGAGCTGGGGCTATCTCTTTTACTTGAACTTAGCGAGAATCCTAGAAATGGAAAGAGTATTTGTGGGAGATAGAAGTGGTGGGGTACCTTCCCAAGAGCAAAAGCTTTGCCTCTGTGTAATGCCAGAGTTGCCATCAAAGCTTCCAAGGATGGGGATCCCAGACGGGGATCCCGTCTTCTGCAATCTTACAAGGCAGAGGGCGAGGACAGCCCTCTCTACACGGGGAGAAGAGACACAAACACACACAGACAGAGAGACAGAGACACGGGTCATCCTTGAATTCCCCAAGAATGCCCCCTTTATTGTGTTCAGGCGCAGACTATGTAGAGATAGCCACGCCCCAGCCAAACCCACCAGAAACCACTCTCCTGCCATCAGGAACTCCTGAAGGTCTCATGCTCAGAGCAGCTGTAGGCACTCAGATCAGGGGAGAACAAGTTGTTTACAAGAAATCCAGGATCTGGGGTCTCACTGCTCCCAACAAGAGGGGGCTCTGTGGTTAAGAGCACTGGCTGCTCTTCCAGAGGACACGGGTTCAATTCCCAGCACCCACATGGCAGCTCACAGCTGTGATTCCAGTTCCAGGGGATCTGACGCCCTCACACAGACATACATGCAGGCAAACACCACGTAAAAATAATAAACAAATCTTAAAAAAAAAAACATAGGCGGAATCCTTGTCCAAGTTTTGACTTTTAAATTCTGACTGTGAGATAAATAACAAACTTCGGGCAGAACACTCTAGAATCAGGGGGTTTTCGCTTAGCGTGAATTAAGATCCGGGACTTACTTTCCAAGATTCTTGGGAGGATGGGGTTACTCTTTGACGCCTGGGCTCTTTTTTGTGATTGCTGCACTTGCCAGTGTTTCGGGGACAACTTCAGCAGGAAGAGCCCGTACTTCATGTACTCCTTGAGGAGGAATTCGGTTTTCACTATTTCACTTCAAAAGAAACAAGGATGGGTTACACAGCTGCGAAAGCACTTTTCTCACCATCATTTGCTGGCACAACAGCCCAACAGCCCAACTTTTTTTTTTTTTTTTTTGGTTTTTCGAGACAGGGTTCCTTTTCTCTGTGGTTTTGGAGCCTGTCCTGGAACTAGCTCTTGTAGACCAGGCTGGTCTCGAACTCACAGACATCCGCCTGCCTCTAACAGCACAACTTGTAAACATAGCCACAGACGCTGGCCTTCTGAAAGATCTGAGCGGAAAGAAACCCAGAGGCTGGTCTTTGCCTGAAACAGCCCAGTGACACGCACATTCGGAGTGGGCGGGCGGGCGACAGGCTAGCTCCGCTGGTCTCCATCAGAAACATCATATTCTAGTGAGCTTGGGCCCTATGGGGGAACTGGAAGCTGAAAAAGACTGGGTGTATGAGGGGAAGAAAGGGAACTACCGTTTCACAGAGGCCTGACGCGCGGAAGCAGTGTGCAGAATACCCGACATGCGTTCTTGCACACTCAGCGCAGCATTTAAAAGTAGGTCTGTCTTAGCTGGGGTTTCTATTGCTGTGAAGAAACACCATGACCAAACAGCAAGCTGGGGAGGGAAGGGTTTATGTGACTTATACCTCCAGATCGTAGTCCGTCAACGAAGGAAGTCAGGACAGGAACTTACACAGGGCAGGATCCTGGAGTCAGGAGCTGATGCAGAGGCCACGGAGGATGCTGCTTGCTGGCTTGCTTCCCCTGGCTTGCTCAGCCAGGACCACCATTCCAGGGACAGCACTGCCCACCATGGACCGGGGCCTCCCCCTCTGATCACTAATTGAAAAAGTGCCTTCCAGCTGGATCTTATGGAGGTGTTTCCGCAAGTGAAGCTCCCTCCTCTCTGATGGCTCTAGCTTGTGGCAAGTTGACACACAGAACCAGCCAGAACAAATGACCCTTTGTCAACTCGACACACAAACGCATCACTATTAAGCCACAACCCTTCCTTTCTTATTCATCCCCAAGATCTCATATTAAAATCATAAATAGCTTTAAAAGCCCCCACAATCTTTACAAATTTAACCACATTAAAATTTTAGGCTCTTGGCCGGGCGGTGGTGGCGCACGCCTTTAATCCCAGCACTCGGGAGGCAGAGGCAGGCGGATCTCTGTGAGTTCGAGGCCAGCCTGGTCTACAAGAGCTAGTTCCAGGACAGGAACCAAAAGCTACGGAGAAACCCTGTCTCGAAAAAAAAAAAAAAAAAAAAATTTAGGCTCTTTAAAATATTCTGTAGAAATCTTTCTTGAATATGGGATTTAAGATGTTTTAGTAGCATAAGGCTTTTCATGACAGCGAGACGCATCTGCTCCCCGCAGTACCATTCTACGTCAATACCCAGTCTTTTAAAAGTTCGAGTCTTTAACCTTTACAAACCAAAAGTAAATCGAATACCTTCTTCAAGAGGGAAGAACCAGGGCAACGTCACAATCTGAACCAAGCAAAACCGAACTCCAGCAGTATAAATAACTCAATATTCAGTTATCCGGGATTCACTCCGGTTCTTCTAGACTCCGCCAAAGGGCTTGGGTCATTTCTCCGGCCCCGCCCTCTGCTGCGTGCGCAGCGTGTCTTCTAGGCTCTGGCTGGCTCCATTCCAGAGCTGCTAACGTTCGTGGTGATCATCCCACCCTACTGGCGTCTCCAAAATCCTGAAGTCTTCTGCTGCCGCTGGCCTGGACATTCACCAATAGCCTCTCAAAGGCTCTCTTCATGGTGCTAAGCCTCAACTTCTTCTTTGCACGACCCCTTCAGTCTTGGGCCTTCAACGATGGCCTTTCCCTGCTTCTCCCGGTGCCCAGGCTCAGCTGCTCTCCATGAACCCTTCGTGCCTTCAAAACCAGCGCCACCTGGGTGACATGGACACATTATCAAATCCTGCTGCCAGCATAAGGTACAATCACGACCGCCTCTGGACACAGCTCCTCTCTGCTCCCAGGAAACTCTTCCCAGAGGATTTCACCTCGCCGGTGCTGATATCTCTTCTTAATTCCTTATTAAGACGATCACTGCTAATTTCTTAGCTCCTGCTGAGCAGCAGCAATGGTCCCAGTAACGTGATTTGCTTCAGTAGTTTCTGGTGTCTTGTTAATCACGGCTCATTCTTCAACCCCCACTAACAGGAACCATAGAATCTTAATTCAAAATAGCAAATGGCCCGGATAGAGTCTTTAAACTTCTCCCTGAAATTTCACAGGCCAGGCCTCCGTTGTCTGCACTGCTCTCAATGTTCTTCTCGTTCCAGCTCCCACAGAACACCCCACTGAGGTCTCAACACTCAATGACTTTTCTAATCCTAAATTCCAAAGTCTTTTCCAAATCCTCCAAAAACAAAACAAAACAAAAAAACCCAAAACAACAACAACAACAAAACCATGGTCAGGTCTGTCGCAGCAATACCCCACTACGCTGCTACAAATTAGTCTTAGGGTTTCTACTGCTGTGACCAAAAAGCAAGTTGGGGAGGAAAGGATTTATTTGACTTACGCTTCTAGATCACTGTCCATCACTGGAGGAACGGGAACTCAAGCAGGGCTGGAGCCTGGAGGCAGGAACCCATGCAGAGGCCACGGAGAGGAGCTGCTTACTGGTCTGTTTTTCCTGGCTTGCTCCGTCTGCTCTTTCATACAACCCAGGACCACTGGCCCCGGGGGATGGGACCACCTACCATGGGTTGGGCCCTCCCCATTGGTCACTAATTGAGAACACGCCTTACACCTGATGTTACGGAGGCATTTCCTCAGCTGAGGCTCCTTCCTCTGATGACTCCGGCTTGTGTCAAGCTGAAACACGAGACCAGTCAGTACAGTGTCCTTGGAACCAGAGCGCTGGAGCATAGATTAAGAATGCTTACAGCTCTTGTGGGTTAGGTCCCAAGTTTAATTCCTCGTGCCTATGTTGGGTGGCTCACACCTGCCAGGGAGATCCAATGTCTCCGTCTCCACCCTGGCACTAGTGCACATATCCGCAAACACAAATCTGTCTCACTTTGGATTTTTATTGCAGTGAAGAGACACCATGACCATGGCAACTCTTATAAAGAAAACATTTAATTAACAGGGCTCATTTACAGTTTCAGAGGTTCAGTCGGTTATCATCCTAGCAGAGGTCATGGTGGCATGAGGGTGGAGGCGGAGCTGAGGCTGCTGTTACATCTGGCAGGCAACAGAAAATCAACTAACACCTTGGGTGGTATCAAGCATTAAGAAACTTCAAAGTCCACCCCACGGTGACAGACCTCCAAAGAGTGCCACCCCCTGTGTGATTATGGGGGCCACATATATTCAAACTACTACAACACCTAATTAAAACTAAATCTTCAGGGGCTGGAGAGATGGCTCAGTGGTTAAGAGCACTGACTACTCTTCCAGAGGACCTGGGTTCGATTTCCAGCCCCCACTAGGCAGTTCACGACTGTCTGGAACTCCAGTTCCAGGGGATCTGACACCCGAGGCAAAACAGCAAAGTATATAAAATAAAAATAAACTGAAAATCTTTAAACAACAGATGTTGTTATTTTCCTCTTAGGGAAAAAGAAATAGATTACTGGTATCCTTCTAGCAATGACAGACGTCTGACAGATGCCTATGCTTTCACCAACATTACCTAGAGTCTTGGGCTCTCTGCTTTCCCCCAGCTTCGTACTGCTCTACTCCAGTCTTGTTTCAAACAGACGCACACGCAGAGTTGAAAACAGAACAGCAAGGCCCAAGCCACCGTCCTCATTTAGAACTTCATTAGTTCCCTTCTCACGGTTGCATCGTCTCAAACGCCCAGCCTCAACCCTTCATCCTTCAGCCCCGCATCCGTAGTCTCTAAGGGTGAGCACACAATTCCTCACGTTCAGTAGTTGGGAGCTTGTGGGAGCCCCTCATTTCTCCTCCCAGAGTGTCACAGAGATGGTGTGGTAAACGTTGGCTGGGATTGGACACCTTCGATGGAAAGGTATCCAGAGAAAGTCCTTTCTCCTTTTCAAAGACTTTCCATTCTCAAACCATCTTACCACAAAAGGAAGGGGCTCCCATTGGCTGGTTCTACCCATGTGCCTGCTCCGTCATCTCGTTTACTCTTCTAGAAGGGTGAGACCCAGGCACTGAGCAAGGTCTCTGGCAAGGCTGTTTAGAGGTGTAACCAAATGGGCACTATGCAGAGCCTAGTAGTTATACCAGCACCCTGGCCACTGCTTAGGTTCCTCATGGAACCAGATGAACAGGGTAATGGACAATTATATATTATTTATTAATGAATATATTGCATATAATATATAATGTTATATAATCACACATTAATATTAATTGATAGATTAATGGACACATATATGTATATGGATAGGGTCATCTAAATGGTTCTGGTAGTTTACCCCTGAAATCCCTGCTGATTGGGAAGCTGAAGCAAGGTATTGAAGGTTTGCTGGAACAACAGAGAGAGTTCCAGCCCAGCCTGAGCAATAAAGCAAGGCACAATTTAGACACGGAAAGTAAGAAAAACAAATGCTGGGGACGTAGCCAAGAATTTCATACCTGGGGAAGTGGGGAGGGGTCTCCTATTATGAAGCACCTTCAACCTTAAACTTTTAAGTAGAAGAGGCGACTAGAGCCAGAATCTGTTTGAAACACATAATTTGGATTATGAACTTAGTGTCTCAAGTGATCACAAGAGTCTTTTAGATATTAGATATTGAAACTCATTCAGCCGAGTTTCCTTGAACACAGAAGGTCCGAGAAGGGACGACTGAGCACATAATAATATGAGCCCCATCCCTGCTCCTGTGATTTTTCTCAGTACAGAGCTTACATTTATTAGTGCCATGAGATTCTGCTCCGGAGTTTGAGGACAAAAACTGCCAACGATGAATGCCAGCTGATCGTCAACTGCATCCCAGCTGAGATGTTGAATGTGGGTGAAGGGGGTGAAGGGTTTCTTACAACGAGCAAACGGGAGGCACATAGAAAAAAAAACCCTTGTTTACTCCTGACATTGTTTTTCTTCTTTTCAGCTAACTCCTCAACTTCTGCATCTACAAGTGAGAGAGCCTTTTAGAGAGAGGTTATGCTCTGAAATCTAGACAGGCGCAATCCTTGACAGCCATGTCATTCGCTTTAAAATCTGTCCATATTGAGTTACCTGTTGGTAAGGAATAATATTCCCACTCGGCCTTTGCTGGGCACAAGAAGTCACGATAGGACGTGGGAACAGGCTGAGGAAAAGGCGGCCCCTCTCACCTCTTTATCGCCTGGACTTCCATGCTTGCTTTCTTGAGCTCCGTTGTCATCTGGAGTTTGTTTAATGTTTCTTGTGCTGCCCTGAAAGGGAACGCGCATCTATTAGTTATTCATTTATATTCCGAAAAACTGAAACAAGCAAGCAAAGACTCGGGGGGGGGGGGGCAGCTAGGGTGGAGACACTAACATTTTAAGAGCGTCTACAGATCTCTGGTCATTTTCACGGAGGAACTCTTCAAAGGCTACGGCGTCAGCTTGGAGCTTTTTCTCGGCTTTCCTGAGTTGATTTTCCTTCATGACGATGAGCTTTTCAAACCTTTGAATTGTGTTTTTCTTGGTTGACACTGCGTACTAGGAATATCGAAAACAAGAGCGGGTCAAGAACATTCCGTCACATGTTACCGATAGGCATCAATAGAACCTCTGAGAAGGCTAGGGAGTGGGTCCTGCCGCAAGATGGCCACTTGCTTTAGAAGTCATAATGACGTGCACAGAGCTGGGACTTTATCTCATGCTGGAAGATTGCTTTGCGGGCAGTCAGGAGGGAAGTGAAGTCTTCTTACTAGTGTTCATGAAGAGACTTTGTGTTCTTCTAAAATGGCTGCTCCCTACCTGCCAAAACACAGGTGTTTTTCAAAGAGTAGGTCCATCTGTTACAAAGAAACCAGGCTGTCTATAGCTCCCAGGCCCCCCATCTTTTCCTCTGACAGGAGAAGTAAGTTTCAACTTGGGGTGCAATGATGGATTTCTCCAAGTGGGCCTGAGGGTGTGGGTTATTCAACCAAACCCAGAGAGATCTGTTTAGATTTTCAAGTGTGAATTTTGACAACTACCTTTTTCTTTTTTTAGTGCAGCATATGAGATCTGATGCCACATGGACTTGTCCCCCTTCCCCAATAGATGCATGTATATATTGTAGGAAGATTCTACAGTGGCAGATTTCAATATGACTTCCTCTAAAGGCCTTACGTGTTAATACCCCCGCCGCTAGACACCCCATGTTAGAAAATAAAAGCCCAACGCCAGGAGTGTGCTACTCTTTTTGAGTTGTTGATCACTGGGGTCTCATTGACCCCTCAAATATTATGGGCTATTGCCGTTGCCCTTGGTTACCCTCCAGAACTAAGTCCCTGTGTTAGCTAGGTTGTTGTCAACTTGGGACAAGCTAGAGTTATCGGAGAGGAGGGAATTTCAATTAAAAAAAAAAAAAGCTTAGCCGGGCGGTGGTGGCGCACGCCTTTAATCCCAGCACTCGGGAGGCAGAGGCAGGCGGATCTCTGTGAGTTCGAGACCAGCCTGATCTACAGAGCTAGTTCCAGGACAGGCTCCAAAGCCACAGAGAAACCCTGTCTCGAAAAAAAAAAAAAAAAACTTTCCTAAGATTGGCTGTGGGCAAGCCTATGAAGCATTTTCTTGATTAATAATTGACATGGGAAGACCCAGCTGACTGTAAGTGATGTCACCTCTCGTAGGTGGTCCTGGATGGTATAAAAGAACATGCTGAGCAGGTCTTGGGGAGCAAGTCAGGAAGCAGCACTCCTCCATGGCTTCTGCTCCCGTTCTTGCCCCAGTTCCCAAGCTAATTTCCCTCAGTCTCAGTGATGGACAGTTACCTGGACGAGCAAGGTGAGAGGAACCCTTTCCTTTCTCGTGGTCATGGTGTCTTATCACAGCAGTAGAAACCTGACTCAGACAGTATCACTGAAGACACCACTGTGGAGAAATTCAGCTGGTACAGACCCGAAAGTTTCACCCCTTCTAGATAACTTTCATAACGTTGGAAAGAGCTATGCATGCAAGCAGAGGAGAGAAACAACCACCACTCTTATCCAGCTATGAACCCTAGGAGATACAATAATGACTGGCCTGGCAAGATATGCTTACTGGTGCAATAGTGGCATGGATATTGTTTGAGTAACTAACCACTTTCTGATTGGACCTAAGGTCTATTTCACTTGGTAGAGAACCCTTGACTAGCCCTGCTGTTGGGGTCAAGCACTTGTGACAAGATAGGACCTAGGGGAGAAGTTACTACTATTATTCTGTTAAGTAGATATAGCATTAAAAAACTCCTGTCTTAGTGTGATAGTTTGAATATAATTGGCCCCCATGATCTCATAGGGAGTGGCACTATTAGGAGGTGTGGCTTTGTTGGAGTGGGTGTGGCATCACTGTGTCACTGTGGGGGTGGGCTTTGAGAGTCTTTTTCTCAAGCTTCACTCAGTATGACAGTCAGTAGACTTCCTGTTGCCTCTGAGTCAAGATATAGGACTCTCAGCTCCAGCACCATGTCTGCCTGCATGCCACCATGCTCCCCTTCATGATCGTAATGGACTGAACCTCTGAAACTGTAAAAGAGCCCCTTCAATTAACTATTTCTTTTATAAGAGTTGCCATGGTCATGGTGTCTCTCCACAGCAATAAAAACCCTAACTAAGACAGTGAGGGTTACTACTGTGGTGATGAAATATCATGGCCCAAAGCATCTTGGGGAGAAAGGATTTATTTCAGTTATGCCTCCACATAACAGCTCATCACTAAAAGCAGTGAGAGCAGGAACTCAAGCTGGGCAGAATCCAGGAGGCAGGAGCTGATGCAGAGGCCATGGAGGATGCTGCTTACTGGTTTGCTTCCCGTGGCTAGCTCAGCCTGCTTTCTTATAAAACCCGGGACTACCAGTCTGAGGGTAGCCCCACCCAAGGCAAGCTGGGCCCTCCCACACCAATCACACGTCAATCACTGATTAAGAAAATGCCCTACAGGCTTACCTACAGCCAGATTTTATGGAGGCATTTTTTTCTGTGACTCCCTCCTTTCAGATGAGTCTAGCATGTGTGTCAATTCACATGGAAGCAGCCAGCATAAGTCCTAATGTCATATTGCTATCCCAGAGATCAGTGCGCCTCTCAACTGTCATCAGAGAAGTGACTTCTTATAATAGATGATGATAGACATGGAGACCCACAACTGGTCAACCAGCTGAGAACAAGAGACTATGGAATTCTCAGCCTTGAATAGAGCATCTCTACGACGTCGATTTTCCCAAAGCTCAGGGATCGTTGTGCAAGAGCAGAGACATTGTAAGGGCCAGCGGTGTAGATGATGTCAAAAACACAGTGTTTTCCAGACACAACTGGCAAAGCACACCTATGGACTCCCAGCAATTGCGACAACAGGCACAAGACATTTGCAAATGCAAACAAAGTACAACCACAGCGTGGAGGACCAGAGCTCCAGGGAGAGGGATTCTTCTTTAAAGGTGTGACTCTTGATCAGTCAACCATATCCAGGGCAGGCCCCACATCCAAGAGCAGTTGGGCAAAACAAATCGGACTCAACAGGTTTAAAGCAAAAAAAGGAAAGACGGTGAAAGTGGAGGAGTAAGGGGGTGAAAGCTGATCTGGAATGAGTTGGGGGGTGTGACATTATCAAAATCCATTGTGAGAAAGTCTCAAAGGATAACAGTCATGCTATTGAAAATGATAAATTTTGGATATAGGCAAATGCTCTTTCCACGTTGGTTGAGATGATTCCATGGCTTTTCATTTCTAATCTGTTGCTACGTATTGTACTTAGCCATTTTCAAATGTTAAGCTGCTTTTACATGCTTAGGATAAGCCCCAATTAGCCATAATGGATTATCCTTTTTGTGTATTATTGGATTTGTTAAAAATTGCTTGGAGTGCTTGCCTCTACCTTTCTTCCTCTTTAAACATTTATTATATTTAGTTGGTTAGTTGGTTAGTTTAAGTGCATGGGGCAGGGACACATGGGAGTCAGAGGACAACTGGGAGACGCTGCTCCTTCCTCCATGCAGGTCTCAGATACTGAGCTCAGGTCACCAGGCTTGGAGCATGTGCCTAGCCCACTAGGCCATCCTGTGCACCTGTTCTTGTCATACCGAGTGCTGGGAATGTGCCTCCTTCTTACTCAATTTTATGTAATAGGGTCTGTAAAATTAGAATGGTTTTCTCTTAAAATGTCTGGTACACTTAGCCCGAGAATGTGGGTTTTTTTCTTTCTTTTGCCAACTAGCACAATTTTTATAATGTTATGAAGCTGTTTATCTACGTTCTCCTTGGATAAGCTTTGTTAGCTTGTAACTTTGCAGAAATTCATTCCATCCATGTCAAATTATTGACATAAAATCATAGTATACAAATCACAATACAGGAGCACATACATTCTAAATGAGGCTTTCACACCCTAAGTCTGCCACAAATAAAACCTTTAAAAAGGAAGGGGGGCACTGGAGAGATGGCTCAGAGGTTAAGAGCATTGCCTGCTCTCCCAAAGGTCCTGAGTTCAATTCCCAGCAACCACATGGTGGCTCACAACCATCTGTAATGAGGTCTGGTGCCCTCTTCTGGCCTGCAGGCATACACACAGACAGAATATTGTGTACATAATAAATAAATATTTTTTAAAAAAGGAAGGGGTGGGGGCAGAGAAAAGGGGGTGAAAGGAACAAGGCAAGATGCCATGGGACCAATTCAGTTTTTGGAAATTTAGTTACTCATCCCCAAGCCCACCCTCACTACTGACACCAACAGCAAATTTGAGCCCCTCAAGTAGTCTCAGGTTTCTGGGACATCTCACAAAACCCCTGGGTCCGAAGAAGAGGCCCCTGAGGTAAGGTTTAGAGCAGTGCCTCTCAGCCCCCCTAATGCTGAGGCCCTTTAACACAGCTCCTCGTGCTGGGGTGACCGCCAACCACGGAGTTATTCCAACGCTCCTTCATCACTGCAGTTTTGCTACCATTGCGAATTGTAATGTAAATATCCGACATGTGACCCCAAGGGGTCGTGACCCACATACTGAGAACCACGGTTTTAGAGATGCTCCAGATACAAAGCTTCTTCGGGGACCCCCTCCCCCACGGAGTCGGCCTCCGGTTCCATTCCTGCACCTGTAACGATAAACATGGCTATAGCCAACCAGGGAATCAACTGAGCCTCACTGGCTGGAGTTTCCAATGACGCTTCGTTCCACAGACATGATTGATTGACTGACTTGTTTTCAGTCCTCAGACCTCTCGGTATGACCCCAAACCTCCACAGTGTTGGTTTTTCTGGCATGGTCATCCTAAGACTGGTAGGCGTGGCCACCTTCACCTTAAAGACATCTTTAGGAGATGTGACATTGGCCCTGCCTTCTAGAAAACAAGACCAGAGCCAGACATTTCTTGGGCAAGGTCAGTTTTTTTTTTTTCCCAGCAACGGTTTGAGCGATAAGTTGACTTTATTCTATCACTTGGGGAACATGTTATCAACCTGCTTGGGGGGGGGGGGGGTTAGAAAAAAATACCAGAGCCGTGGACAAAGCCCATTTACTATAACCACACTGAAATCCTAGAGAAACTGCCAAGTGCCATCTCCGGGTACCTAGCCAAGACATTAGCTCCATCCTCAAGGTTTCATGCTGAGGATGAGATCCCAGGCAGGAACTGATATTAGCAAACAAAGGCGTGGGGTTCTCGTCACAGCCGTAGGATATAGCTTATGTGAGCTCTGTTGACTGCAGCTGGTCTCATAGGAAAGCATCCCTGTATCCCAAAATGTGTGCTATGAAATTAGGAAAGATCAGATATATTTTCCCTTACTCATTAGCGTTCAAGACCTTAACAGAAACAGACTGTCGTGAGTACAGTGTCTCCGCTCTATCCATGGTAAATTAACATGGATATATGACTAATAAAGAATATTATTGTCATGTGACCTGGGTTCCAGTTCAAGGTTACTGATGACAGGATAAAAACCCTCTGTTATTTTATAAGACGCTTCAAGATCTTCCCTGGTTGGCTAGGCTGTGTGTTTATTGTTACAGCTGCAGCTGGTACCACAGGTGGACTCCACAGAGCTGAGGGGCTGGTTGACCAAACACCTTTGCTCGTGCTTCTAAACCCTGCCTCGTGGGGGCTCTTCCAGCTGACTTTAATATTTCCTTTCCTTGTAACAAGTCATTTCTCTCTGGTATTGAGTGGGTATAGAGACAGCTGGGAGATTCCAGAATGTTCTGGTTTCCATCATAGTCAACACGAATATCAGAAAATTCTAAGTCAAATAGGCTTCTTGAGGGCTATTGGGGCTACTCTCGGACTGAAGGGAGAAAGAGCTAATGGAGCCCAATGTCTTCTAGAAATACAATCCACTTCCTGAGTTACTAGCATAGATTATTTAAATATAAGTTCTCCACTGGGAGGGAGTTTGGTAATGACCTAGCACATAATAAATACTCAATAAATATTGTTCAGGAGAATAAGCGTAGGAACGAGCCACTCTGTTCAGCCAATAATAGATTTAGAACATGTTATGGAAAAGCACAGCGCCGGGCTAAGTATCTGACAAGGCTATGCAAGAAGCCTCCTGGTTAATGGGAGAAAAATGTTACATTTAATACCTCCAGTAGAAATCTGTCTCTCTGGTCATTAATAAACTCATGCACAGTCCTCTTTCTGTCCGCACCTGGAGAGAACATGGAAACAGACATAGGTTTCATTGGCTAGCTCTCAGCAATACCGCACAGAACGCGAGCTGGCCAAGTCATCATATATGCTGTGCATCCAGACAGTAGGGTTTCCCTGGCACTCCAGAGCTGCCACAAGAGTGGCTACCCCTTATTGTGTATCTTCGAACAGTTCGGAGGGCTGGTTAGGGATTTTAAACATGTGTGAAACCGATGGAATCTGGTACAGAATGAAGTCTCTCGCTAACGACATAGACAGAAAATACTGCCTAAACAGACAATGGGTCTGTACCGCCCAGGGGTACGTCTCTCCAAAGGTGCCCTGGTTCCCACCTCTAACTGGGAGAGAAGAGTAAGCCTGCTCTCTCTTTGTGCCTCAGTTTCCTCGTCTGTGTGAAAACTGTTTTTCTACCCTCAGCTCATGGTCTGGCCATGAAACAGGCATGGAGCTATGTGGCTTTCAAGAAGAAGCTTCATGAGCCCTGAGTTGCAGCCCCTGTGATATTCTAGATGGTGACCGTTCCTTCGGCCGGGACTCAAAGAGAAAGCGACCGAGAAGTAAACCTCTGGGGTTGGAAGCCCCTGAAATTTCAACATGGCTTGTATTTGTTATGAAAGCATAGGGTGGCCCCTGTAAGAACATCCCTCTTTCCCACAGAGGCATTGGGAAAAGAAAACAGGGCCGCAGAATATAAAACACACAGTAGTTTCTCGATAACTATTAGCGGCTATTATTCAGACAACGCCCTTGGAATGAATTGTTTCGTTTTTGCAATCAATCATAAAAGCAGTACTAATTATACAATGGAGTCAGGCAGGCTTGGACTCGAACTCTGCATTTGCTTAGAGATTTGGGGTGCCTCAACCTCATTGAGCCATTTTCATCTGCTTTGGGCAAGTTCCCCCATGCAGCTGCAGGCCAGCAATAAACACTTTCTTTTTGGCTTTAAGAATATCTGTGTCAGCCGGGCGGTGGTGGCGCACGCCTTTAATCCCAGCACTCGGGAGGCAGAGGCAGGCGGATCTCTGTGAGTTCGAGACCAGCCTGGTCTACAAGAGCTAGTTCCAGGACAGGAACCAAAAGCTACGGAGAAACCCTGTCTCGAAAAATCAAAAAAAAAAAAAAAAAAAAAAAAAAAGAATATCTGTGTCTGGGCTGGAGAGATGGCTCAGTGGTTAAGAGCATTGCCTGCTCTTCCAAAGGTCCTGAGTTCAATTCCCAGCAACCACATGGTGGCTCACTACCATCTGTAAAGAGGTCTGGCGCCCTCTTCTGGCCTTCAGGCATACCGACAGAATATTGTATACATATATTAAAATTAATTAATAAAAAAGAATATCTGTGTCGGCAGGTCAGTGGCGGCACATGCCTTTAATTCCAGCAGAGGCGGGGGACGGGGATCTCTGAGTCTGAGGCCAGCCTGGTCTACAGAGTGAACTTCAGAACATCCAGGGTCACACAGAGGAACCCTATCTCCCCATCAAACAGAGTGTCCGTGATGCGCCCTCTGGCGGTCTTATCTCGAAATAGCTTGCTGTCTCTCAACCACCAGTAAATCTCCCCAACCCATGACGCACGCATTTTAAAGCGAAGAGAAGAGTAGCGTGGACTTACCTTCTGTCAGTCTGAGAATAAGAGTGGGGTCTAGCCCCAGGTCTTCGAAGGAGCCGCCGCCTCCTTCCGCGTAGAACGTCAGCTGGCTGAGGTGCGAGCGGCTCTTCATGCGAGATGAAAACGTCGTCTTCTGGTGGATTTTCATGTTGCGGCTCATGAGTCTTTCCTGCCCAAGGCGCAAGAGTGCAGAAGGAGCTTTGGTATGGCAAAGCACTACATTGTTACGATCGGGATCGTAGGCAAACAGCCAAGACATTTGGCCTTAGGCAGCCTGGGAGCTGCCCTGGAAGCCCTTTCCTTGTTAGGTGGAGACAAGGAAGACCGTGTTTGAAAGGTGGGGCCTTCAATAAACTACCTCCGAGACAGGAAAACGTCTTTCCAGGGAAATCCCAAGAGGTTAGCTTGTCGGGACTGGAAACACAAGAGGGGACCCAGCTCCACCGGAGGTGGTGAGAGCCCACCCCTTGGATTTCCTTCAGGTTCTTTCAGTTTAATATTATGTTACGCTCAACAAAGGCTCGCCAACACCTGGAGAAAAGCCAGACCAGATGAAGATACTGCAGTGTTTCTAGATTACTCATTTCATGTAGGGTTAGGAGGGTCCTTTAACCAGTGACCCTTGGGAAGAAAATGTGAACCTCAGGCTCACTGCTGATTAAACTTCACTGCAAATTACTCTAAAAATGATCCTCTTCCCCTCTCCACCCTTTCTCTCTTCTCTTCTCTTCCTGAAGCACGTATAGACTTGTTTATCCATAAGGGTCATATCCATAAGGGTCAACTCCTGTCACCACAGTGACTTCTCTGCCTCTCCCCCTCCCGTCCTCTCTTTTCTCAACAGGGCAGACTGCTCTGTCTCCTTTACCCGTCTCTGATGCTGTGACCTGTCTGTCAGTTCTAAGGTGTCACCCGTGGTGAGACGCACTTTTATTTTGTGTCTGGCCAATGATGCACGACATGCCATCTGTGCAGGTTAGTCCCGGTTTCAGAAATGTAATAATATGAAAAGTGTGTGTGTGTGTCAGACCTGTGAAGTAGGGTAGATCCTGCCTGTCCTTCTAGCGGGTACCGGCGTAGCTGCCTTCCCCCACTAGGTGGCGATCTCTGAAGGTCCCTGCTTACCCCTGTCCTCTGCATGCCCAGTCTTCCCAGAATGGTCCGGATGACCACATACCAGGAACATCAATATCTTTTTTTAAGTCCTAATTGTCCTATAACCCACTTTATAGACCAGGCTGGCCTCGAACTCAGAGATCCGCCTGCCTCTGCCTCTCAAGTGACATGTGTCACCCAGCCTGGCCCTAAGACCGTGTCTTAACCCACACAAACTGATAAGAGCTATGGCTCAAAGCACGTGACCCTAACCTTTGTGGGACCCTGAGCTCAATAGGACCCTTACCTTTTTCTTCGCGGCCACCTCATTTTCTTTGAAAAGGAAGAGATCTTTGAAAAAGATCTTGTAGGGTCGTTCCTTTTTGATTGTATCATCTTTTATTCTATCTGAAAGGAGGGAAAGAGAGGGGAGAAGGAGGTGAGGGAGGGAAGGAAGGATTTGTTAGCTCATCTAATAAGTAAGTAGGCTTATTAAGTCTCCCATGTGCTGGGATAGGGAAACGGGACACAGGGGTCTCTGAGAAGGTGGAGCGCAGCTGCATACTGCTCTGGCCTTCACACTGGGATGGGCTCTACCACCAGCTTTTCTGAGTCTCCGGCTTGTAGCGCTCTCTATAGTGACACGAGCCCCTTTATCTCATACTTTGCCTTCCCACTGATGCTGTATTCTGGATCAAAGACCATGAGCTTGCCTGAGCCCATCCTGTGTCCCCTACCACAGAGTAAGGATGGATCCCAGATACCCAATGGACCTGCTGATACTAATTTGAATGCTCAGAGGAAAGTAATTGGCAGGTTGGGTTTAGGCCACCCACACTCTCTTCCTCTCTGGTCTCCTATAAGACTACTAGTTGCATTTTTTGGGGGGACACCATTTTGATTTTTGAGACAGTCTATCAATGCAGCTCCTGACTATTGTAGAACTCGCCATATAGACCAGGCTAATCTCAGATTCATAGAGACCTGCCTGCCTCTCCCTCCCAAGTGCCGGGATTAAAGGCTTGCACCACCATAAACGGCATTTGAGACGGACCATAAATCCACAATATTTTCTTTTGTTTATTTCCCTTTTCTTTTTGAAAACATGTTCCTATTTTCAGGTTCTGGGTAGACTGATCTTTGGGGGCGAGATTAAAACCCTGAATAACACCGTACCCACAAGGTCCAGTAGAATCCACCCTTAGCCTCCTGCCCAATCCTACTGCAGGCTATAGAGCAACGTGAACCTTGGGTCTACAGCTTGTCACTTGGGCATCTGAGGCATTCGCTGCACCCAAGGTTACTCCGAGCTCAGCTGTGTTTTCCTCTGGGCTGCTCTGAAGAGCCACGTCATGGCTAACAAACAGTCTTGCGGGGCTTGACTGTTAGTGTCCCGTGGAGGCCGTGGCAGGACAACAAAACCCCTTGGTTGGGAATTCTAGAGATGGGGAGCCTAAAATAAGACCCCTAACAACGAGCTACAAGGGGTGGGTGTCTCGGCAGGCTCTAGGTAGGATCTGTTTACACCTTCTGCCCACATGCTCTGGCTTGCCGCCCCTTCATCCACCCTCAGGTTCCACTGTCACACTGCCTGCCAGGTCTAAGACACACCTGCCTCCCTCCCGTGCAGACTTTTGGGTTATCCCAGACCCATTAGATAATCCGGAATATCCTTCCCAAGTCAAGCTCCTTAACTTAACCACATTTTAAAAGTTTATTTTTTTATCAAGCAAAGTAACATATTCACAGGTTCCAAGGAATGTAACGTGTGCGTATTTGGGGACTACGAGTCTGTCTGTGACACGCAGACTTGTTCCCTTCTTTGTTTGTTCCCTTTCTGCTTACCTGGTTCTAATTCAGTCATTCCTTCAACAAATACCCCTGAAGGGTGTCTGCTATGCACCACGCAACACACACTAGTGAACAAAATAAAGACTCTGCCCTTACTCTGAGTTGAATTGGTAGGCGGGAGGGAGGGGTAACAGATAAAAAATACACATAACAAGTAAGGGGTTTTATAATACAAGTAACCCTAGCCCTGACCAAAACTTCTCAGCAGGACGTACAAGTCCTTTTTTTTTTTTCTTATGCTGGCCTGTAGCTTTTCCCCTTACCCTCTGGCCAGCACAGAGCCCAACAGTACCAGGCATATAGCGAGCACACATTGATTGCTTGATTCTTACCTCCAGTACTCGATGCCTGAAAAAACTGGGATGTCATTTTGTCTCCTGGTCCTGTCCAAAGAAAACGAAATACACCATTTAGAAACCCTTCAGACTCAAGCGAACAGACTCCACGTAAAATGTATATTCCCAGAATAAAGTCATAAATAGTCTGTCTATAGGGGCTGGACCCACAACTCATCCACTGAGAGCTTGAACCGTTCTTTCAGAAGAACTGAGTTGGGATCTCAGCATCCGTGTTGGGCCATTTACAACCGCCTGGAGCTTCAGTGTCACAGGCTCCAGCGTCGTTTTCTGGCCTCTTTAGCCACCTTCATTTACAGGCACGCATGCACGCGTGCACTCATACACACACACACACACACACACACACACACACACACAAGCACACACTTAAAAACAAAAGAAATATTGCAACATTTAGGTTGTGAGCCTATCCTTTTAATGACTGATCCATTCCTCCAACCTGAAAAGCAAAGACAATTTTTTAAAAACAAAGCAAAACAAAACAAAACCTGTATACACTGCATAGATGTGACTAAATTCAGCTGCCAGCGGCTTCTCAGCAACTTTCCTGGCTTCTAAAACCATGACCTCACAGACTCCTGTGCCCAGCAATTCCAGTTCTAGGAATTCACACTCCGGAAAATAACCAACCCTGACAGCAAAAACGCCATATGCGCCAGAGTGTGTGTTTGGTACCATTTAATAACTTGGAGGGGCTGGAGAGACGGCTCAGTGGTTAAGAGCACTGGCTGCTCTTCCAGAGGTCCTGAGTTCAATTCCCAGAAACCACATGGTGGCTCACAACCATCTGCAATGAGATCTGGCACCCTCTTCTGATGTGAGGGCATACATGAAGGCAGAATATTATATACTTAATAAATAAATCTTTAAAAAAAATAACTTGGAATAGCTGTGGCTCACCATAAGCTAAACTGTCACGTGATCTTTAGCATGATGTTGGGGTCACTCTTCACTTGGCGCCCCTTATTGTTAAGTCAAAAAAAATAGGGCAGTTGGGATGACTGAAAAGATAAAGACGCTTTTCAGCAAGCTGGACAACTGGAGTTCGAATCCCAGGAACGATAGGACAGGACAGAGGTGAGTCCCACAGGTTGCCCTCCGACTTCCACACAGGTGCACATGCAAAATCAATCAACCAACCAACCAACCAACCAACCAACCAATATGCTTCCAAGGTGTAGGGATGGTGTGGGTGGAGAAAACTGTGTGTAGTGTCTGGGTATCCTAACACTGGTGAGGCAGAGTCTGTGGCAACGGATTTACCACTCTCTCCTTCCACTCGGGCCAGGCTCAGGGTGAGGCTGGGTGAGAGGCACTTACTTCAGCTGTCAAAGAATTGCCAAAAAATAAAATTATAAAATAAAAAGTGAAAACAAAAAAAAATTGAGAAAGCAGCTCAGTTGTGAAGATTAATAACATGCTAATGATATATTTATATTTAAATCTCACATAAATACAGGAAAATTGACGGCAAATTGATGGGTTTTTGGAAGCCCCAAAGCACCTGCCTTTCCTTCGGATTTTTTTCCTGAATGTCTGAGGAAGAACAAAGGGAGGTAGAAGAAACCCAATCAGCTCCACCTAGGAACAGGGCAATGTCCTGTGTAAAAAGAAAAACCATGGTAGCTGAACGAAGGTTCTGTGCCGAGGGAACTGACTGCCCTGGAAAGCAAATGCTTGGAAATGCATGTCTTCAGGTCACAGCTGACTTCTAATGCAGCGGTCCTCAACCTGTGGGTCGCGACCCCTTGACAGGGTCAAGGAACCCTGTCACAGGGGTCACCTAAGACCATCGGGAAGCATGATTCATAGCAGCAGCAAAATTACAGTTATGAAGTAGCAATGAAAACAGTTGTATGGTTGGGGATCAGCACAACACGAGGAAATATATTAAGGGGTCGTGGCCTTGGGAAGGTTGAGAACCACGACTCTAAAGGCTAAGAAACACCAAGAGATCAGAACTTCCTGCCGCTTACAGCTGAGGAGTGGGATGAGGGGCCATCATCCTTTAGAGGTGGTACAGGTGAGCCGATGAAGAACGTGGAGTCTTCTTACACTCACCAACCTCCCCACCACTGAAAAGGGACGGTAACAGTGGCGTCCTTACGGGGTTCACAAGTTAACGCTTCCAGTCCGTGGTAGCCAAGTGCGAACGAAGGCTCACGTACACGTGTGCACATGGAGAAGAATGTCCTAAGAAGATGGCAGGTGTGTCTGATGTGTGTGTGTGCGTGCGTGCGTGCGTGTGTGTGTGTAAGGAGGTCCGTGGTACTTGGACACAGCAAGCAAAGGGACGATGGATAGATGAGGCCAGGGAGAAACAAGGAAGCCAAGTTCTAGGTTATGAAGCATGGGCAAGATTTTTACCTCGAGAAATGGGGAAATAATTGGTCAGTGACTCACTCTGACTGCTGAGCTAAGGAGGAACCATAAAATTTGGCTCAATTCACACAGAGAATTCTTAGGAGTCAGCAGGGTCCCTTGGGAAGGTAGTAGAAGTGCAAGAATTCTAGGTATCTTTTACAAGCATCTAGCGGCCTCGCTGGTGGCACAGACGTACTGTGTCAAACAGAGAGCCGAGGCCACGAACAGAGGGAGACAGAGAAGATTAGGGCAGGGGCAACTGGGCAGTGCAGAGCTTCTGTTTGGAGCGTGGTCCATTCAAGGCATCCATGGGGCACCCAAGGAGCACAGGGACATGATATACTGGTATTCAAAGGAGCACCACGCTGGCTTATCCAGTCGCTCCTCCGGCACACAATCCCATGCAGTCACATTCTTATTCTTGGATGAACAGCCTCCCAAGGACAGCGGAAAAGCACAGGGGGAAACCACAGCCCCGGGGGCCGGGAGGTCTGACTCCAGATGGACTCTTAAACCTAAGCCTAGAACTAGCCCCAAGTCCCTTCCTTCCGCGTAGATCCTTTTACACGACGGCTCTTACACAGCACGCGCTTGTGGGAGGTGAGTGGGAACTGATGACTCATGTGTGCTCCAATGTAGATAATTGTCTAGGTCTGTCTCTGCCGCACCCTGTCTGACAACGTTTCAGAAGAGTCGGGGCAACAGGCCTTTGTGAGACACCTTGAGTGACGTCCCTGAAGCCCGGTTGGACTGGCAGTGCAAAGCCATGTGCAGATTCTCTACTTTTAAGACTCTCGGGAGCCGGGCGATGGTGGCGCACGCCTTTAATCCCAGCACTCGGGAGGCAGAGGCAGGCGGATCTCTGTGAGTTCGAGACCAGCCTGGTCTACAAGAGCTAGTTCCAGGACAGGCTCCAAAACCATAGAGAAACCCTGTCTTGAAAAACCAAAAAAAAAAAAAAAAAAAAAAAAAAAAAGACTCTCGGGAAGTGAGTTTCATAGGTCCAACCATAGAGTTCTAGACTAATTTCAAATACAATTAGCCAGAGGGTTCATTACCAGACACTCACTGCTGGGAGCAAGCCTGCATTGAGATTTCATAACTATGCCTATTAACCCAGTGAAGATGAATTTTCAGATCCCCTTAGTGCACGATGAGCATACATATTACATAGATTGTATTTTAAAGCATATGTATCAGCATAGATACACATATACGTACCCAGACACACACTGTGTGTGTCTCCCCCACATTCATATAAGGATCAGATCAATTCTCCCCGACCCAATACCTTTCCAGGTTTCTCCCCACCCACCTTGGGCAAATACTAGGAGGAAAAGCTGTGAACTGTGGCCTTGAATGGTGTGGCTCTACCTGAGCCAGCAGTTCATTGTTTGCCCAGAGGCCAGGGACCCACAGGTCCTTGGCCGACTCTCCCGGGCTGCCTCTTTTAATTAGGTCAGAACTGGGGCAGAAAGATGAGGAAATGCCTGTCAGCTTGACCTCTTCGCCCGCTGGCGTCAGGACGGTGCTCGTGTGTGTGGACTTTTCTGGTGACGTTTCTGATGGCCCCTCTGGCAAACTGAAACGCTTAACTAAGGGTCAGGTGGAAGGAAGGCTAGTGGAAGGGAGTCCCCATGTGTGTCAGGTGGTGTGAGAGCAACTTCGGAAAGTCAGCGAAGTGCAGTGTCTGTAGAGGGTGTCAGATCCCCTGGAGCTGGAGTTATGTGTAGTGACAGGCGGACTGATGAGGGCGCTGGGTACTGAACTTGGCCCCTTTAGAAGAACAGTAAGGGCTCTTAGCATCTGGGTCTCTCTAATGCTCAGCTTTTTGATCCTTAAGCTTCCCGTGTCTGCAAACCCATGTTTGCAAGTCCCTCTCAGGTGATGCCTCTTTCGATGGTTATGAATCAGATACATTCAAGCGACCCCTTGACAAAAATACCCGATGCCTCTTTCGATGGTTATGAATCAGATACATTCAAGCGACCCCTTGACATAAATACCCGTGGAAAAGTTGTATAATTTCTTTTAACGCGTCCCAGGAATGCGCAAGCCATAATAAACACAGTACATGGTACACTCTGTGAAGCCAGGGGAGAAACTGTACTATAGCCTGAAGTCCAATCCTTCACTGACAATCAAGGCAAACAGCGTTAAAATCCACTAGCAACAATGAAAATGTCCACAACTCTTTTATAGGTGAGTGCTGGCCCAAGTGACTTACATTTTATCTGAAGGACAAGGAAACCCACAAGCTAGAAACAGGTGCGCCTACCTAAGGCTAAGAAAACTGCGCCTGGGGAAAAATTTTAAACAGATTTCCTGAGGTCAGCTCAGACGAGAAATAACAAAAGTAGGAGCAAGACACATTTGTTGAACCCCAATTTGAACCCTTCCTTTGTATCTGTAATGGCTTATATCTGCCAGTGTGGTTTGTCTGCCAAATGCAACAAGTTGGCAGAAATTTTACAATATAAAAATTCAGTAATTCCCTATGCATGTGACGATGTTTCTCTCCTCCATTATTTCTATTTTTTCTCTCCTCCCTTTCTTTCTCTCTCTCTCTCTCTCTCTCTCTCTCTCATTCTCTCTCTCTCTCATTCTCTCTCTTTCTTTTTCTTTTTAGATAGTGTCAGACTATGTAGACCAGGCTAGCCTCAAACTCCAGAGTTCTGCCTTCCTCTGCCTTCTGAGTACTGGGGTTAAAGGTGTGTGCCACCACACCTGGCTAATTTCAATTTTTTTTCATCATGAGTGTTTGTGGTTGTGTTTCTACTTCGTGAGTAGCCTTTGGGCCTTCCTCTCACATTGTCTCCCTATTTTCTAACTTCTTTTTGTGTTTTCTACCCCATCTCCTTTTTATTATAGGACATGGGGTGGAGCTAAAGGAGGTTGACTACTAACTTGCTCATGTAAAGACACTTTGTTGACTGCTTTATAGTGGATTTAAGGCGACCCCAAATCAACCTTTGTGTTTTGTGTTTTGCAGAATAAGCCTGTTTTCATGGTATAGCTTTCTGTCATTTTTTTCCCCTTTCTTTCTATTGTCGTGTTTGCTGAGCACGGAAGTCACATTCCTGTCTTTGCTTGAAAGGTACCATAGAAACCAAATAAAAGAAGTCTGGTGGTATATGCCTTTAATCCCAGCCCTGGTGTGTGTGTGTGTGTGTGTGTGTGTGTGTGTGTGTGTGTGTGTGTATGGGGGGGGGGATGGGTGGCCAGAGACAGTTGGATCTCTGAGTTAGAAGATCCTGGTTTACATAGAAAGCTCCAGGACAGCCAGGATTACATAGTGTGAGACTTTGTCTCAAGAAAAGAAAGAGGAAAAAGTCCCCAAAACATATACATACAAGTAACATTATACAGACTAAGCAGGTTGTATTTATGTATTTAGAAATACACATACCACATATGGATGTAACAAGAAGATAAAAGAGGTCATGAATTTGAAAGGGAACAAGGGCGGTTTTGAAAGAGGGAGGGGAAAGGGGAAATAATATAATTATAATTTCAAAAAAAAAAGAAAATATTTTTAAAAAGTGAATTGGAACAAATCTGATTCAAAAGTGCCTGCCAGCCTTTCTTAAACAAACCGGAGAGCTGAGAGATGGCTCAGAGGTTAGGAGAACTGATTGCTGTTCCGGAGGTCCTGAGTTCAATTCCCAGCAACCACATGATGGCTCACACCCATCTATAATGAGATCTGGTGCCCAGAACACTATATACATAATAAATTAATTAAAAAAAAACAGATGCTTTCCACAACCTTGAGCGCAGCGTGTGTAGAGGCTACCAGACTCGGGTGGAGTGGGTGAGGGTGGAGTGGATGTGGCAGACACCCAGTTCAAATCTGATTTTACCTCAACGGGTTTGGATCACAGTTGAGACCTATGCTTCACGAAGGCTGTAGGGACAAAGCAGACAGAGGCGCCAAACCAAGACCCCGCGTCTCAGCTCCATCCTTCCCTGCCCGAGGTCCCCTTCATATTAGGGACCGCCTGGTAGCAGGACCCTAGAGTCGAGCTGGCCAACCGAACAGTGCGCGGCACCCGCAGCCCTGCTTGGACGGCCGCGCGGACGCAGGACCTGCTCGGGCACCGTCAGCCCTTCGCCCCGTGCCCCTGTCGCCTCGCGGGCACAGCTCGCCCACGCTCGTCTGCTCCTGCGGTCCCACCGCAGTTCGGATCCATGCTCCCGCATAACAATGTGTCTCTGTGTATCTCTGTCTTCCTCTAACACACACACACACACACACACACACACACACACACACACACACACACAGAGTCTGCGCAGAGTCCTCTCCTAAGTCTCCACCACAGGTCCCTGGGCAGAGTTTTCCCTCACTGTCGTCCCCTGTGAGCGCCCTAACCGACTACACTTCGTCTGGCCACTGCATCTACCTGGTCCAACTTGATTTCTCCCGGTGGCTAGATTTCAGTTCTTTGATCCAAAAGTTAGGGGCTGGAGAATGAATATAATTTTTACCTCCTTCACCTAAAACCTGCAAAGCAGACTTAAAAGGACTGGCGTCCACCATAAGGTTTATTACTTTGAGCCTTTCTTGTTGACACTGCTGTCACTGTCACCAGGCTGCTAACGAGCTCCCGCCCCGCGCTGCCCCGCCCCTCCAGGGAGCCGCCTCTGGCCGGGCACTCCTGTCTTCTGCACCCGGCTAGCAGTTAGGACGACCATGGCTACTGGCCACCGCCTCCTGCTGGAGAACGCGCGGCAAGTGGTGCTGGTGTGCGCCCGGGGCGAGCGCTTCCTGACCGGGCCCGCGCTGCGCAGCCTGGCCGTGCTGGAGGGTGCCAGCCTGGTGGTGGGCTCGTGAGTATCGGGCACAGGCCGGTGGGGTCCCGGAGCTAGGAGTTCTTTCTCCAACAAAACACCTTCAGAGCATCTTCCACCGCTGATCATCGATGCCACCGTAGCTTCTAAAGTCCTGCTTGGCTTGGAGGGTTTGCTCTACCTCTTCTAGAAGATTTTGTAGTCTTTCTCTCCCTAAAACTCGGGATATTGGCTCTGGTCTGTAATCCCAACACTCGGGACACAGGTCAGTAGTTCAAGGCCATCCTTGGCTGCGTGTGGAGTTTGCGCATGAGACCGTGTCTCAGAAAGTAAACAAGAATTAATTAATTAATACTTTTAGATAACAGTAGCATCACATCCTTCTTCCCCCCTCCCTTCAGTAAGCACCTGTGGCGTCCATTATGTAGTCGGGTATAGCCGCTAGGCTCATGCCTTCAAAACCAGCACTCTGGAGGCAGCGGCAGGTAGTTCAAAGCCAGCCTGATTTGCAGAGTGAGTTTCACGACAGCCGAATGAGACCCTGTATCAACACACACACACACACACACACACGCACCCACGCACACACCCACGCACACGCACCCATTGACCTGCAAAATCTATCAAACCCTGCGTCAGGGAACTAATGCTCGCATGTAGTTTAGACACCGCTTTTTGTTGTTTTCTGAAGCAAATAAAAATGCACAAACACCACACCTTTTAAAGAGAAGGAATGGGTGCGTATTATTTTGTAGTTTTGGGTTTTTTCTCCCCACAGTAAAATCTCAAAATTCAACTAAGAATGTTTGATGGAACAACAGCAACAAAAACCCAACAAAACCTTTGGAAGATGATTTCTCGCTTCCTGTAACAACTATGCGGTTGGATGTGTGTGTTTTGTTCCAACATGACACTGGGAACCTACGATGAATGACAGCCCAGATTCTTAGAAGCTGGAGAGCTTGTGGTTAGCGTGGTTGGGACGAGAACCCAGTGATCCCAGAGTCCTCCTATACAAGCTGAGGCAGACAGAAACCTCCACCTGAGGGCTGAGCTCGTTAAAACACAAAAGCACTCCTGAGGCAGTGTGTTTTCTACAGGACCTCCCCCCCCCCCAAACTGTTTGCTCCTGACTTCCAACTGGGCATGCCCCTGAGAGAGGAGTCCTGTGCTCCGGCGTCATTTGGGGATCTAGTACTGTAGGGAACTGAACGCTGATCTTAGAGAAGAAATAGCAATCTCTTCTCCACATGGTTTGCAGTTTGTCTTTACTGTAGTGACCATCTCTTTCCTAAAAACCCAGGTCAAGTGGGAAATACAGTAAACGCTGGCTAACATGGCATCCAAAAGCATGTTTAAATCATTAATCAGATTTTTCAGGAAAATTTCCCCAAACTTAGTAACTGTTCCTTGATTTTTTTTTTCCCTCCCAGGGATGGGCTTATAAAAGCTATTGGCCCTGCGGACGTTATCCAGAGACAGTTTTCCGGAGAAACTTTTGAAGAAAGAATTGACTGCTCTGGGAAATGCATCTTACCAGGTGCTGAAGCTCTTTTTCAGAAAACTCTGGAAAGAAATGAACGGTGGTTCTAGGACAGCAAAAAGGGAAGACGATTGGTTTGGTTGTTTTTGTTTTTGTTTTTTAAAGAGCCTTAACCATAGCGTTCAAAATGTTGGTGCTCAAGAATTGAAGTTCTGCTTTGCCAGTGTGATTTCCTGTTGCATGCCCGAAAAGTGATTACAGTTCCCTCTAAGTATTTCTTGAAGCTACTTGCACCGTCCTTATAGTTCCTTCTCAAAGTAGTACAGGGTGCATTTTCTAGTCCTTGTTCTCAGTTTTGCTCAGTTAATAGGTTTGCCACCATAGCTTCAAGGTCTGCTTGGGGTGAGCACAGTTACCGAGCAAGCGGGCTGGTTATCTCTGAGGGACGTTGCATGGTGATGACTTACTCTCCTCTATTAGAACTTTCTAGATCAGCCACGTAGAGGGAATCTCACAAAATCTTGCACGCTCACCCTCCTCCAAGCGGGACGGCCACCACCATGCAGTTAGAGCACGATGATACGACAGTCAGTCACTGCTAAGCAACTCCCGTTTCTCAACTTTGGTTGCAGGACTGGTGGACGCGCACACACATCCTGTGTGGGCTGGCGAAAGGGTCCATGAGTTTGCCATGAAGGTAACCGCAAAATGAATGACAGCAACCCAAGGAAGCACAAACAGGTTCCCCCCTCTAATGACTGAATAAGGGGTCAGCCCATGCTGCATAGCTTCTTAGTGGATGTCTTTCCTTGGCTCACTGAAGAACACAAATGACAATAGAGCCGGGCGGTGGTGGCGCACGCCTTTAATCCCAGCACTCGGGAGGCAGAGGCAGGCGGATCTCTGTGAGTTCGAGGCCAGCCTGGTCTACAAGAGCTACAGGACAGGCTCCAAAACCACAGAGAAACCCTGTCTCGAAAAAACAAAAAACAAAAAAAAAACCCAAAAAACAAATGACAATAGAACCAGACTTAGTTGAAACGGCCCCAAATCTTTGTACGATGTGTAGAGCTAGCAACCAGTTGAAGAAAAGGAGTATCTGAAGGTTTTCAACTATAGACTTCTTTTTTTAAAGAACTGAGTTTAGCAACTCGGTGGGTGATTCCCCCTCCTTCCGGTTTTCTAAATCATTATTTGTAATTTTGAACAAGTTCCAAGAAATAGTTTGAAAATCGCTGTTGACTGCAGACGAACTTGGAAGAATATATTACTAACTGAAAATAAAATGTCTTACATTATTCTTTTTTTTTTCCTCTCAGAAAAAAAATGAGACTTACGAAGACCATAAAATATAGTCGTATCAGTTATAGGAACCATAGCTGGCTCCTAAAAGGAGCCATTATCATGTTGCTAAGGGGGGGGGGGGAGGGTGCAGCCTAGCAGTGACAAATTGTTTTGGAAATCAGGAAAATTCTTTTCTTCAGCTATCGTGTGCCTTCCTCAACAAGTCGGAGCTGCTTTTAAGGCAATTTTATTATTGCACTGAATTCCAGAGCTAGAAGGCACCTTAGAGGTTGTGGTCCAACTACTGTTACTGTAGGACGATGGAGAGACCTGGGAAGGGTGGGTGGAGACTAGCAGAGGATGGTGGGGGAGAGGGGCAGGTGCAAGCTTTGCACGGCTCACCCTTCTTACTGTCCAAATAACTAGTGACTACTGGGATTGTAAAAAGAGCTTCTTTATTTGCTTGAGTGACAGAACTTAGGCCCCAAACTCTGGCGCCCAAATGGCATGGAGTCTGCCCTTGGTCTTGGCTAGCAGAAAGCTGAAATAAACCCCTAAGCTTTGTTTGCTCAACCGTGCCGAGGGATGGAGACTGAGGTGGGCTTGCCTGGTTATGCACTGGGGTCAATTTAGCTGTGAAAACACTCAAATACTCCTGTATGTGAGTGTTAATTAGTTGTTAACTGCCTTCAGCTGCCCATTTGCCCAGCCGCCACCTTGGCCATCTCCACCTCTCAAGTACTTTTTGGGACTCCCTTCTGCACACCTGGGGGTGTCTTTAAGGACTAAGTGCCCCTCTTTCTGCTGTGGCTGTTAGTGCCCGTGCCCTACTGCTTCTTAAATTAACGGACTGATTGAAATAGGGTCTGGTGTAGCCCAGACTGACCTGTAATTCCCTATATAGCTGAAGTAGGCTTTGCACCTCTGATCCCCCTGCCTCCACTTCCTGCGGACTGGCATTACTGACCTGCACCATGCCTAGTTGCTTCTTAACCATCTTGTAAAATTGGTTTTACTTTATTTTTAAGTGTGTGTGTGTGTGTGTCCGCGCACACGTTATTCCACTGGAGCTGGAGTTCCAGGTGATTGCCAGCTGCCACGTAGATGCTGGCAGTGAACCCCAGTCCTCTGCAACAGCAGCCCCTGTTCTTTACCATCGAACCCCTTAATCGTCTTCTAACATCACCCTCGGAGGTAGGTTCTGCAGACCGACTTGTAACCTCCCTGAGTGAACCATGCTTTCAGTTGGCAGGAGCCACTTACATGGACATTCACCAGGCCGGAGGAGGGATCAACTTCACGGTGGAGCACACTCGCCAGGCCTCGGAGGAGGAACTCTTCTGCTCCTTCCGGCAGCGGCTGCAGTGCATGATGAGGGCCGGCACCACGCTGGTGGAGTGCAAGAGCGGATACGGCCTCAACCTGGAGACGGAGCTCAAGATGCTGCGCGTAATCGAGCGCGCCCGGCGGGAGCTGCCCCTGGACCTCTCTGCCACTTACTGCGGGGCTCACTCAGTCCTCAAGTAATCTCAGCGGCGGCGGCGGGAGTGGGGGGCGGGGTGAGGTGGCTCAGCTGTCACTTAGGTCAGACTGTCTGGAGAAGCTTCTGGAAAGATGCCCTGCTTCTAAAGGCGGGTCGTGGTGCCCATCCTGGTGGTTTAAGGAAGGGATTTCCACCCCCTCTTTAGTTTTCCTAGTGCTTTAAGGATGAAAACGGAGAAAACACTTCAAGACTTCTTTTCTTTAGAATAAGAATGGTCCCTAGCGAGGTCCTTTCAAATTAGTTATTAATTCAAATAATTTCCCAGAATAATCAATCAGCTTACACCACTGTAAAAATCCCTAGTTATTTCCTCTAGGAGATCAAATTGTGTGGTCTAAGTGTCCGCAGAAGGGCTTTTGTTAATCTCTTTGCTCACTAGCAAATATTTTCTTTTTATTAACATTTTTTAAGCCTCTGCCTTTATCTAAAGAATCTCTGCTCCTTGGCCTTATGAAGAGAACTCTGTCTCTGATGGCCTAGCTGTGCAGTTCCATTCTGTCCCAGAACTTCTAGACAGGAAGGTTCACGGCCCAGATCTGAAAGGTTCGGCGTGGTTGTCTCCAAATTCTTTTCGGCTTAATAACTGACCCTCCCTCATAGACTTACGTTACAAACAATATCTAAACTTAAGTCATTTCAATTAATTTTAATTTTTTTACTTTAATGAACTTCAAAATGTATTTTATTTGATTATATAAAACTGTATACATTTATTATATCCAAGATGCTGTTTAGAAATGCGCGTGCACTTTGAAGTGGCTTGAATCACACTAACTAACATACTAATTCATGGCAGCACTTACCACTTTGGAGGGGAAAAGGCTTCAAATCTGTCTTGGAGTAGTTTAAAAGAATACAGTATAATGTGCATTGCTATGACACCATGTTGTATGGGAATGTAATTGTTCATGCTGATAGTCCCATACGATCTTCAATCAGAGGAACCAAAAAATTAACACTAAAGTTTTGTATTAAAAGAACACCCCAGGCATGACGGTGCATGACTCTAATCCCAGGTCTCAGAGGGCAGAAACTGGTTGACCTCTGTGAGTTTGAGGCTAACCTGGTCTACACAGAAAGTTCCAGGCCAGCCAGGGCTACATAGTGAGATCCTGTCTCAAAAGAAAAAAAAGAGAGAGAGAGAGGAAGAAAGATAGAAATTCATACAGCTGATTATGTAGAAAAGAAATATAAATATTTAATATTTCCAATTATTTTTGTCTTAAGCTTTTAGCATTTCAATTTTTTTAAGTTACTGAAGTTTGAACTGAGACTTTTGAAAGAGCCTGTCTTAGGAAGTTGTAGACGATTTGAAGTAGAGTTTAAAGCATGGGACAGTCTGCTTTTTAAATATTTTTTTTTTAAGTATTGAAACTTGAGTCTAAGTGCAGCTTACCGGCTAGCAAAGTGATTTTAAGGGTGTTTCTTAACTCTTCCAAACATGAACAACACGCGTGCAATAAAGAATTATACACACCCTGCTCTACGTCACTGGTGTGAGACACAGAAATAGCTTGTGTAAACACCCTGCTTGTTGACCTCTGAGGGTTCACCTCCATGTTTTGCTGAGTGCGAGCCGCCAGGCCTAACAGGGGGCTGGAGTTTTAGGGAAACTATCTCCAGCTTCCCATGAGCCTCTGAAGGCTGCATCTCAATTCCCACTGATTTACCCTCATGCACAGATCAAAATCAAACCATGTGTCTAATGTTCTGGAGCAGGAAGGAGTTGGGGCACTCCGTGTCTGGCTGATTTCAAATGCTCTGTCTGCCCCTGCTCATTGCTAACAACTCCCAAGGTTTACAAAGTGTTTCTTCTCCTCGCTCCACCCCTTTCACAAGGCAGGATGCTTAGGTAAAGGCGACAGGAAAACTTGTGAATAGAGAAGAAAAAGGAAGAACGATAGCTGGGGCTCTGGGTGGCCTCTAAGTGTCCTTGATAGAGAAATTCAGCTTCACAGCTAGGGGCCTGCTGACGTCCCCAAAGGTCACGCAGCCTAGTCCTCCAGACGGAAGTCTCATCACCACCCCGGCTATGTGAGCATGCACAATTGCCAAGTGCTCTGGCTTCTCTTCTGGACTTTTTCTCTTCCTTTCTGAAGCTTAAGCTCACTTGCCTATACTGTTTATTATCCTTCTTTTATTAAACTATATATAGTCTTTAATGTATCTATAATACACATAATAAGGAGATTATTAAGCAATGCATTGCACATCACAAATATTAAAGAACATGTGTGAACACGTATGAAGACTATGCCCATGCTTATCTCATTTTCTTCCACTAGAGGGAAAACTGTCATTGAGGCCACTGATGACATCATCAATAACCACCTGCCAAGGCTGAGGGAACTCAGCAGAAACGGGGACCTACACATTGACAACATAGACGTGTTCTGTGAGAAGGGTGTCTTTGATCTGGATACCACCCGAAGGATTCTTGAGGGTGGAAAAAAGATGGGGTTACAGATCAACTTCCACGGGGATGAACTCCACCCGATGAAGGCCGCGGAGGTATGACTGACAGTCGGCTCTTTCCTGCACGCCTGCAAAAGGAGCGATTCATGGGGGCTAGAGAGATGGCTCAGAGGTTAGGAGCACTGGCTGCTCTTCCAGAGGACCTGAGTTCAATGCCCAGCACCCACATGGTGGTTCACAGCCATCTATAATAAGATCTGGTGCCCTGCTCTGGCCTGCAGGCATGTTTAACAAATACGTGTTTAAAAAAAATTATTTATTGGAGCCACGACGTGGTGGCACACACCTTTAATCCCAGCAGTCTACAGAGCTAGTTCCAGGAGAGCTAGGGCTGTTACACAGAGAAAAACTCTGTTTGAAAAAACAAACAAACCAAAAAGCCCTGTGAAAAAGAAAGAGAAAAAGAAGGAAGGAAGGAAGGAAGGAAGGAAGGAAAGAAGGAAGGAAAGAAGGAAGGAAAGAAGGACAAAGAGGGGCCAGTGCCTGAGAAACGATACTTGAGGTTGTCTTCTGACCTCCACACATACACACTCACACGCACACACACACAGAGACAAACACACATTTATACACAATCCCAACAGATACACACGGAGACACTCACACATGTTGTAGAAGCTGCGGGGCTGCATTCTGCCACCCAGCTCCCCGCCACTGGCTAGGTTTACCCGAAATAACAACATACAAACTGTATTCATTTAAACACTGCTTGGCCCATTATATCTAGCCTCTTCTCGGCTAACTCTCGCACCTGGACTAGCCCATTTCTAATGATCTGTGTGTAGCACCCCAAGATGCGCTTACCGGGAAGATTCTACCCTACATTCATCCTGGGTCAGAGGTTCATCGCATCTGCCCGGGAGAGGGGAGCATGGCCCTGAGCTCACTTCCTCTTCCTCCCAGCATTCTGTTCTGTTTACTCCTCCCACCTATGTTTTAACCTATGAGGGCCAAGCAGTTTCTTTATTTTTTAACCAATGACCTTCCTCCATCACACACACATACATGCACACACAGACACTCATGCAGAGACATGCACACGAGGCATACACATAGACACAGACACACACAGACATACACGCATGGAAGGATCCACACAGGCACGTGTGCATTCATAGCTACACCCAGGCTGGGACACACACAACTTATTTCTGCTTGCCCATCATTCCCTGTGGCGGCTGTTGCTCTGTGGCCGCCGAGCAGGGGCTTGAGCGCTGTGCTACCCCTAGCCTGATTATTTCCTTTATTGTCTCCTATGACTTCTATTATAGTTACAGTGGAGAGAAGCATCCCTGTGATCTCCTTTGCTAAATCCAAGTCATGTTGTGGTCAGCACACGAATTAGCCACTTCTCTTTCGCTGTGACAGCCTCCCAGCTGCAGTAGCTTTAGAGGGAAGGGCTCATGGTTTTGGGGACACAGTCAGTTGTGGTGGAGAAGATGTGGCAGTCATGGTCAGGAAGCGGGGGGGGGGGATGCTGGGACTCCGCTTACTTTTTCCCTTTATTCAATCCGAGGCCCCATTCTGTGGGATCGCGTTACCCACATCCAGGGAGAGGCTTTGCCCCTCAGGTGAACCTCGTTGGAAACGCTGTCACAGACACGCACAGAGTTTTTGTCTCCAACGTGACTTTGAATCTGGTCACCTGTGCTGGTTAGTTTAGTTTAGCTTTGTCAATCTGATACAAGCTAGAGTCTTCTAACAGTAGGGAACCCCTCTTGAGAAAATGCCTCCGTAAGAGCCAACTGTAGAACGTTTTCTTAAATAGTGATTGGCGGGGGAGGGCCCAGCCCACTGTGTTACCCTCCTTGGACTAGTAGTCCAGGGTTCTATAAGAAAGCAGGCTGAGCAAGTCTTGATGAGCAAGCCAGTAAGCAGTGCCCCTCCATGACCTCGGCTTCAGCTCCCACTTCCAGGTACCTGCCCTGTTCAGGTCCCTGTGCTGACTTCCTTTGATGATACAGTGATGTGGAAGTACAATCCAAATTACTCATCCCTCCATTAGTTTTGACCACGGTGTTTCATCACCATAGTAATCCCAAGTAAGACGAGGTATAGAGTGTTGCTCTTAGTACGGATTCTGGCCTCTGGATATGGGTACCAAAACTGAACCCTCCATATCTCTCCAACTTTCTTGCATCTTTTTTACCTCCTCTGCCTCTCTGTTGTTAACCAAGCACAACAGACTACTTTTAACATCCTCCGCTTTGAACACACTGTTTCTCTAATCTGGATAATCCACATTCTCATCCACGTTTTTCCTTGGCTGCTACTTCTCTGGAACCCCACCCCAAATGTACTTAATGTTAGATGGTGGCTTCGCCCTGTTTTTCCCCCACTGACTAAGCTTGCACCCGACTCTTGGAGCTCCCTATCCCTGGAGGTCAGTACAGGGCCTAGGGTACAGATGTGTAATGTTTGCATGCAAGGGTTTGCTGAGTTTGTGGAATGACTGTGATCTCAGTGGTCAGTGAGTTCCTATTGGTCAGAGAAAGCAAAAAAACAAAATCTCTCTCTATTGTTTTGACTGGCCTGGAACTCACTAGGTAGCCAGCCAAGGCTGGCCACTCTCCTGCCTCACTCTTCCCAGTGCTTGGATCACAGATGTGAGCCACCATACCCCACCTGAAGACGAGTTTTTACCAACATGCTAATTTTCCAATGGCGGTCCGTGACAGACCTAATATATATTTGGGGACCTGTGCTCATTAGAAATGGTTGACAAGAATCTCCACAAAGCAGAGGAAGTAGGGTCATGTATGGAACTGTTGTATGTTAAACCTTTCCCTGTCTGCCCATTCTGCCTAGCTTGGGGCTGAACTGGGAGCACAGGCGATCAGTCATCTGGAGGAAGTAAGTGACGAAGGCATCGCTGCCATGGCTGCCGCTAAGTGTTCCGCTGTCCTTCTACCTACCACGGCCTACATGCTGAGGTAAGGGCCTTTCTCACCCTGACACGTTGCCTTCAACCACGGGTTGTGAGGCTGGAGACTCCAGGGGTGCCTAGGCGTTGCTGCCTATGATCTCGCGAGAACATATGATGCAGAAACTCGGATGCCAAGGGATGCTGTAGTAGTGGTACAAAGCCATCATCCTAAAGGTGCAAACAACAAACGAGTCTGGGAAACGGGAGGGCAGTGCTAATGCTCTCCTCCCCTCCACCATGTACCCTGGAGCTTTCTTTCCTCTTCTAGAACAGGAAATGTCCCCTTTGTTCTTGCAAAAGCGCCAGCTGGAGACAGACACCTTTCCCCTCTTCCCTTAGGTTGAAGCAGCCTAGAGCCAGGAAGATGCTCGAGGAGAGAGTCATAGTTGCCCTGGGCAGTGATTTCAACCCCAATGCCTACTGCTTTTCAATGGTAATTACTTCTAAGATACTTTATTTTCTGAACAGAGTAAACGGTGGAATACATAAATGTTTAAAATTTTCATTCGTTGTGAAAACGTATTTAAAGATCTAAAATGATTTCTCTGAGAAGAGGAAAAGGGTACAGGCAGTGGTTTAATTGAATTTTTCTGCCCACACGAATGCACCCAGGACTGAAGAGATAAATCTCAATTTGAATTGTCTTCTGATTCAGCTTTAGGCTAAGGTTTATAATAAGACATTTTCCTTCTCTGGGCATAACGGAGACAACGAGGCTTTAGTGGGTGAGGGTGGAGGCAAACACAGCAAAGGTTCCTGAAAACTTGTAATATTAAATATACAGTATTATTCAATAATAAAGTTTAAGAATCTCATTTATAAAATTGCATCTTCCCATAGCGACTGAGCTACATATTACTTATATGTGTATAGCATAATATATAATACATTACACAGTATATACATATATGTATATATGTATGTGTATAGATTTATATATTTATCTTTATATATTTGTATATGTACACATACATACATACTTTTGGGGGGAAGAGGAGTGGAAGCAACCCTGGAGCCTCTTGCACACTAAGCACAAACTCTATCTGAGCTATTCCTACTGGACACACATTTAATCGCCTTTGCTTGTGCTGTGGAGAAGCATCCTGACTTGTAATGGCTGCTCCTCCAATGCCTTCTCTTCCTGCCTTAGCCGATGGTCATGCACCTGGCCTGTGTGAACATGAGAATGTCCATGCCCGAGGCCTTGGCCGCTGCCACCATCAACGCAGCTTACGCGCTGGGGAAGTCTCACACACACGGATCTTTGGAAGTTGGCAAGCAGGGGGATGTCGTCATCATCAATGCCTCCAGGTGAGGGGCCTCCCGAGCGAGTACCCTCCGCAGCAACTAGTCTTGTTTGATGCACGTGCGGGCAAGTGTTAGGACCCTTTCTGCTTGCTATTAGTAAGTATCAGGTAGATGGCAGACTATCCAGCCCCCTCTGTCTTTACCCCTTGCCAAGCAGAAGCCACCGTGAGGTCTTCAACTACACAGCAAAGCAAGTCCACAAATCTTCAGATCTCTCCAGGTGCCGTGCATCTTTCAGGGCCTCCAATTGTTGCTGTTTCCCTGGACTTCGGACTTGCCCCCGAGTCTGTGTGTTTGAGTTTGTGCTTGGCTCCTGACCTTTCGCTCATTCTCTTTTCTCCTTATCACTCCGGCTCTGACTTATTCTTTCTCTGACTCCAAATGGTTCTCAATCTCAATGCCTCCACTCGGCTGCTCTGTTCCTGAGTTCTTAGTTCTCACCCGAGGTGTCTGACCTGGGCCTCCCAGGCTACAAGTTGGATCCTAACGTCTAAATCCAGATGCTGGCAATGTTATGTCTCTTTTACTCCCATGAGCTTATCACAGCCCTCGGGGACCCATGTTCTAGAGAAGATAGCAACCCCATAATGTCACTCCTGGAAGAACCGCCTCCTTCCATCAAAGATCAAGTGCGCATGCCACCCATGAATCAGTTTTGAAAAGTTCAGGAGCGGGAGACCTGGCTCCGTTCATATCAAACCCTTGCCCTCTGAATATGAGGACCTGAAATTTATCCCCAGTGCCCACAATAAAAGCCAGGCTTGGGACGGTGGGCCTGTGTGCTCAGCCCTGGGGACACTGAGGCAGGGGGGCTCCCCTGGGGCTGGCTGAGCAGACAGTCTAGTCAAACTGAGGGACTCCAGGTTTAGTGACAGACCTACCTCAAAAAGCAAGGTGGGCAGTGATTCAAGAAGACAGCTGGTGTGTCCTATTGGCCTCCATGTGGACTCACACAGGTGAGCAGCCATAGTCCATGTGTGTACTCATACACGTGAATACACACACACTCACACACACTCACACACACTGCTTGTCAGCTCTCTCATTTTTATTCAATACAGGACATACACACACACACACACACACACACACACACACACACTGCTTGTCAGTTCCCAGCTCTCTTATTTTTATTCAATACAGGACATACACACAGACACACACACACACACACTGCTCGCCAGTGCTCAGCTCTCTGTAGAAATAGGAGCGGCGGGCTGCTTCCCGCCACCCGGCTAGCTTTACCCGGAATAATTACACAGAAACTGTATTCTTTTAAACACCGCCTGGCCCATATCTCTGTTCTCTTACTGGCTAATTCTCACATCTTGATTAACCCCTTTTTAATAATCGGTGTAGCACCACGAGGTGGTGGCTTACCGGAAAGGATCTTAACCTGCGTCCATCTTGGAGAGGAGAGCTATATCGTCTGTGACTCACTTCCCTTCTTCCCAGCATTCTGTTCTGTCTACTCGGCCTGTCTAAGCTGCTGACCTATCAAAAGCCAAGGCAGTTTCTTTATCAACCAATGAAAGTAACACATAGGCAAATGACCCTCCTCCATCAGCTCTCTCCTTTTCATTCAGTACAGAACATGGACACATACACGCAGACACACACGGACACACACACACACACACACACACACACACGTGCAGAATTCACTTTAAATTCACTGACACACTGGTGCTTTTGATTTGCACACACTGAAGCGACTGTTTGCTTTCTTTCTAGATGGGAACATTTGATTTACCAGTTCGGAGGCCATCACGAATTAATTGACTATGTTATAGCTAAAGGAAAAGTCATCTACAAAAAGTGACAGAGCTAGACCAATGAGATAGCTCAGTGGGTAAAGTCTCCTGTCACCAAGGCTGCTGACCGGAGTTCAATCCCTGGGACTCACATGGTGGGAGGAGAGAACTCCTAAGAGTTACTCTCTGACCTCCAGAAGCTCACTGTGATGTGTACCCGACTCCTCCGCTCCCCGCGACGCTGCCACGTAAATAAATGTAGTAATATAAGAATGTATTCTAATAATGATAGGTCTGGAAGGAAAGAGAAGACGCTTTCTCTGTATCAATTAAATCTACATAAGTTACAGCACTTCCGTAGTTTGCCAGAACCACGTCATTTCAACCTAATCGTATGTCACACCCTACTGTTAGCTTGAAAACTCAAGGGATTAGCTTATTTGACTTGAATGTGTGTGCCTGGATGTGTAAACAGGCAAACCTATTGGGATACAATGTAGAGTCGTTTCTCAAAGGCTGGCTACAGATATTCTGGGGTGGGTATGATGAGATAGCTCTGCTCCTCTGTGGAGAAACACACTTGTCCTGAGAGTTTCGTTTTGTTTTTGAAAGTGATCTGCCCCGATGAGGCCAACGGGACCATTTCCTCAGAAACAAACAGAATCTTCTCTCCCCACAGTTTGTCTTTTGAGATGCTTTCTAGTCTGGGGCAGAAAGTGGCCTTCCATTTTTAACATCTTGTCAGCCTTTGGAATGAAGCTTCATCACAGAGTTGAATACTTGATATCTTGCACAGACATGAAAAATCTCCTATATGAATGCATTTTTATTAACACCGACGAAGTAGCTTTAAAAAAAATCTTCCTGCTAAAGCCTTTTCATATCACAAAGCTATGGAAAGGGTTTTATTGTATAAATATTGCCACCATTGCTCCTGCAGCCCCGGAAGTAGTACAGCAGTGTTGTCTACAGCGTGTTTGGATTTCAAAGAACAAATCACAAAATCATTTGCAGAGGGAATGATTAGTTGTATAAACTGGTATCTCTCACGCCACATCGGCTTACTTGGAAACCTGTAAAACTGTTTCTGTGATCTTTGTGATCGTAGCATTATCGAACACTGTCCAATTTACAAAGTAGTGATTTCACAAATAAACATTAGTTGCCAAACCATCGTCAAATTTGGAGCCTGAATTAATGAGGTGCTCCGTTCCGTATAAGCGAAGACTACCGCATTAGGTAGAGTTTGCTGTCGTGGTCATATACCTGGGGCACGCTAGGTGTGGAGTGAAGAGGCTCATTCAGCTCACAATTGTGTCTTCTGTTCAAGCTCCAAATCGTGGGGCACGAGCTTGGGAGAGCACCCACCCCTGGCGCTGAGTCAACTCGCGGCGGATTGCAGTGGGGGGAGGGCGTGGTGAATGAGAAAGCAACCACACCTGCCCCTACTCCAGAAGAGACTAAGTGGGGTCAAATCTAGGCTTTGATAGCAAAACCTCTAAACAACCATCTACGTCCCAGGGGAAATGCCTTAGCGTCCCCCCTTCCCCAACTATTTTGTTTTGTAGCCCTGGCTGTCCCAGAATTCTCTCTCTCTTTAGACCACGCTGGCCTAGAACAGAGATCCACCTTCCCAAATGATGGCATTAGAGGCGTGCACCGCCACCTGGTGTCTTTGGCTCTTTCACAGACAACTCCTACCACATGTGAGCCAGAGTGGTGGTAGACACCTGAAATTCTCACACTGGGGAGTGGAGGTAGGAGGATTCCGAGTTCCAGGCTCGTAACCTGGGCTACACAGTGAGACTCTGTCGCAAACACAAACAAAACAAAATGAAAAATCACAGAAAGGAGAAAGAAAATAACCCAAAAGGTTTTCAGGTCATATTAGTTCAAGTCAACTTAACTTTTTGCCTGCTAAGAAGTTTTCGCCTTTGGGAGGCAGTAGCACCCTTCTGAGAAGAGAATGTGTGGGCTGGGTGCTGTGCAGGACAGGAGAGCTAATAGATCTGAAAAAAGACACACACACACACACACACACACACACACACACTAACACGCACGCACGCATGAGGCTTTGATCGCCGTGAGTTCTTTCATCTACCTGGAAAATGTAGAGATTGCTCCCTTTCTGTCTGAAGTTCTAAGTCTAAGCTGGGCATCGCCTTCAGAGAATTTGTGATCCTGCTAGGGCTAAGATGAACATTAGAAAGTAAAACCTTAAAAGCTTGCTCCCTTAAAAAAAAAATAATAACCCATGGGCTCAGTGGTTAAGAGCACCGCCTGCTCTTCTAAAGGTCCTGACTTCAATTCCCAGCAGCCACATGGTGGCTCACAACCATCTGTAATGAGATCTGGCGCCCTCTTCTGGCCTGCAGACATGCTTGCAGGCAGAATACTGTATACACAATAAACAAATCTATAACCAAACCAGAGCTCGAGCTCATTTCTGCCTTACCTAACAATCTCAAAATAAAATAGTTGGGAATACATAGTTCAGTGGTAGAGCACTTGCCTAGAATGTATGAGACCCTAAATTCAGTACCAAGGGAGGAAGGAATGAAGAGAAGGAGGGAAGTAAAGAAACAGAGATGGAGTGAAGAAACAGCCTCTTTAACTCACCGTTGGAAATTTAGAAGCAGGGCGACCCCTTTTGGTATCCACAGCAAGTCAGCCACAGGATAACCTAGATTCCTGCTCTGCCACCCAGCAATGCCCTGGATCTGGCTGTCAGTCAACTCTGGGTTTCTTCATCCAGGGCAAGCAGGAGAGAAAGATGACTTCCCTGGCTCCAGGAAAGAGAAAATGCCTTCTCCAAAGTTGTCCATGCCGTAAGCTCCGTTGCAATCCCAGGCTTTCCTTGAACGAAGCGGTAGCAAAATGGAGGGACCGTTTACACCAAGCAGGGTCTCCTCTGAGCCGAGTGAACGCTCTCGCCTTTGTTTCCAGCGTTCACATCTAATACATGAATGCCTTGAACTAAGAATACCCAAAAGGGCAAAATGATCAATTGCTTATTTATTCATTTTTAATCAGTTGTTTATGACAGTTGTTCTCAACCTTCCTAATGTTGCAACCTTTTAGTACAGTTCCTCATGCTGTGGTGACCCCCCCCCCCCCGTATAAAGTTATTTCTGTTGCTACTTCATAACTGTAATTTTGCTATCATTATGAATTGCAATGTAAATATTTGTGTTGTCTGATGGTTTTAAGTAACCCCCCCCTCCATGGAAGAGTTGTTCAACTTCCAAAGGGGTCCTGACCCATAGCTTTATGATAACATGATACCTAATAAAAGTGTTACAATGGCCAGACCCAAAAATAAAACACAAGTAAAATTGTACGAAATGTATCCCTTTCCACATATTTATTAGGTTTTATGAACTGGGTAGATCGTTTGAGAATGTATTCTAAGTCATATGTCCATGCCGTATAATATCAGGCTCTGGTTTGCCACGCGGCTTGTGTTGGCTACTAGGGAATCAGCAGAGGTGACAACAGAAGTTTTGGCAAACTTTATGTTCTCCTACAGCCCTCAGTGAAGAAACCCAGGCAAGCACCCCGAGGAAGGGAACCCTGATATGCCAACTCATTTGCCACCCCTCCACAGGCAAGGCCCTGGGTTCAGCACATTGTCTCAGATCTGTTAGCTTTTTCTGATTGAGTCGTTCAGAAACCTGACTAGCTCCCCTCGCTTTGTTTAAAGAGGTCAAGGTGAGTGGTCGTAAACTACAGTTCTTACCTTGATAGGGCATCGGAGTCAACTGGGAAGGCTCCGCTGAGGGACCGCCCACATCCCTGTGGTCACGTTTGTGAAGGATTATCTTGATTGGTAATTGGTGGGGAAGACACAACCCACTGTGGGTGGCCCCAACCCTAGGCAACTGGGCCTGGGGTACGTAAAATAATTAGAGTCAACAGGCAGCAAGTGGCGTTCCTCCAGATGGCTGCCCTGACTGCCTGCGGTGATGAACCGTCCCTGGGAGTGTAAACCGGAAGAAACCCTTTCCTCTGCCAAAGCAGCTTTTGTTCCCAGTGTTCTCTCACAGCAACAGAAAAGCAAATATTAGGTGCTAAACTTTGTTCAAAACAAATAAAAGTAGGAGATAGGAGTGCAGCTCACTGCCAGTGCATGTGATGAACACACACGTCCCTAGGCTCAATTTCTCCCCAGTTGAAGAACATCATGATAGCAAGCCATTGACACAGCTTGCCCCGTATCTCCTATATACTCTTGAAGACTGGGAACTAACAGAGCTCTATACAAAACCTAGGGATGACATCTGTCAAAGAAAGACAGAAGTGGACAGGAAGCCAGCATTGTTGAACCAGGAGCGGGAACAGCCCTGTGCTGGGGTTTGCTGCCTCTGCTGCAGCTTGGGTAGAAGAATGGGTAAGCTCTCTCTCTTGCTCTCCCTCTGTGTGTGTGTGTGTGTGTGTGTGTGTGTGTGTGTGTGTGTGTTGACATTCAACAAAAAGCAACACCTGCAGTTAAGCCTGTTCCTGGGCCCGTTTTCACCTCTTGAATTGCTGAAGGCAGTGATTGTGAACAAGGTATGCTCAGAAGAGTGGCAATAGACTGGGGGTTACCTCTTGCACCCCTGTAGTCTGTGACCAGGGAGGGATGCTGGCATGTGTTTTCTGCTAACCAACTACAGTCTTTCTAGCCACACTTCCAGATTCTTGTACACTCAGGGTTTTGCACACGCAGGGTTTTGTACACCTTTACAGTGATGGGTATAGTCATCGATCTTCGCCTTGGGACGTCACAAGGTCACGTGACCCTTCTGAACAATTACACAAAGTCTTCTTTATCTGCTTGAGGGAGAGCCAGAGATTGGGCAACATATCTGAAGGCCCCATCTGACCTGAGTCAAAAAAACTCAAATTTTAATGATTACCTATTGCTGGCAGTGGGTTGGCTCCCACCCCCACACCCAAATGCTTCATCGGTGTAATAGGCGGATGCTTAGCAAAGTTATTACCGACAGGTGAATGGAGTACTAAGTTATGGGAGGGGACAGGACTAACTTGGAACTTCAACTTGAGCACATGACCAAGCGTTTCAGAGATGTGTGTAGTGCATGGAGAAATACGGAAGGCATGGCACAGCCAGGGCAATCTTTATGTTCAACCCCCTTTTCATCTTTGAGGGGTGATTTAAGCATAGGGCACAGATAACAACCAAAAGCAACCCCCCAGAAAAGAACTGGTAACCTCTGTAGTTAATGGCTTCAAACCTGTTCCCCTCCTCGTGTGTGTGTGTGTGTGTGTGTGTGTGTGTGAATGTGAATGTTTACATGTGCACTTGCTCCTGTGCATATGTGGAGCCCAGAAGGTAAATGTTATATGTCTTTGTCTAGCACTTCCTGCACCGTTGCTCTGAGGCAGGGTTTCTCACGGAACCTGGAACTCACTATTTCTGCAAGATAGGCTGAGCAGTGAGACCCCAGGAGCTGCCTGTCTCTGTCCCCCCAGCGTTCAGGTGCCCACTACCGCACCCGGCTTTTTATTTTTATTTTTTTACACTGAAGCTCACGATCTGAACTCAATTTGGATCCTCACTATGAACTCAGTTATGGAACTCAATTATGCACCCCCCTGAGCTAGCTCCTCTTACTAAAGACTTTTTTTTTCTATGATTCAATTAGCAGAAGGAGGAAAGGCTTAAGAACAAATTCTGAATTGAGGCATATTTGTCAGGTTATGGTATGGTCCAATCGATCGGAGAAAGTCAAGAGTTTCTATAGATAAGCTTTTAGACGTTCACAAAAATCTAATGTTTTTAAGAAGAATGTTCTGAAATAATGATTTCCCTAAGAGTAAAAACAGACCTAAGGAATTATGGCAATCCTTAAAAAAAGAATGAACCAAGAAAGAAAACGCCACCACCTGAAGACAGCCAGCACTCCTTAAACCATGGCAACAAGAACAAGGCTCTGGAGCCAGCCACCATGGCAACAAGGCTCTGGAGCCAGCCACCACGGCAACAAGGCTCTGGAGCCAGCGGCTGCATTCTGCCACGGGCCTAACCAGAGCATGCTTGAAAAGAGATGAGTTCTATACATCATGGGCAGTTCCTGGGCCTCCCCTTCAGCACACAACTGCTGTGCTGGACTCAGGCACATCCGATGTGCCCCACCACGAGGAAGCCCGTTAAAGATCGTCGGACTCGGGAATGGTGACTGAATTCTTTCGCAGGGATTCTAATGAAAACGCAGTTGGAGAAAGTGGTCTGGACTCCGGGATGTGTTCCATTCTGTATTTCTCGATGTACGGTGCGGCAACTTCCCACACCTGAAAGGCAAGGAAGGGAACAAAGTCAAAATATGGATAAGGTTGTTTCACGCGCTATGAAGAAATGAGAGCTTCACCCCAAACCAAAGCGCGCTCCATACCTGGCCAAACGTGTAGCAGCTTGTTTGCTTATATTTTGAGCCATCTGACACACTCTTGTGTTAATTAGTTGCATTAAAGGATTTTAAAAAGACAAAGTCCAAAACCAAGCTCACATTGTAAAGGGTTTTAAGCTGCTTCCTACTCCAGAGCCAAACAAGCAAATCCACAAAAACCAAACAGAACCTTGGCAGCTCACAGAGAGATTCTGGACGCTTACTCAGGGTTGGTGGATAGGACAGTGCATGAGGCTTGGGAGCTGAAAGGTGGTCCAATGAGTTCCTCTGAGGTTGTGTTTCTATGGCCACCAGTATGCAAATGCAGCCTGTCGCCCAGCCCCATAAGCATCCCCTGGGACAAGCCAGAGTCAGCTTCCACCTTCATCTGAGAACTATGGGATGGAAGCTAGGTTTGTATACGATGATAAGACTGTCACACACATGGCCAGGTTTTCCTCTTCGCCTACCAACCTATTTCCTTAAGGCCTCATTTTCGGTGTGTAGTTTCTTTTCTTTCTGCCAGTGGCCCCCGACAGCCAAGGAATCTTTCCTGTTCTATGCCCTCACAAAATAAACTCTTAGCTTGTGCAGTGGTGGCCCCTGCCTGAATCCTAACACCCTTGGTTCTAGAATACACCGAGGGAAGAAGACTGCTGTGAGCTTGCGGCCAGCCTGAGCTGCTCAGTTATCTTGAGCCAGCCTGAGCTAACATAGCATGAGATACTATCTGAAACAAATCTGAAAAAGAACATGTATTCTTCACAGGCTAGGCCCTCGTGGAAGACGTGTTCCCTCAAAGGACATGGGGTGCACCTCCTGAAATCAGAGATGTGAAGTTTCAAGGGCAAGTTTGTTCCCCCAGAACAAGGTCACAGCTCTAAGGGAAATCAAGAGATTCTAGGGAATGGGATCCTAATGACTCTAAAGGTTTTAAAGCATTAAAACAAAATGTGTGTGTGTGTGTATATATGTGTGTGTATATATATATAAATGTGTGTTTGCACATATATAAAATGTGTATATGCATATGTATACATAAATGTGTATATACATATATGTATATATAAATGTGCCTTTGCATATATATATAAAGTGTGTGTATGTGTGTATATAAAAAATATATAAATATGTATATATAAATGTGTGTATGTATATATGACATATATGTAAAAAGTATTATATGGATTACATATGCATATACACATTATACATGAGACACGTATAAGTACATGTGTAAAATATGCATATGTATTCATTTGCATAGGGTGTATGCATCTTTTTGTTTGTATGCATTGAAAGCTGACCCACCCTTAAGGCACCTGTATCAATTGCCTAAGTCCTTGGCCGATATAATCAGAGGAGATAAGCAGTAAAGAAAATGATCTTGCTGAGCCAGGCAGGTGCAGGGACACAAGGAACCCTGGGACTTTACAGGGTCGTCTTCATTTGGTGGTGGCAGCTGTGCCAACATCAGCAGGATGACGAGTTTTAGCAGGGCAGAGGGCATGTAGAGAAGGTTAATGGGCTACCTTCATGAATAGTCTCCTCAGGAATACTGCCTCCACTTTCATTTAAAACCTATTTCTGCCTCTAATCCTCCCACAGTCGGTATTTGGGTTCAACCTGGGCCTTTGGGGGGCTGTCAGCTGGCACTAGTCACCTTGCAAATCAGCTCTGTCCCTCTGTGATCTCTCCCTGGGAACAGTCAGGAGAGAAAGGCTCAGACAGCTAGCCACACCCAGCCCCCATTCACTTTCCCACAGCCATGAAACAGCTTGCCTTTTGCTCCAGAAGTAGTCTGTGGGCTGCTTCGATGTCCGGGGCCATGAAGCGATCTTTTATCCAGGGCCTTCAGAGAAAGAAGATCAAGCCGTCAGCCACACGCCTGCCTCTGTAGAGATCCACCGTTCTGAAATGGAGTGGGTCCCGGAGACCCGTTGACTTTACCTGACTACAGAGCGCACCAGGTCATAAACCTTCTCCAGCGGAGTGGTTGTTTTCAGGGGGCGTAGAAACTCTATGCCCTGGCAGGCAGCTAGGAGTTCGATGGCCAACACTAAAACAGAAACATGGAAGCAGCGGTTGGTTCAAGTCTGGCTTCATCCTGTGGAGCTGAAATCACCCAGAATTGCAACTACCAGGAGTCAAGTACACGAACATGGATTTCTGTGTGTCGAGAGAAAGAAATTGCCTGCCATTACAAACGTCCATTAAGGACGTTCGCCTATTACAACCAGTGTTATGTGCTTTCCCCTTTTCTTCTGTTTGCTTGACTTTATTTTAGTCCGGTCTGTTATTTGTTTTATTGGTCTTTCTGTTTCCTAGGGGGAGAGAAAAAAGGTGTTTTGTTGGATGGTTGGAGAGGATCTGGGAGGAGATGAGGGGAGGGGAAACTCCCCTCATATATATAGAACTCCCCATATATATATATATATATATATTATACTATATAAAAATAAATAACAGTACTCTTTAGGTATATTGCAAATATATAAGCTACTCGTTACACTGGAAACATGTCTAGTGTTCTACCTACCAGGAGGCTAATTTAAAAGCATGGCCTTGTCTCTAGAATTGTCTTGACTTGGTACTCTTTCCCTCCCTTCAGAACTTTGCTGCCCTGTGTTATTGAAGGCGTTCCCTTTGACCTGATTTCCTTCCTTCTTCCAGTCGGCTGTTATACTTCAAGCCATCTTCCATTCCCCGAGGCAACTGCTTCATCGAGACCACACTCCTACACCTCATACCCCTGATCACCTCCAGCTACCTCTGGACACAGAGCACAGACCGTCAATCATCATCCAGCAGGGCCTTCCTGAAGCACTTTGGCATCTGTTCTTGGATGCCCCGTGTCGTCACTGTAATGCATCCCGAAACGACTTACTTTCTGTATACGCTTTCCTTTTCCAACATAACATTAATTCATTCACCTCTCAATCTCTCTCTCTCTCTCTCTCTCTCTCTCTCTCCATATATATATATATATATATATATATATATATATATATATATATATATATCACACGCATGGACATGCACACACACACACACACACACACGGCCATATGTTATTCAGGTCTTAATCATGGGTTCTGCTTTGAAGACGCCATTTTTGGTCCCTTTAGACTTGATCAGACTCTTGTATTCTCCTCCTGTAACGCTGCCCTTCAGTGTCTTGTTCATTAACACAAAGAGTTGCCAGGTTGGCCACTGTTTGCTTCTCTGAACCGACGCTGGTTTCTGTAAGGGCAGGAGATGGGTGCATCTCGCCCACTCTGTTGCATGCTCTGCTCAAGTGTCAAGTGCCTTTCCACACTTTCCAGACTCCCGTGCTAGTTGCTTAAGCAAGGACAGGGAGTGGGCGCTGTGATAAGCAGCCTCGTATCTCCTCACACTTACAGCCAGCACTACTGGATTCCAGAATTTGAAGGGATTTGCCGAACATCTGTAATCAAAACAAACTTAAGTAATGGACATGTTTGTAAGACAGCCAATTCGTACTTATTGCTGAGTCCCCTTTCATGGTATAAACAGAGAGAACAGGGCTAAATAACTAGGCAACCATTTACCACCATGTGAACATTTGAGCAATCAATCCGAATCATATCTAGCGATATGGCCAAGCTGGATGAGATCCTTGCCATTGTGGGAAGTAGACAAGTCTAACTATATCAGAGGTATTGAGTGCTATCAGAATAGAACAAAACAAAACAAAGGAAGGAAAAATGTTAGCTGCTGTAGTAGCTCCAGCCAAGGAAGATGTGTGAGAAGAAGTTTGTTTAGCTACGTGGTTGGAGTGAGAAGGGACCAGAAATCTTTGGAGTCGGAGCTGCTGGTGATGTGTTCCCTGGCATCACAGGACAACACTGTGGTTCGAGGATGGAGACGGCATGAGAGAAGGGGGTGAGAGTCAAATGCCAGATCATGCCAGGCTTCTAGGCCTAAGGAAGTGGGGTGGATATGGTTTTGAGTCCTGGAAAGTAACTGGCAATTTTCAAGCTGGGGCATGGTGTGGCCTAAATTGCATTTGTGGACGCTCGCTCTGTTTTGTAATGCGTGGCAAATGCATAGGAGGTAAAGCAGAAGGAGGTGATGGATTCAGATAAACACGCTATGATAGGCAGATAACAAGAGCTACCGAGGACGTGGAGAAACGGGCGTCTTTAAGTTCGGCTGGTAGGCACATACCATTGTGTGCCCGCCATGGAAAGCCTTCTCCACCTCCCATAACGATGAGTGAAGAGCAAGTGTTTGGCACCATCATTCCAGTCCAGACAAATGAAAACACTCACCTCTCACCAAAATATTCTCATCAACCAAAAGGCACAAACAAACCAGTCTTTCCACCGTGAGTGCATCCAGTAACTGTGTTACTTAGGACAACCAAAGCCAAACAAACCAGTGCTAACACACACTAGAACAGGAACAAACCAGGAAGTAGTGTGCCAGGTAAGAGAAACCGGACTAAAGGAACACGTAGTGTGTGGCTCCATTTACATTAAATGTCTCATAGAGGGCAAATCTATATATAGGGACCTAATATAGTGGTTGCCTATGACTGGAAATAGGGAGGATGAGGCGTGATGAACTGAAGACTACAGGGTTTCTTTTGAAATGAAAAAAACATCCATTCTTTTGAGATGTTCTAAGATTTGTGGTTGCTCAATTCAGTGAATATATGAGAACCACTGAACCACATGTTTTAAAGGGGTGAGGTGAATTATGATAGAATATAACTCTACAAAAAAATCAACTCACATCTTTAGCTTATGCTATTCTTTCCTTGTGTGACAGAACTCGAGCAATCCTGGGATAGCTCAGGAACTTAAGGAGATAATATTTAATGGAGGGCTGTTGTACTCTCACCAAAGGTAAGCAGCAATTGGGAAGGTAGCCAGAGGGCGGCCCTAACACGACTCTCCCAGTGATTTATCTCTGACAACTGGGAGAGTCTACAACTCATTAAATCTTTGGAATCCATGTCACAACATCAGAAATGTCCGAGGGAAAAAAAAAACATGAAAGCGAGATCATGAACAAGCTACCGGAAAATCCAGAACATCCAACTCCTGTCAGAAAACTAGCCTGGTGTCTTGCTGAGTCAAAAGGCAGAAGGAAAACAAGGGGTAGAGGATGACTCTAGAGTAAACGAAGCCTGGAACTAGGACGATAGGATTTAAAACGGGGCCTGGAATCCCCATTCGAACCAGCCCAAAGGAAAGGCTGAGGCGCTGCAGCTGGAAGGCTTTGGGTTTGTCTTTGAGGCTGATACCAGGGCTCGGCTGTTTAATTCTGCTGGGTGTGGTGTGGCGTCCTGGCTGAGAGGAAAGCACTGACAACAGGAGCTGAATGAGGACGGCACAAATCGACCTGTTAATGGGATGTGGAAAAGCCTACACGAAGAGCTACAGGCAATTTAGGCATGCTGAGAAGACATGAGTCTTCCCTATGGAGGAACGCACCAACCGGTTGTCCAGTACCAAACAGCCCTGAAAGCATGCATGCAATTAACACGATACAGGCCTGGAGGGTTAGTGCTGCTCACTGGCTTGCTCCATGTGGCTTGCTCAGCCTGCTTTCCTATAGCATCAGGACCACCTGCCCAGGGGTGTCATTGTCCCCAGGGTGCTGGATTCCCCCCTCAGCAATCAATAATCAAGAAATTGCCCCCACAGACTTGCCCACATGGCATTGTTATGGAGGCCTTTCCTCAGCTGAGGTTGCTTCCTCCAAGATGACTCTAGCTTGTATCAGATTGACAAAGCAACACAAAACTAAACTAACCAGCACAGTTATCTTGACCAGACTTAAAATCACGTTGGAGACAAAACTCCACAACTGTCTACGCTGTCTGTGACAGCGTTTCCAGCGAGGTTCGCCTGAGGGGTAAAGCCTCTCCCTGGATGGGGGTGACACAGAATGGGGTCTTAGATTGAATAAAAGGAAAAAGCAAGTGTGTGTGCGTGTGTGTATAAATGTTGGGACACACAGAGGCCAGAGGAGGTAGATGCCTCCAGGGTTGGAGTTCCAGGCAGTCACCTGGTCTGGATTCTGTTAACTGAACTTGGTTCTCTACCAGAGTCTTCTATGCTCTTAATCCCTGAGCCATCTCTCCAACCTGGAGTCATTCATGTTGAAGAGAGAAAGTATATATAAACAACATGGAGATTTGCCTGAAAATAATCTGGGAAAACAAAAAACGGGGAGCCAACGTTTGGGCTTTCGAGTCGGTTGAGGCTTGCTAGGGTTCATGGTCCTCTCCACTTCCAGATATTAAAACAAGTCAAGAAAACCCCCACGCCATGCCGGGCGGTGGTGGCGCACACCTTTAATCCCAGCACTCGGGAGGCAGAGGCAGACAGATCTCTGTGAGTTCGAGACCAGCCTGGTCTACAAGAGCTAGTTCCAGGACAGGCTCCAAAACCACAGAGAAACCCTGTCTCGAAAAACCAAAAAAAAAAAAAAGAAAAAAAAGAAAACCCCCACGCCATTAAAATAGTTACAGAAGGAGTCAGATTGTCTCTGTGTAGTTCTGTAGTTCTTCATCTTCAGTGAGGGACCCAATCACCTAGAAAGCCGTTAGCCACACTCCCTCCCCCCTTCTCCCTAATGTTTCTGGGAGGGGCCAGAGGACCTGCACCCTGTACTTCAAGGGAGTTTCCAAAAAAACACTGACTCAGTGGGCAGTGATTATTCCATTCTGAGAAAGACCCGGAAAACCAGTTTCCCAGTGAGGTCCACCTCCCAGGGCCGGCTTTACCTTGTTCTACGTGCTCGATGACCCTGAGGGCCTTCCTGGCTGCCCATCCTCCCATGGAGACGTGGTCCTCCGTGGCAGCACTGGTAGAGAGTGAATCCACAGACGAAGGGTGGCACAGAGCCTTGTTCTCAGAAACTGAAAGAGACTAGAGCAAGTGAGGCAGCGGCCCTAAAAAGGAATGCTGCCAAAACATTACACAGCTCCCCCAGAGTCTCCACGGCGTGGAAGGATCTCTCCAGGGACTCTTGATCATGACCCAAGCACCAGATGGTGCTGAGCCACGGTCAAAAAAACAAACAGGTCAATCAATGCTTTTTTAAAAAATTTATTTATGTATTTTTTAAACATGCCTTGGTGTTTTGCCTGCATGTATGTAAGTCTGTGTAAGCGTGTGGGATCCCCCGGAACTGGAGTGACAGACAGTTTTGAGCTGCCATATGGGTGCTGGGAATTGAACCTAGGTTTTCTGGAAGAGCAGTCAGTGCTCTTAACTGCTGAGCCATCTCTCTGGCCTTGACCCATGAAGCCAAGCAGAGCTCCAAGACTGTATATGGATAAGCAGTCTATGTAATACTCAAGACAGCCGGATGTAAGGTACAGCCACCATCGTGGGGTCTATGCAGCCGAGGCAGTATCAAGAGGATGGAGAGGCCTGACGCCACACTGGTTACAAATGGCAGATCTGGGGGTTAGATTCCACCAGACGCTTTTAATTAACCATCATGTTACCTAGTCCTTTGAGGTAGTACTGTTAAAGAAAATACAAGATGTTCAGCTAAACTGGGAATTTTTTTTAATTAAAAAAAAAGTTTGGTTGGTTTTGCTTTAGCATAGTCGATGCCAAGTCTTTCAAACAGAACTGGGCATCCTGCATTTCTTTTTTTTTTTTTTTGTGGTTGTTAAATCTGGCTACTCTATTTTAAGATTATGCACTGATGAACACAAGGTTCTTGATATGGACCAGCTGCAGGAACAGAGAGAGTGGACTCGTGTGAACCCTGAGCCACCCCACTGCCCCAGCAGCCTAACGACCCTCACACCCTGAGAGGAGCCACAGTTGCTGAGGTACATCCCAGCCGCCATCATGGCAACCACCAGCATCAAGGCCAGGACCCCAGGCAGCCTCATAACCACAGCTCCTGCCTGGGAAGGAAGGTTTTCCAAACAATAAAGTGGTTCATCCTAAGAAATGGGTATGGTTTCACTGAGATGATTGACACCAAGAAAGATTTGCTGAGGCAGGAAAGGTTACAGCCCCTGGCAGAATTCAAGCCCAAGGCAGTAAAGACATAGCCTGTACTCTCTTTATGTGGTAGAGATTCTCCATGCAGTTACCATCAGGGTTACCAGAATAATGAGAGCTGGGGAAAGACCGAGCGATCAGAAGGCCAGGCCCAACAATGCCCACCTTATCCTAGACAAAGGTTCTCCTCTTTCAACATGCAGGGGCCACCCTATCCTAAGCTTCCTGTGCAGGGGGACTAGAAAGAGGGTGCTGACACCCGGAGAGCAAGACAGCAAGGTAGACCAGTGAGACAGGCTGTGTTTAGGGGTCACAGGCTGTGATTCCACGGGGGCCCTCATCCCAGAAGACAACCTACAGAGGACAGCAAGGGTGAGGGGAAGGAGAACCATGGAGATGAGACCCAAGGTCAGCAGCCACCTCAAAGAGCTACAGCTTCAGGCACAATCCAGATACCCAGAGAATCTTAGAGCAAGCAGGCAACCCACTCACAGAGGACTGAGCAGGGCGGGCCTGAATAAATGAAGGCCTATGAGTCATTCCATCAAACGATTTAGCTCTCCAACGAGAAAAACATGGCTCGGCATTCTGGCAACAGGAAATAAAAAGATGGGCGCCAATGACCTGAAGGACTTGGTTTTCTGCCACTTAACCGGATAAGAAAGAACTATCTGCATTATCTATGAGACACATGGTTAGAATAAATACTTTTAACGTAAAGATATCTCTTTTGGATCATGACAAATATAGGTTCTGTTGCTATTGTTACTTATTTGCTTATTTGTTATTTACTAATGTCTGTTTTTTCTCAATATGCCATTGAAGGTTTTTAAGTTGTAACAAGCCTACAACTTATGTTGACGAACCGAAAGTACCTGTTACTAAAGCTCTGAAGTGATGATGATGATGATGGTGGTGGTGGTGGTGGTGCTGATAAAAAGGAGTTCGCGGAAGGGAGTGCACGAAGTTGGGTACCAAATATGGCTGCATTTGAGTTCTGCTCTGCATCCAATTACTATGCAATATTGGAAAAGTCACTTAGCTTCTGGGGTCTCCGATTATTCGCCTGGCCAATGGCGGTAATAACAGTGTCTCCTCCCTCCTGGGACTGTTGCTATGGTTAAGGGAGGGGAAATAAGAAAGGCCACTGGTACTAACTTTGTGGCGGGCATCCTTCTGATGGGTTAGTTATCTACTCCTTGTGGTTTCGAATAGGAAACCAGCTGCCCTGAGCTCAGTTTCCAGGAGGCACATTGCTTCTTGGAAGTGTTTATTTATTTATTTGTGTGGTTTTGGGGACAGGGTTTCTCTGTGTAACAGCCCTAACTGTTCTGGAACAAGCTCTTATAGACCACACTGGTCTCAAACTCAGAGTTCCAGCTGCCTCTGCCTCTGGAGTGCTGGGATTAAAGGCATGCGCCACCAAAACCCAGCTGGAAGTATTTTTATATGTTAGAGCTCATCTTAACCTTTTAGTGGATAGTGTGTCTAGTAGAAGATCTCCAAAGTTTAAGCATTCAATTTGGTTCAACTTTTGCCATCGACTATAACTGTCTCTTTTTTTTCCTCTGATTGTTTTTGGGGGAAAAGCTAAACAGACAAAGTTCAAATGTCATGTTGGGATTGTTTTCTCTGGGGCATTTTCCCCTTATACCTTACGGTTGCATTATTATCTTGCAGCATTACACGGTTTAGGTCTTATGTTTTCTAAGACAGTGTGAAAATTCAACCTGTTTGCTGTGCTAGGCATGCGTGGTAGGATGCACAGGAAAGAGAAGCAGCAGCAGAGCTCATTCCAAGGCAGAGGGTGATTCTTTGAGGGAATCTGGAAAGGCCCTCCGGGGCGGGGCTTGTGTTCTGACAAAGGGTGCTGTCCTTACCCAGGGCTGCTGCGGTGCAGTGGGCTATCATGAATCCAGAGTTCAGCCCTCCTTCAGCCACCAGGAAGGCAGGCAGCTCGCTGAGCGAAGGGTTGCACAGCCTTTCGATTCTTCTCTCACTGATTGCCGCGAGTTCATGGACGCCAATGGCCAAATAGTCCAGGGCCTAAGAAAACAGTTCAGTTCAGCTGGCCAGCTTCGGAATGTACTTCCGGGGTCAGGAGCCCAGTCGGAAAACTTACTTTGGCTGGGTATTCACCATGGAAGTTTCCTCCCGAAATCGTCTCCCCTCGACTGGCAAAGACCATCTTTCAAAACAGGTTAAGGCTTACACATAACATTGTTGCTCACTTCAAGGGTGACTCCTATCCCCATCTGCTTATGTTTAGTATTGAAGTGGCAGTCGTTGAACAGATAGAGGGAAGATAAGTCTTCCCGGAAGCAGTTGTTGACAGGAATACACACACACACCACACACACACATACACACACCACACCACACAGACACACAACACACACACACACCCTCACCAGACACACACCACACACCCACCATATAGACACACAATACACACACAAGACACAGACACACACATCATACACACACCACACATCATAGACATACAACACACACACTCCACACCACAGACACATAGCACACACCCACCGTATAAACACACCACACACACACCACATAGACATACACACACCACTCTACACAGACACACAACACGCACACATCACACACACCACAGCACAGACACATAGCACACCCACTATAGACACACAACACACACCATATATACACACCACACCACACAGACACACACCCCACACTCACCATACAGATACAACACACACCACACAGACATACACCACACACCACCCCATACAGACACAACACATGTACCACACATCCCACACCTCACAGACACACACACACACACACACACACACACACACACACAGTAAATTGTATACAAATAATTGGAGACCATGGGATATGAAACGTTTTCTCTTGGGATCTGTGATATCAACTCCTACTTTTCTACTCCACCAATTTAACAATTGTACTCAAAAGCTGAAACCACTAACACGAACCCCTGGTTTGAAACCAAATTCTATTTCTCGTGTGGAGCTGCGAGCCCATGCTCCGGAGAAGAAGCTGTTGAATTGAAGATTTGGCTGATAGAGCGCCCTTCGAAACAGCTGGAATAATCCATGCTGGGACTGTTTCCCCACTCTGTCCTCGGAGATCCTGTGCTAGTGTTCAGTAGCCAACAGGTCCTAAAGACCCCCTTCTGCAGGAGGGAACTCTGGACTCTCGGAGTGTGATTACCCCTAGAGATAGTCCCAGTCTATAGCACACTTTGTTGAAGCCAGCAGGCACAAGGCAAAGCTAGTAAAAGGCCCTCCATCCTGGTTCCAAAAGTTTATGTTTTCCCTCTGGGCTTTATGAACAATATATTTACCTAATCATTATCAGGGTTTGAATCTGTGGCATGAGCCAACCTCTGAATGACAATATTGAGAAAAAAAAATTGGGTCGGGGCTGGAGAGATGACTCAGCAGTTAAGAGCACTGACTGCTCTTCCAGAAGACCCAGGTTCAATTCCCAGCAACCATATTGCCTTCTCAAGATTGTCTGTCACTCCAGTTCCAGAGGATCCTACCCTCTTACACAGACATACATACATGCAGGCAAAGCACCAATGTACATTTAAAATATTATATAAATAAATAATTAAAAAAAATAAAAGTTGTATCTATACTGAGTGTGTGCAGGCATTTTCTTGTCATTGTTCCCTAAATAATACAATAGAACAACTATTTATGTAGTATTTACATTGTACTAGGTGTCATGGGTAATCTAGAGAGGACTTAAAAGTCCAGGAAGAAGTGAGTGGGCCATCCACAAGTAAATTAGGGATTTGAGCACGCAAAGATTTTTGCAATGGAAAGTATCCTACAGCCAATACTCCACACGGACATAGTCTTCTCTCGGTCCCCTGAATCCTTGCATTGACTGACTGCTGCTCTAATTCAGTAACTAAACATGCCGTATTATTCTATTGTTTCCCAACTTTGTTAGTCATTAGAATTCCAGCAACTTCCAACTTCCCTAACACCCGCCTTTCTGCACTGGCTGCTCTTTACGTGCAGGGCAGCATGGAGAAACCTGTCCTCTCAGGGAACATCGGGACTAGAGGTATTCTCAACTCGCTGAAAATTCATCCACAATCAAGAGTCTTTTATTAAGAAGCTAGGGGACTTTTGGCTGAAATTATGGCTGGGAGAAAATTAAATAAACATCTGTCACCCATAACCAGCAAATTCATGCTAATCCTTTCCCTTTTAACTCTTGAGTCACCCTTAAGGGTCTAACTGTGCTGGTATAGAATTGCCCCTGTACCACTGAAGAGCAAGACCACAAACACAGCATGCATAAAAAACGTTGTTCCTTCTAGAATGAGTGACAGATTCGTAATCCCAAGGATTAGTGACTACCGGTTTGAACTCATGAAGCGACCTCGGAGAACATAAAAGAAATCCTAAGGTAGGCTTACGGAAAAAGCACCCTCAAGCCTCGGTGAGCCAGCCTGCCACAGCTGTTGGGTAACCGGCCATCTGCTCACCAGGGCTGTGAGCTGCTCTCACGGTGGCTCCCTAGGCGGCTTCTCCCTGATTGGGAAGAAAAGCGTTCTTAAGAGGCTTGCCTGTTTTCAAAGGCAGCGATGCCTCTGGGAAGACTGTACCCCGATTAATTAGCTCAGCTTCAAAAAGAGAGAGAGAGAAAAAAAAGAGACTCTCTAGGGGAAAGAGATCCTGTGAAGGAGAAAAGGCCCCTCTCCACAAGGAATGAAAACGTAAGCGTTCTTAACCGTGTGTACAGATACGTATACTGTGACCTGAGCAGAGTCCACGGCAGAAGGAAACCTGAGGCTGGGGAAACCTTACGTCACCGGGAACACTTGGATGTGCTTGCTAGCATGTCATTTTCTGCTCGGTGCATCCTGCATCACTAGAACCAGGCTGCAGAAGGGAAGGCCAGCCTAGGAGGCGCTAATCACAACCTCAGCAGTGACTTTCAGCCAGTGCCTTGGTGAAACATATCCACAAATGCTGCCTTAGTATTTTATGGGTCAATTTTAAAAGCTAGACTCAAAACCTACATTCGCGGGTCTGTTTCTGCCACTTACCGACTCCGACCTAGAAGAAGCCCCCAAGTGCTCAGCTCCAGGGACTGGAACATCTACCTAGAGACAGACTAACTCGACACAGACCCTAACACAGCCAGCTAAAGAAAGCTGCAACCGTGTAGAACATTCAAAAGATACAGGGTTGTCTGTAGCACTGTTCAGTTCTGTAGTAATGATGTCCTTCACAAATGCTATGGTATCATTCACCACCCCGTGGACCTAAAGTGCAAAAAAAAAAAAAAATGTATATGCTTATTATCCAATAAGAATGTCAATATTCTTGTAAAACACCATCTCCAGTCCTTGCAGTTAAGATCATAACAGGTATAATTGGCTCCTTTAGGATATAAAGACAACTAACAAGTTCTCAGTAAAACAAATTAGAATAAATACATTAATATAATATATAAAATAAATACAAAAAAATATTAGACTTATATGCAAAACATTGCAGTATAGGAAAAAAGTGCCAGCCCTAGCCATAAAGAATTGCATTTCCATGCCGGTGGTAGGATGTAGGCAAGGTAGATTTCTGGTTGGAACAGTGATTTGGGAATTAGACGATGACAGTTACTTTCTGTTTGTAAGAAGTAAATAAGATATTATAGGCCTCTCTTGGACATGACTTGCAGAGATCACCCAGGCGGTAGCCATCCAGGGTTTGATGTCAAGAAGCATAAAGCACCACACTGAAGATGCTCATAAGGAAAGCTGCCACCCTGCACCTTGCCCCAGGACGGCCAGCCATGGTACACTTCTGGCTTCTCTCAGAAGACCAGAAGATAAGATCTATGCTATGATCTTGGGCGAGGAAGGTACTGAACCCCGTTCATCAGGTCCTGGATGCAAAATGGGAGAAAGTATCAATTTCACAGTTGGGAAAATTCAATGAAATTAGTATTTGGAAGATACTGATAATGGAGCCCATCATTTGGAGCCAAACATCATTCTTAGACTAGCAGGGGCTCTTAAACCAGGACTTAGTCTTACGGTTCAGCTGATTTAGCAGTTCTCCCGTGGACGTTTTGTGAGCTATTGTTTAATGAGCGCTTGTTGAGTCATAGGCAGTGAGGGATTTGCTCGAGGGCAAACGCTCTCTTAGTCTCTCGACCAGAACTTGAGTGACAGCTCAGTTCCTGAGGTGTCTGTAACTCCTCGTCAGTCAGATGATGCAGAAGCAGCTGCACCCACTTCTTAAAATTGTGTCAGAGAGTCATTTGTGATAGTAAGAGGAAGAAGAGACACGCCCCATGGACACTTGAATTCTGAAAGGCAGAATTCAGTGATCACTTTCCTTTGAACATTCCTGACTGACTGATTATAGTTTTTCCCTACAGTGAGACTCTCCAATGCTACTTAGCCATTGGAGTGTATCAACACAGGAGGTCAAGAAATGAGGAGTCTAGCTGACCCAGAAAGAAGCTGATAACCACAAGAGAAATGGATATAAAATGCATATTTTTTTAACAGAAGCAGCAGAGAGATTTGGATTACATTTGGCCACGACATGATTTTCTAAATCTTTCCTCTTTTTCTATTTTTTTTCCCCCTCTGAATTTGGGGAAGGAGCCTTTGCTAGGCTCCTGCTTCTTGACTTTACCTGAGGACAGCAGCGCAAGGTATATGCATCTTGGACACGGTCGCAGAACCTGTGGCTTTCTGGGCGAGGAAGGGCGGGGGAGGAGTTGTGGGGAAGAAAACAGGCAACACATTACTGGTCTCTCCAACACACACAGCACCCATGAGCCCACTCAGACAAACTTGTCCAGACCTGCGATTTCTGATGGGTGGTGATCCGAGTCCAAGAGGGACCGGAACCGGAATGCAACTTCAATTTGCCCACGGTGAGGGCGGACTGCATGAATGTCTAGAATTGAAGGAGGCAAAAAAAAAAAAGTCTGTGCAATTCTGATATCAGAATGAACCACAGAGGGTTCCGGACCATCCACAATGCTGGCAGGACCCTCTAAAGTCCTGAGAGTTCTCACTCATCATACAGAATTAAATACTCCAACCCAAAGGCAAATTTTCCTTTATCTACACAATTGGCTCTGTTGTAGATGTTGGCACACAAACTGTTGGCGGAGTACACTTAGGAACGTGACACAAGACCCCAGGCCCACCCTTGAAGGACCTGGACTGGTGACAGCAGACAGTGTGCGTAGTGGCTTAATTTAACCAAGTCGTTTCTGGACATTTTCCGCTCTACGTATTAACACGGAGCCTTTGATATTCATTAATTCCTAGATGAGCTACAGATACTTATATCATTTCGCCTTCCCAATTTTCTTATCAGGGCACTTGCAATCTCTGTATGTGTGTGTGTCTGTGTGTGTGTGTGTGTGTGTGTGTGTGTGTGTATGCGCACACGTGTCTGTCTACCCATGCATGAGCACATGCACAGGTGCCCGAGAATATAATGAATGTACGTATGGAAGCCAGAGAGCAAGCATAGGTGTTCCTTAGGCACCGTTCACCTCCCTTCCCCCTTTCCCTTATTTTTCATTTTGGAACAGAGTCCTTCACTGGCCTGAAACTCATTAAGGAAGCTGGGCTGACCAGCAAGCACCAGGGATCTGCTGTCTCCGTCTCCTGAGAGCTGGGATGCATTACAAGAACACACTACCGCGTTCAAGTTTTAAAATGTCAGTTCTAGGGATCGAACTTAGGTTCTTGTACTTACAAAACAAGATCTTTACCTACTGAGTTCTTCCCAGCCCCTCCCTCCCCCCTTTTTTTGGAGTTTCAAGTCTTACACACTGACTCCTAAAGCAATGTCTACTTTGGCATGCCCAGATCACCAGTGATCTAGATCAGGTTGCTTAGTGTCTGTCTTCTCAATGTCATTGTTAGCCAGGCCGTGGTGGCGCACGCCTTTAATCCCAGCACTCGGGAGGCAGAGGCAGGTGGATCTCTGTGAGTTTGAGGCCAGTCTGGTCTTACAAGAGCTAGCAACAGGACAGAAGCTAGCTCTTGTCCAAAGCTACAGAAAAACCTTGTCTCCAACAAAACAAAACAAAAAACCCAGAATGTCATTGTTACAGGACTGAACGTAACAGAACTCAGGTGCAGCTGTGGCAGTCCTGGGTCTATTAGGAGCACCTGCGTCTTCTCGCTCTTCCCTGCCCCCTCACCCCCTCCACCTCTGTCAGCCAAGTCACCCTGGTTGAATGAGTAAATAAACAGAGCCTGCTGACCAGTATCGAAGGCTTTGGTGGTGCCCTTCAGCACCTCGAGGGTCAAGGCAGCCACAATGTCAGCCTGCCGGGCAATGGCGCTGGCTCGCTCCACGGCCTCGCAGCCCAGGGAAGTGATCATCTGGGTCCCGTTAATGAGTGCCAGGCCCTGTGGGAAAGGGAGAAAAGTTTCTTACTGTGGGTAACGAACCCACAGACGAGGAGATCTGTCCTTGTAGGAGAGAAACTGGCCAGTTGACTGAACTGGGTATCTGTGTGTTTTCACACGTGTGGGCTAGGTGTGCATATTCATGAGCTTGAGTGGCGTCATATCTGGTGTGTCTGTGTGTTTTCACACGTGTGGGCCAGCCATGCATATTCATGAGCTTGAGTGGCGTCATATCTGGAATCATTAGCACAGATCTGGCCAAAGGGTACCTGTTGACTTCCCTTGTCAAGGCACCGCGTGGCCCTGCACTCCGGAATGTGTGGAGCATCTTCAGCCCTCTGTGTTCTATTCTTTAATAGCTTCTCACCGCCATAAGCAAGACATCCTAAGACTATACTGGTCCAAAGTTCCATCATGTTCAAGACATCCAAAGACTACCCTGATCCAAAGTTCCATCATAGACAACAAGACTTAGATCCTGAGACTATTCTGGTCCAAAGTTCCATCATAGACAAGAAGACTTAGATCCTGAGACTATTCTGGTCCAAAGTTCCATCATAGACAAGATATCCTAAGACTATCCTGGTCCAAAGTTCCATCACAGACAAGACATCCTGAGACTATCCTGGTCCAAAGTTCCATCATGTTCAAGGACATCCTAAAACAATCTTGGTCCAAAATTGTGGCTGAGAGCATCTTAAGGGACCTTGACTAAGCAGTTCTTACTAAAAACATTAGAAAACTATATTTGAAATTTATGTTCTTAGACAACCCTTGGGGACTAGTGGCATGAATAATCTTAAATATTCACAGAAGAGTCCTTTTGTAGCTGTCAATCAACACATAAACTGTGTTTCAGGAACTGATGAGGCTGCCATTAAGGATGAAAACTGCATATGTAAAGATTCGCTCACACAAACAAGTTTTTCTTGACTGACTTACCTCTTTTGGTTTCAGAACAACTGGTTTCAACCCGTGGGCTTCTAGGACCTGTTGAATGATTAAAAGCATGAACATGGTTATTACTTGAAACACCAGCTTAGTTTTTAACTTCATACGGAGCCCAGTGAAATACTCTCAGTTCCAAAGTTTGTATTATAAAAGATTATGCCAGGTTCTTGGGACCAGCAACTATGTCTATTTAGTGAGGAAGCAGGCTTAGTTTTTTAAATAACTTGTGAACTTTTGAAGCAAGAACATGGTTGCCTACAGAATATGTTTTGCGCTGGGCTTGCACGCCTTTAATCCTAGCACTCAGGAAGCAGAAGCAGGTGGATCTCTGTGAGGTCAAGGTCAGCCTGGTCTACAGAATGAGTTCCAGGGCAGGCTCCAAAGCTACACATAGAAACCCTGTCTCGTTTTGCTTTCAAGTTCCTCTGTGTTGGGTGTCAGTCTTTGAGACTCCTCACCTTGACAACTCTGGGTTAAGGCTGGGCTCCAGGCTAGCTGTCTATATGCATGCTTCTGCATCGAAAGCATGACCTCAGATGGTCCTTTACCCTTGTTTCTGCATCCTCTGTCACCAACAGGCTTAGGAGCAAATGTGTGCACACCAATAAAAAGGAGGTTATGGAATCCCCTCAACTAGGTAGAGCCAGAATTCCAAAAGGAAGGGGACAGAATATGATTTCTCTCAGGTAACAGAAGTAAAGGCTGCAACTGCATGAGATTCCCCTGGTGGGGAAAGGAAGATGGAGTCAAAGTGAGAGAAAGACAGACCACTGCCTCTTAATTAACTCTGTCCATTTCTCAGGGTTTGAGCACTTCTCACTGCAGGGTGTTGAGCTGGGCTGAGGGTACACACAGCAGAAACACACAAGCTCAGGGCACTCAGGCCACACAAGGGCTGAGTGCTTGGGAAACAAATAAGACGTAACCACCTATGTGTGGGTGACTTGGGAAGAAAGGAGCAGAGGAGCAGAGAGGGTGGATTCCTAGAGGACTTCTCAGGATAAAAGAAACAAATGGGAACAAAGTGTTGTGCCTTCTGCTTAGCCCAGAGCACATTCCAGCTGCAAGCTAACTCTATAATTTCTGCCATCAAGACCCTGGGTGGGAAGGGCTATGAGGATCACATGGAAAACAACACTCTTGAAGTCACATGATGGCCTTTATCCTAAAGATGAGGGAAATGCTAGAAGTTTAGCTAGGGTGTGTTTGGATTTGCTGTTGACCAAGGGTCAGGCTGGCTGCCACGTTAAGGTGGCCGAGGAAACACTGTCCACAGAGACAGAACCAAGATAGGTTGCATGGAAGAAAAATGACCTTGAACTTGGATTCTCTTTCTCTCTCTCTCTCTCTCTCTCTCTCTCTCTCAATTTTTTTGAATTTATGTGCATTGGTATTTTGCCTGCATATCTGTGTGAGGGTGCCAGATGCCCTGGAACTGGAGTTACAGACAGTTGTGAGCTGCCATGTAGGTGCTGGGAATTGAATCCAGGTCCTCTGGAAGAGCAGTCAGTGCTCTTAACCGTTGAACCATCTCTCCAGTCCCAATCCTCTGTCTCTTTCACTTACTGTTTGGGTGCCTCGTATCTACTCACAGAGGACACTTTGAACAATGTGGTGGGCTGCTCAGCTGAGATTTGTTCAGGAAGAAACCATCACAAGCTTCATGTAAAACATGCCTTCCTGACAAGCTTAACAACAGGTTGTGCTTTCTAGAGACTACACAGCAGGCTCTGTCTTTCATAACTCTCACTTGTAAGGTAAGCTCCCCAATTCAATTGTGACCCACTGTGACCTCCCCAGTGGGTGTCAGTAGTCTCGTGAGTGCACAGCAAATTCCTAAAACTAAAACAAGTGACTATATGTTCCCATCCAAATCTACATATCTTGGATGCTGGCAGGGGAATATGGAAGCCGATATTCTTTCCTGGGCTTGAGTTGACTCATCTATAACTGGACAGCCATGAAGGTGTGAGAGAACACACGCCAGTCTCCCGGCTCCAGCAGAGGAGAATCACTATGGAGGAAGCTATTACGTGAGGCTTACGTATTTAGCATCAGCCCAGCCGCTCTTTGGGGACCACATCTTTCCTTCTCCAATGAGTCCCAGAGCAAGATGAGAGAGAGGCGCAAGATCTCCACTGGCACCCACCGTTCCTTTCTCTGGAACGTAGGACAGGCAGGAGGCTGCAAGACAAGCCGGCATCAGTGACTTCAAGTGGGTTTGCACCGTTGTAATTATCCTTGCTTTGCCAGTGAGGACAATCCTCATTTCCAACAGAGTTTAGAGTCATTTTGAGATTACATATCCAAGAATGATCATTTCGGAGGCACAACTAGGCAGTACTTGGGAGGCAGAGGCAGTTGGATCTCTGTGAGTTCTAGGTCAGCCTGGTCTACAGAGTGAGTTCCAGGATGGCCAGGGCTACACAGAGAAACCCTGTCTCAAAAAACTGAGAGAGAAAGAGAGAGAGCAGAACCAGTTAAGTTGTTATGAAAGAGGAAGGTGAGTGTGGAGGGAGGGAGAGAAGAAGGAAGGAAGGAAGGAAGGAAGGAAGGAAGGAAGGTGTGTGTATGGAGGGCAGGCTTCCAGAGGGAAGGACATGAGGCTCGGCTGTCATGACGTCACTCTTAGGGTTCTAGCGGTATCTCAGAAACACAATTATAAACTAGCTGTTGATGGTCACATCCTGGTTTCTAAGAGCAAAACGTTAGAAATCATTAAGATACAGAATTACAGGACATTCATGTGAGCAGATTATATGCAGCCAATAAAAGCTGTTGGAGAATGCTTTAAAACATGTAAGTGTTTACTTTTTACAAAGTAAAATGTCTACTTTAGAAAGAAGGACATGGCACACTTTCTTGATGTCGGATGTCCTTCTATATATGTGTTGCTTTTAGTGGTTAATGAATAAAGCTGTTTTGACCAATGACGTAGCAAAGTAAAGTCAGGTGGGAAATTCGAGAGGAGATACAGAGAAAAAGAAGGCAAAGTCAGGTCAGACACCAGCCAGCCTCCAAGGAAACAAGACATGTAGGAAATGAGGCAACGCCACGGCCACGTGGCAATGCAGACTAATAGAAATAGGGGGCTGGAGAGATGGCTCAGAGGTTAAGAGCATTGCCTGCTCTTCCTAAAGGTACTGAGTTCAATTCCCAGCAACCACATGGTGGCTCCCAACCATCTGTAATGGGGTCTGGTGCCCTCTTCTGGCCTGCAGGCATACACACAGACAGAATATTGTATACAGAATAAATAAATATTTTTTTAAAAAAAGAAATTGGTTAAATTAAAACATAAGAGATAGCCAGGAATACTCCTGAGCCAAACAGTGTTGTAATTAATATAGTTATTATTAATTATTTGGGTCTCGGTGGCTGGGAAACAAAGTATGGTCTCCATCGGCACACACCAAAGACAAAAGTACTAATAACGTAATTGTTTAACAATAACTTTACAGGCAAAACTCTCTCTGTCTCCTGTCATTCACTTACCACCCCATACACTATGCCCGCTTATGTATAAGCATGTGCTATTTTTCAGAAATCTCCCCAAAAGTTACCCCCTAAAAGGAGGCTTCTGTTTCCTAAAATAAAGCCCTCTCGTGGTGACTGTTTCTACAGTTGTTGCTAAATGACATCAGTCAGACACGTCAGTGCCAACCGTGGGCCAGTTTCCAGACTACAGGTGACCTGGGGAATTCTCAGAGCAGCAGGGACCCAGAGATGCCTTAAATGCATCTATCATTCAAAGTCGGAGCTCTACTGTCTTGGGGTTTGAGGCTTGTGGTGGAGCCGAGCTTGTAGACGTGATCACTACAGATCTGTGTAAATAGCCCTATAGCCTGTAGATTGTGACCTTTGCTGGTCAGTGTGTGACATTTATGAGTTCCCTGGGCCCTCTGCATAGCAACTCAGGTGTCTGGTCTTCTCTGCATGACTGTGAGACCTTGTGTCTTTTCCCGTCCCTTTCCCCCAAGGAGCTCTAGGATTCCTATCGACCTCATGTTTTATCCTTAGCTGTGTGAAGGGGCAGCTTCCTGAGCCTTGCAAATCTGGCCTCCCCTTTAAGGACTGAGTTGCGTGGCGTCATGTCCTATCCCACAGTGGCCTTCATGGGCTAAGTCAATCGTTAACCTCTTCACATTTTGACCTACCTTTTTACAGAGTTAGATTTTCATGTGTGAGTACAACTTATCCATCATGGGGCCGGGGGAAGGGGGAGGCGTGGAGCATTAAAAGTACAGATTCCTGGGTACCAACTGGAACCACTGCCTTTGGGATGGACATAATCCAGGAATCATGTTTATGAATGACTTGCTGCCATTTCTCTGATCATAGATGGGCACCATTGAATAGCAAGCTCTGTGTAGGCCTGAACTTACTGGCGTACTGGTAGGGTTCATGTTTATCTCATATGATATCACAAGATAGGGTGACATTTGTGGGAACAGCTAGAGCTGCCATCCTTGCTACTTGACAACTGGTTCTCCTTCTTGCCAAACCCGTTTTACACTCATCTCGATTCTTTTCTCTTTAGCCTTGGCATCTAGTCATCCCAATATACTTTTTGGGGTGTGGCCAACTTCTCCGGAAGGCCCAATGAAGGAGTCAGTGCCTTACCATTAAACACTTCAATAACTTGTTTCAGGGTCTCCAAGGAAATCCCGCTGTATCCTTTAGCTAAAACATTAATCCTCAAAGCCAAGAGCATCCGACACCTTTCAGGACTGAGTGGCTTCCCAACACCTACAAAGCAGAACTGTCATTTTCTTCAAGAAAAAAAAAAAAGCCTCAAAACCAAATCCCTCACCTCCTGCCCACCCTCACCTCTTGGGTCTTTCCCTACTTTTGCCAGTCTTCTCTTGGCTTTCTGAAGCTGGATAGATGGCCCTCCCTGTTACCTGTCTGGCTCCTCAAATCTCGTCCAGACTAAGCTAGAGACCCAGTTCTCCTTCTCAGTTCCTTGCAGTGAACCTCACCTGCCCACACACCTTCAGAATATGCAGAGAGGCCTTGACACAGGCCCCCTTCAGAGTGAGGGGCCCATAGCTTAATCTACCTAGCTCATGCCCCCAATACTAGCCTTCATTCTTTCCCCAAAGCACAACACTCTCTTCAAAGGATTGCATACACGCTCCTATCTTAAGCGCATCCCCTCTACCAGGCCCATTCTGTCTTCTGAGCTGCAGCACAAGGTCGGTCTGGTCTGACGTCATCTGCTCACACTCCTGGGTCCCTAGCACCTGGCCCTTGGCATGCATTCAGGACACATGAGCTGATGTAGCTGGTAGCACTACGCTGGTCATCCAGGTGATCTAAGGTGATTTAGGAGGCACCCAATACTAGGAACCATTTACCTGAAGAATGGGAACGAACTAAGTTGACCTGAAGCTCCCTGGAAGAGAAAAGTGAGAACCCTCTTAGCTTGGGTGAACACGCTCCCTCGGCCGGGAATATGAAGGAAACAAGAGTTACGGCTTCAGATGGGCAGGGGACGGTAGGTCTGGTTCGCTCGTGATGAGCTGGGTACAAGTCAGCTCAAGCCTCACACTGTCCACCAAGATCCATGAGAAGAGTGGCCGTCTCACAGGGTTGTGTGAGCATTTGTTACCCAAGGCTTGGTCTAAAGCAATGGTTTTCAACGTATAGGTGGCTACTGCGTTAGGGGTCACTTACCAGATATTTATACCTGCATATCAGATATTTATGTTATGATTCATAATGGTAGCAAAGTTACAGTCATGAAGTAGCAATGAAATAAATTTATGGCTGCAGTCATCACAACGTGAAGAACTGTATTAAAGAGTCGCAGCCTTAGGAAGGTTGAGAGCCACTGGTCTCACTGAATGTCACTGCTCAATGAATGTCAATGTAGCCAGTGTGAACCATCTTGGTGGAGGCGAAATCGCAAAGTCGGGGCAGGTGGGTGGCGAGGATGTGCAGTCGAGACTTACTGTAGCTTATGGACGGGGATCACAGTTCTGGCAAACTTCCCAAAACCTGTAGTGATGCCGTACACAACTGGAATAAAAAGGTAAGCAGACGCCCTCGTGATTAGATTCGATGGAAGTTTTGTTCTTACGTTTGTCCATAAAAACAACGCCAGGACACCCAGAGGAAGCGGAAGCGGTACCTGTCTTCTCTTTTATGATGCTGTCGATGACTTCCCTGGACTGCTGCACCTTCTTCTCCGCAGTTGAAGTGAGCTAGGAAAGCATTGGCCAGAGCCAGCCTGTGAAAGTCTTCCGTGGCCGGTGGAAACGGCAGGGGAAGCTGGCCTCCTTTCCCTTCCCCACGTACCTTTATCTTGTAACGTCCCTTCCCCAAGTTGACCAGATCCTCTGTGCTCAGACTGTCCCCATCCAAGGCAATGTACTGCACAGAAGGAGTGAAATCTCAGTAAGCTGGGGGGCAGCTTCTGAGGGGTGGCCCTGTAGGAGCAACTCGGAGCTGGATGAATCTGTCCTTCCATGTGGCATTCACTCAGGTGTGAACCCTCTCCTCTGTAAAAGGAGAGGGGTATTGTGTCGCCAGGACTTCATTTTCCCCACAGAGCTTACCTTTTCAGGCTCCCGGTATTTGCTGTATCTGAAGCCAGGTAAAGGAGCAATACTGGCCAGAGTGGGAAAGCCCCAGTCCCACCATGGCAGGCCCAGCCCCCCAGTGCCGACGAAAGACGATGCAGAAAGGATACAGGAAAACTCCTTCCGGCTGCGAGGGAATGAAGTCGGGAGACATTACATCGCCTTCAATGACTGAAACGAGAAGCGGGGAGGGGAGAGAGGGGCCTTGCAGACCACTTGGACTGCTGCCAGACCCAGGAATGGCCCCTCCATGCCCAGAGCTTGCATTGCACAAACATGGCTGCTGCCACGTGACTTCCTACATTTTCCCATGGCCTTAGCGGCTCTAAGCGGGAAAGCAATAACACAGGCAGGCAGGCAGGCGAGGGGCGGTAGGTGAAAGGCCTGAGGAGGTTTATCTGATGGCAGAAGGAAGCTGTGATTGCAAGGGGATTCAGATTTGCAGCTTTGGGTTCAAGTGCAGTCTCTTGTCACTTAAGATCTGCCTCTCTACATCTGCTGCAGGCTGAGGACAGGGCGAATGAGAAGCTTAGCTTGAGGCTCCCCCAGGCCAAGTGCGCAAGCCTATTTTCCCCGTCATTTCCCCTGGGACTTCCGGCAGTTCAACCTGTTCCCCTGCGGGCCACTTACCCACTTCTACGAACTCATTGTCCTCCAAGGCTACCTCCAGCAGGTCCTCATTGTCCAGCAGGCCCAGGCCCTTGCACCGGCGCACGAGGAAGCGCACTTCATCCACCGAGGCGAAGCCGCCATTGTCCGGTTTGTTCTTCATGTAGCGCCTCACAGCCTCGCGGCCCAGCCAGCCTACAGAGAGCTTCCCGTCCCTGCAGGGTACCGCCAGCCATTCCCCACGCACGTGCACCGTGTACCTAGGCATGGCTCGGACACTGGAACAGCCCTTCTGAGCAACAGGCCGCTGGCTCCTTCCCTACTGTCCCAGACTGGAGAGCCTTTTATCCTTTACCGGGGAGGGGAGTTGCCTGCTGGGGTGTGGTTGGCAGGGAGACTGAGAATGAACTGTCAAAAACACACCCCTTCCCTTGTCTTTACTCATTCACACTTTGAACAAATATTGATTGCTGTCTCTGGTGTTCTTTTGGCCTTTTTGAAAGCTGAACTAGGGGCTGGAGAGAGAGGGTATGGGTAGGTGAGCCCACCTTCAATGCAACCGTGCAGAGAAAGACCAGGGGTCTCTTACCCTGGAGATCTGAGCTCTGCTGGTACCCCACCTGACCAGGATCCCCAAGTTCTCTCTCCCTTTCTAGGGTCTGCCTTGAGAGCTGCTCATAAACACCATGTTCGCCTCTTCGGGGAATTACTCAACTGGTAAAACGCATCCCCTCGGTCAATTGTGACACCCAACAGTGTGGCAATCCTCATTCAATTATTTATTCACTCCACAAACACGAGTTGAGCAACGCCTCCCTGACACCCATTTGTGCTTCTGAAGCAGTCGCTCCACAAGGGAAGGCTGAGAAGGCCAGAGATCACTTCCACAGCTAAAGGTTGTGTCTAGATGTATGACCAGCTTCCTGACCTGGGGTAGTGAATTATCAGCTTCTTTTCTCATCCAGAAGCAAACTGTTTACTGTCATGCTTTAAAGCATCTATCCGGAATAAATCCTGGCTCTGTGGTTTATTTGACTCTTCTGGGCTTCAACTTTCTCACCTATAAAATGGAGATATCGCTAGTACCTATCCCAGTGGGTAGGTGGAAAAGACAAAGTGATCTCTTGTGTGCCAACCCTGGGGCCAGCGCCAGCTGGATGGGGTCGCTAAGGAAATGTTTGGGTTGCTCTCACTCTGAACTTTAACCTTGGTGGCTCCGCATGACCTTGGTGGCTTTGCGATTATTCCTTGTCTTGGCATCTAGCTCTCCCCGACTTAGCTAAGCTTCTTCACTGCAGATAACTGTCACCCCTGTCCCCACCAAACTCTTCCCCACCAGGGTTAAGGAGCATGGGTCGTTAAGGAATGTGTGTACTTCAGTAGTGAGTCAGTTCAGAGAAATCGGATTGTTCCAACAGAAATCCCGGCCTCTTTCTACTCCAGAACAGAGATAGAGTTGCTTCTGCCAACATCCATATCCGCACCAAGCATCTAATTGAAGTGTGTTCGTGACAGCCACGCCCCGACTGTGCCTGCAGTTTGGCAACGTGGCTGTTTGACAGAGACATTATCTTTAGTTCCAGTATTCTACCTTCAGGACACGGCCTCCTGTCTTCCTTACATCTCTGCCCATGAGCCTGACTTCAGGTTAGTCCTTTCTTCTCCCCCTGAACCCCACTGCTTGTGAAGCTACCCTATTGCTCATACAGTTACGCTCAGCAGCTTCAAGGTCCTTGGTAAGCCCGAATCTAGGCCTGTATTGGGGATGAAACCCATGCCCCAAGTCCTTATGCTGGCCTGTCATCTGCTTACCCCAGCAGACTGTTGCAGCAAGTCCTGTGGTCATGAAGGTGATGGATGGATGGCCCCACCCTTGGCCATCCGCACTCATGCCTCCCCCAAGGGAATTCCCCACATCTTCCCTTCTCCTCAATTTGCAGTTAATTCCCAGACACGTCTCATCTTTTACATTTCTGGGAAAACCATGACCCTCAGATGTGAACCACCTTCATTTGTCCACCAAGTCCTTTCTGAACACTTGGTAGGTGCCAAGCTCCGTTGCCAGGCACTGCAGATGAATCGAGGTCTATCCACACGCAAGCACATTCATGGACTTGGTTCCTTCTCCCCATACCCTCCAGTTTCCTTGACAACCACTCTGTTGTTTCTGTTGAGACTTTTCTTAAACCACCTAAGGCTAGGTGGGCGGAATTCTTTTCCAGCCTACATTAGCACACCCAGTTTTCTGTCTGTTTGTTTTCTGCATCCTGTAGAAAGTCCTCTCTTTTACCTCCTCTGGTGATGGTGTGCGTTTGATCTGTCACGGAAGACAACTCAGTGTGAACTCTTCCATGGCCCTAGGTAAACCTATAGAGGGATGTGTCTTTGGCGCCCCCTGCCCATTCCAGGGAGGAAATACAAGTGAGAGCGGAGAGCTGGAAAACAGGATTACCCTGGGGCACAGGTAAAGCCAAGGGAACACAACTGTTAGGTAGAAGGGGAGCAAAGTCTTAGGATTCCAGGATTGTAGCTTCTGATGGCTGCCCCATCTTTGGGGTGTTCTTAATCTTCATATTTTTAGGGGGTAAAGTTTACAAATAATATACTACATTGCTTTTAAAAGGTAGAGAATTTTAGTGAAATTATGAGAAAATTAAAAAAACAAATGAAGACGTTTTAAATTACAATGAGAGTTAAAATTTTTATTTCTTCATAGGTTCAATTTTTAAAAAAAAAGAAAAAAAGGGGGAAATTTCTTAAATCAGCAACAATCAGGTCCTTAATCCACTTTCAAATCTTTCCCCACCAGCATGGCAGTCACGGGGTGCATGCTGGCTTTATGCTCTTGGTAGGTGCGGACAGCTTGATCGTGAGATTTGTCAAAGGCAGCAAGATCCCTGCAGAGCAAAGAAAAAGAGAGACAAAGGGACAGAAAAGTCATGTCAAAACTGAGGTTAAATTAAAGATCAGAGTACGGCAGCTAAGTATAGCACCTGAGTAAAACCAGACGGCTCTGTACAAACTCCGTATCAGATACCGGTCCATAAAAGGGCAGGCCACAGATATTTGGAGGGGGTTACAGGGAGGAGCCAGAGTGGTTTGGAGGTCGGTTACAGGGAGGAGCCAGAGCGGAGGGTAGTAGCTACTGCCAAGGAAGTGTGGAGGTATAACCAGCCTCATATGAGAACATGGACTTCAATACTTTGTCTTTTAAAAAGAAATGCTTGCCGGGCGATGGTGGCGCACGCCTTTAATCCCAGCACTCGGGAGGCAGAGGCAGGCGGATCTCTGTGAGTTCGAGACCAGCCTGGTCTACAGAGCTAGTTCCAGGACAGGCTCCAAAGCCACAGAGAAACCCTGTCTTGAAAAACCAAAAAAAAAAAAAAAAAAAGAAAAGAAATGCTTTTCAAACTTATTTTTATCAATCACTTAAGAGTCTAAACCTTCTAAACTATAAAAAGAATTTCTGAAAACTTCACACAGTGAGAGTGAAAAAAGCCAACCACAGTTAAGCAGTGATGGCAAATAGTCCGCGAGTGAACACAAGGAATGTAGGATTAACCATTTTGGGTATGGCCAGGAGTTTCAGGCTACAGACAGATTATTTATTTTCCCCTTTTTCACATTCATTTATTTCTTTACGGTGTGTGTGTGTGTGTGTGTGTGTGTGTGTGTGTGTGTGCGTTAGCACAGGTATGGAGGTCAGAGGACAACCCGTGGGAGCTGCTCCTCTTCCACCATCCGACTCCCAGGGACTGATTTCAGGTTTGGCAGCAGGTACATTGCCTGCTGAGCCGTCTTGCCAGCCCCAAAGGGTATATTCTTTATTTGAAGTATACGTCACTCGATTCAAAGGTAGATACAGGTTTTATATGGAAAGCAAGTGAAGCCTGCTTCAAAATACCTTAAGAAGTAGTGTTGTGGTCATATTTCAAAAACCAGGTAATGGTTTGCATGGACAAAATTTTATCATTCTTAGGAAATGAATGCAAAATTATCATGAGATTTTATGTCACTGATTATAATATTTTAGTAATATGGAGCAAATACCTAATCAGGGAACTTAGCGGAGATATTCTTAAATCACATCTTGCTGCTAAAATACATTCCATCCCTCCCCCCCCAAGCCTTCCTCTGCTATATACATCAAGCGACACTTGACTTGGAGAGCTTGCTCTTTGTGCAAATTCCTTTGTATTTAATTTTAGACTCTTCCTTGGCCCCACACGCCAAATTTTCTTTCAAAAATCTTTCTGTGTATCTAAGACTGTCTTGAGTCTATTTCCTTTTCATCTTGCCTAGCCCTATGGTAGCTAATCATACATCATGCTCCTGAAACTGCTAATGACATTATTCTAAAATTTAAATGGTCACAAGTACCAATTTCTTATTTATGATAACAAACTTGAAATAACACTTAAAAGTGTGTTATAGATGGCATTTTACAACGTTATTTCTCCCATCAGGCAGGACCAGGTATTGAACCTCGGGTCTCAGGCATGCTTAGGGCGCCGCCATAGAGCCACGGATATTGAACCTCGGGCCTCAGACATGCTAAGGGCTCCACCATGGAGCCTCAGGCACAGCCCTTTATGCAAGTATTTAACAAGAAACATCTTCCCATTCTGCTTCCCATCCCTCTCCTAACTACGAGGCACAGTCCAAGTCAGCCTTACTTGAATAAAGGTCGTGTAAACTTCATCCTTCCTTGCTCAGTTGCCATTTTTAGAGCCAAAGGAATGGCTTCCTCCCATTTCGATTGAATGCAGAGCCGTAACCATCTGAAAGAAGGATTTTTAGGGGTGCGGGAGAGAAGATGAGGAGGGGAGGAAATGACCAATATAAACTAAACGCGTATACTATAGATAAAAGCAATCTCATTATAATTATATCATGTACCTTTATATCATCTGTCCACATCTGTACATACACAGCTAACAACTGCATTACAATCACACCATGCACCTTTACATCATCCATCCACATCTGTACATACACAGCTAACATCTGCATTATAATCACACCATGCACCTTTACGTCATCTGTCCACATCTGTACATACACAGCTAACAACCTCATAATCACACAGTGCACCTTTATGTCATCCCGTCCACATCTGTACATACATAGCTAACAACTGGAGAAGAGAAAGAGGAGGGGCTGGTTTTCTTGGGAAAGATTAAGTGTTAGGCTTGGCCTATTAGAAGTGTTCGTGTCTTATCAAGTCGGTTTATGAAGTAACCCTTACACTACAAATTTGAATCAAGGATGGCTAACGTATCACAGAACCAAAGGTTTCTAGCTGTGGCCATTCA